TCTGCCTGTGTCTCTGCCTCTCTCTCTCTCACTGTGTGCCTATCATAAATAAATAAAAATTTAAAAAAATATTTAAAATTTTCTAAGCTTTTGGTCATTTAATCCAAGCCTTTTCATCTTTTTTATTTTTTATTTATTTAAAAAAATTTATTTTTTATTTTTTATACTTCATGTACTGGGAGCCCGACATGTGATTCAATCCCAGGTCCCCAGGATCGTGCCCTGGGCCAAAGGCAGGCGCCAAACCGCTGCCCCACCCAGGGATCCCTTTTCATCTTTTTTAAATTAGGACTCTATACATATACAACTCTACATTTCACTTCCAACTGAAACTTTCAAAAGTAACATACGTTTTTCCCTTTTTTGGGGAAATTTGAAATGAAGTTGACAATCCATTTCTCCACTCACTGTGGTACAGATGGTAATAATCAGTCACCTAAAATTCTGCAGTAGCCACAATCTGGTATTCCTGCGTCCTGACTGGCCTTCTTTCAACTCATTTTCTGCAGAGAAACCAAAACTATTTTTAAATATTTGTAATTGATAATGTCATTTCATGCTTAATTTGCTTTATTTTATTTTGCCTTAGAATAAAGTCTAACTCTGCAACCTTAAAGGCCCTTTTTGATCTGGCTTCAATTAACCTGACCCTTTATCACCTATTTTCTAACTAGTCTAAAAGACTTTTCCCCACCCTCTCTGGCTTTGCGTATCTTTTTTCTCTGTTGGAAATAGTCTTCTCTACCTTTTTTCCCCCCGGTAACTGCTCCGGTCTCCCCTTAAAAGTCACTTCCTCCAGGAAGCCTCCTCTAATATTCCGTATTTATGTTCCCACATAATAGGTGTCCATGCTTTTGCTTTTATAACATGATGAATCATAACATTAAAATATCATCCTAGTATAATTTCCAGGTTACTGATCTAATCTCTTTTTCATTTTATTGTAAACTCTTTGAGGGAAAGACTGTTTGCCTCCTTGGTCATAATGAGCAGTAGTAAAACCTTACTACGTCTACAGACACTTGTACATGGTATTTGATAAATGTTTTTTAAATGAATGTTTGAAAGCTTGGATTACATTATTCAACTACATTAACATGATTTAAGAAATACTGCACTTCAGCATTGCAGTATAAAAACTTTAATTCTGGGCAGCCCCGGTGGCGCAGCGGTTTAGCGCCGCCTGCAGCCCAGGGTATGATCCTGGAGCCCTGGGATCGAGTCCCACATCAGGCTCCTTGCATGGAGCCTGCTTCTCCCTCTGCCTGTGTCTCTGCCTCTCTCTCTCTCTCTCCCTCTCTGTGTTTCTCATGAATAAATAAATAAATAAATAAATCTTTAAAAAAAACTTTAATTCTAAGTTAATATTGCAGTAGCTGTCTTATTCTCGACAGCATAGATTTTTAATGATTTCACTAGTCTTGAGAGTCAAGGGTTTAAAATATGAAGGAGCAAAGGGATTCCAACGTAGTACAGAATCAGCAGTAGGTATTGGGTTTTGTGGCATTGTAAAAACAATACACAGAAAAAGTACTTCAAATCCTAATTCATTTCCTTCTGTTTTTCTTCTAATCCTTGGTCCTATGGCATACAACTTTGAATTCTGCTTTTTTTTTTTTTTTTTTAAATTTTTATTTATTTATGATAGTCACACAGTGAGAGAGAGAGGCAGAGACATAGGCAGAGGGAGAAGCAGGTTCCATGCACCGGGAGCCTGACGTGGGATTTGATCCCGGGTCTCCAGGATCGCGCCCTGGACCAAAGGCAAGCGCCAAACCGCTGCGCCACCCAGGGATCCCCTGCTTTTTGTTTTACCTTTTGTGTCATAAGCACTTCTCATGTGCAATCTAGTCTATGCTACATAATACTAATATTTATTTCCTTAACTTTAATTACATAATGTTTCATCCAATTAGAAAACTGAGATTTAAGTATTTCCCTATTGAATGCTTTTTATCACTTCATCACTTAAAATTTTTTCAGGTGAGAAGTTAAATGGTGGAGAAACTCTGTGAATGAGTACAATGTTTTTCTTTTTATAATTATCTTAAAAATACATTTTCAGTGTACTGTGTATGTATGTAATTAATGCAACTGGCATAAAAAGGCTCATTTTAATTTGCTTCTCTTTAATAGCTGGGAAAGGCCAACATTTTTCATGGTATGTTTACTAGATATCTTTTCCATCCTGTGTGAACTCTTATTTTTTTTTTAATTTTTATTTATTTATGATAGTCACAGAGAGAGAGAGAAGCAGAGACATAGGCAGAGGGAGAAGCAGGCTCCATGCACCGGGAGCCCAATGTGGGATTTGATCCTGGGTCTCCAGGATCACGCCCTGGGCCAAAGGCAGGCGCCAAACCGCTGCGCCACCCAGGGATCCCCTGAACTCTTATTTTTTAAGTTACATATTTTTATCTGGGTTTTGAAGGTCAGTATATAATCTACGTTTCAGTATCTTGTCCTACTACAAAAATTTCTGTTATTTTTCTTGGTACATTATTTTTCATTGAACAGAGATTTAACATTTTATGTATTTTATTCAGTCATTCACAGACTCAAATGAATCATTCCTTTAAAGATTAAATTTTCCATGAAGTTATCTTTGGAATTAAAAAATTAGCTCTTTGATCCACCTACTTTATAGGTACAGTTTTCTAAACTGTTAGCCAGTTTTCCCAATATGAAGACAGTTCAGTTTTAGCTAGAGTTTCTGGTAGTAGAGCAATAATCCAGGGAAGCAAAGGCCAGACTAAGATGCCTGGAGGTGGCTTGTGTGCCCAGAATCAGTCCATAAACCCTCCAGGCAGGACAAAGAATTGCAGCTCCTCTGTGCCTCCCACCAGTCCTCAGGACTACCCATGAGTCACCTTCAGAATTCATACTCATTTTATTTTTATTTTTTTATTCTTTTTTTTCCCTTTTTTTTCCATACTCATTTTAACCTAATTTCAACCTTCACCAAAATATTTTTAAGATTTTATTCATTCATTTATTTATTTTAGAGATAGAGAATGTGTGCATGTGCATAAAGGCGGGTGGGACCAGGAGAGACCGAGAATCTTGAGCTGACTCTGCTGAGCAACCCTGAGATCATGACCCGAACCAAAATCAAGAGTCAGGGATCCCTGGGTGGCTCAGCGGTTTGGCGCCTGCCTTTGGCCCAGGGAGCAATCCTGAAGTCCTGGGATCGAGTCCCACGTCCGGCTCCCTGTGGTGGAGCCTGCTTCTCTCTCTGCCTCTCTTTCTCTCTCTCTCTCTCTATCATAAATAAATAAATCTTTAAAAAAAAATCAAGAGTCAGATGCTGAACCAGCTGAGCCACCCAGGCACCCCTAACTTTTGCCAAAATACCAAAGGGAAAGATGTGGGAAGACCACAGCATGCTCTTAAAGATGGCTAAAAGGATGGTCTAAGCCTGCCTTACTGCATGTATCTTAGAAATTCAGGTTAGAGTGGGATTATGTCTCACTTTTTTTTTTTGTAAGATTTATTTATTTGAGAGAGCACAAGCAGGCGTGGAATGGAGGAGCAAAGGAAGAGAGCAAGCAGATTCCCTGCTGAATAGGGAGCCCGGGGAGCTGTATGTGGGGCTTGACCCAGGGCTGGACCCTGAGATCAGGACCTGAGCAAAAGGTAGACGCTCAAAACAACTGAGCCACCTAGGTGCCCCTGTGTCCCACCTTCTAAAACAAGACTTTTTTTTAAGATTTTATTTACTTATTCATGAGAGACCCAGAGAGAAGCAGAAACACAGGCAGAGGGAGAAGCAGGCTCCATGCAGGGAGCCCGACGCAGGACTCGATCCCGGGTCTCCAGGATCAGGCCCTGGGCTAAAGGTGGCGCTAAGCCACTGAGCCACCTGGGCTGCCCACAAGACTTCCTTTGAAAGCCAGTTTCGATTAGTTGGAAAATTCTTTTTTAAAATTTTATTTATTCACGAGAGACACAGAGAGGCAGAGATGACACATGCAGAGGGAGAAGCAGGCTCCCTGTAGGGACCCCAAGACGGGACTCGATCCCAGGACCCAAAATCACTCCCTGAGCTGAAGGCAGATGCTAAACCACTGAGCCACCCAGGTATCCCTGTTGGAAAATTCTAATAGATTTAAATCTGCCTTCTTTATAACTGCCCATTATTCTTGTTTTGCCTCCTGAAGTAAGATGTTTATTTAACCTGTGGGTTTTGGGGATACTGGAAATCTAGGAGTAACAATACTGTTCAGGAACACCTAGATTTTGACTCTCCTTACCTAGACCTTATGAAGATGTGACTTCTGTGACAGAAGGTTCATTTTTAGAATCTAGAATCTGTTGTTGCTTTTACTAAGTTCCATCTCCTTAGCCTTACAAATTTGATACTATAAATTTGATATTTTGATAGCTAAAATTGGTAAAAGATAGATTGCTATTCAATTTCCTTCTAGAAAAATTCAAATTTATCAGAATTGCTCTTTTTTTAAAATTTTATCTATTTATTCATAGAGACAGAGGGAGAGGGGCAGAGGAACAGGCAGAGGGAGAAGCAGGCTCCATGCAGGGAGCCTGATGTGGGACTGGATCCAGGGTCCCCAAGATCACACCCCAGGCTGTAGGCGGCGCTAAACCGCTGCACCACCAGGGCTCTTTATATGTGGTCTCCAAGTGATAGCTTTCATGTTAGCGCCCTCCTCGGTCTCTAGAAGGGTATTTGGGGCAGTCCGGGTGGCTCAGCGGTTTAGCGCTGCCTTCAGCCCAGGGCCTGATCCTGGAGACCTAGGATCGAGTCCCACATTGGGCTCCCTGCATGGAGCCTGTTTCTCCCTCCACCTGTGTCTCTGCCTCTCTCTGTGTCTCTCATGAACAAATAAAATCTTAAAAAAATAAAAATAAAAGAGTAATTGATGTATTTCTTTTCCTAGAGTTTAAAATTGAAGACTTCTGAAAAAAAATAAAATTGAAGACTTCTGAAAGTTACTTGGTAAATACTACTTTAGTAAGCCAATGTAAATCTCTTTTAGGACAATTATATGATGGCTACGATGAAGAGTATGATTGCCCCATTTTAGATGAAGACAGAGTAAGTACAATTTTTAAAAAATAAGGTACACTTCTCTTGTTTGTTTCTAAAGCGGAGAGAGTGAGCACGAGTTGGGGTCGGGGGGACAGGAGCAGAAGGAGAGGGAGAGAGAGAATCTTAAGCAGACTCCATGTTCAGCACAGAGCCAAATAGGGCTTGATCTCACAACCTTGAGATCATTAGTTGAGCCAAAATCAAAAGTTGGATGTTTAACCAACTGAGCCACCCAGGTGCCCCTATAAAGTATACTTCTTAAAATGTAATAGGAAGGTTGACATTTTTTTTATTTTTATTTTTTTTTGACATTTTTTTATGCATTCTTTTTTTCCCTTTCTTACAGGTAGTTGATGAATTAGAAAACCAAATGAGTGAAGGTGGAGTTATTGTTGATTACCATGGTTGTGATTTCTTCCCTGAACGCTGGTTCCATATAGTTTTTGTGCTGCAAGCAGATAACAGTGTACTGTACAAAAGACTAGAAACAAGGTAAGAAAGGAAAAACACTGAATTTTTAAAGTATGATATAAACCTTTATTCAGATTCCTGAAATTGGCTAGTAACACCATGATCAAGGATTCTGTTTGAAAGTTTGGCTCTCGGTGTCTCGTTATATAACCAAGTCTGTATGGTACCAAGGTTTTGAATTCATGAGAAAAAGATGTGTGTATAAAACACAGGCAAGGGGCAGCCTGGGTGGCTCGGCGGTTTGGCACCACCTTCAGCCCAGGGCGTGACCCCAGGGTCCCGGGATCGAGTCCCACATCGGGCTCCCTGCATGGAGCCTGCTTCTCCCTCTTCCTGTGTCTCTGCCTCTCTCTCTGTGTCTCTCATGAGTAAATAAACAAAATATTTAAAAAAAAAACACACACACACAGGCAGTAGTTTATAACTGTGTACATGAATAGTGCAGTTGACAGTTTGATTCAGTAAAATATACTATAGAGCAACCCTATTTTTTTTTAAGATTTTATTTATTCATGAGAGACACAGAGAGAGAGAGGCAGAGACACAGGCAGAGGGAGAAGCAAGCTCTCTGTGGGGGATCCCAGGACCTTGGGGTTACATCCTGAGCCGAAGGCAGACACTCAACCACTGAGCCACCCAGGCGTCCCTACAGCAACCCTGTTTAATCGCGCTCTTTCCTCAGTGTAAAACCTTGCTGGGAAAACAGCGAAGCTAATAACATACTCTGACTCCTGAGTGAACGTTAACCTCTCTCATATCATTCCCACAACGTGAATAGGGGAGCTTATGAAAAAGAGACATGACATGTCAACATTCCACAACCTTTAAAATATATTTTAGTTGGTCCCTCCACGAGAGCATCAGACTTAATCCAGAATAACCAAGAAAGAGATATTTTTATGGGAAACATTTTTCCACTGTGTTTTGATTCAAGCTGGGTAACATGGAGATTCTAGAGGGACTTACAAGGCAGTCTCAGAAGGAAAGCCCTAAAAGTTTGCCTCTAAGTCCAGGTGTAGAATTTGTAGGTCTCACTGGTGGTAATCAGCTTGGACTAGCCATCACTGCATGGGATATTTGCAAAATCCTTGCAGCAAGGAGTGTGGCAGCAAATATACAGGGAACGTTGGAGCTATACCTAAAACTTTAATCTTTCTTTCAGCAGTGAAAAGCCATTAAAAGTATTTAAAATGAGAAGTAACAAAGACCGTAATGGTACACATTCCTTTTCTCAAACAAGGCAATTCAAAGTTTTTATTAGCAATTATTATTTTGGAGGGCACCTGGGTGCTTCAGTCAGTTAAGCATCTGACTTTGGCTCAGGCTGTAATCTTGGGGTCCTGGGATCAAGTCCCACATGCAGCTCCCTGCTCAGTGGGGAGTCTGCTTCTTCCTCTCCCTCTGTCCACCCCCCCCCCCCATTCTCTCTCTCTCTCTCCCTCAAATAAGTAAATACAATCTTTTAGAAAAATTACTGTTTTGAGGCACCTGGCTCAGTTGGTAGAGCATGCAACTCGATCTTGGGGTTGTAAGTTTGACCCCCACTTTGAATGCAGATATTACTTAAAAATAAAATCTTAAAATTACTGTTTTATGTAAACAGCCAAGACTGACTAGGGTCTGAAAAAACTATGAGCGTGCTAGGGTTTTTGTTTTGTTTTGTTTTTGCTAGGGTTTTGTTGTTTATAGCCACTGAAAAAGTTACAAATAATCACCCTTAAAAAAACAGCTTTATTTAGATAAGTTCACATACATACAATTCCATTTGAAGTATACAAATCAATGGTTTTAAGTATATTCACAGAATTATGCATCCATCATTACAACCAATTTTAGAAAATGCTCACTGTCCCCGTCCTCCCAAAAAACCCATACCCATTAGCAAAATCCCTCATATACCCCCATTCCCTCAGTCCTAGGCAACTGCTAATTTACCTATCTCTGGATTTCCCTGTTCTGGACATTTGATATAAATGAAATCTTCCAATATGTGGTCTTTCGTGGCTTCTTTAGCATGTTTCAGGGTTCAGCACGTATCAGTATTTCATTTTTTTTGCCAAATAATATTCCGTTGTATGGATATGCCATATTTTATTTATCTATTTATCAGATTATAGATGTCTGAATTTCCTTTTTTGGCTGTTATAAATAATACTGCTATGAACATCCATGCCTCTGGTTTTGTATGGGCATAATATGTTCATTTTTCTTGGATATGGAATTTAAGAATAGGACTGCTGGGTATTACTGTAACTCCATGTTTAACCTTTGGAGGAACTGTTAGACTGTGTTTCCAAGTGGCTGTACCAATTCACCTTCCCAAGAGCAATGTATGAAGACTCTTATTTCCACATCCTTGCGAACACTCATTGTTTTGTCTTTTTGATAGTAGCCATCACAGTGGATATGAAGTAGTATCTCGTTGTGGTTTTTATTTGCTTTTCCTTGTTCACTAATGATGTTGAACATTTTTTCATATGCTTATTATCCATTTGTATATGTGTTCTTGGGAGAAAGAGCCCTTCAGATGCTTTGCCCAATTTTTTATTGGGTTATTCTTCTTTTTTAATTAAGTTATGTTTTTTGTATTTCAGATGCAAATTTCTTATCAGATACATGATGTGCAAAAGTTTTCTCTCATTGTGGTTATGTTTTCATAAAGTTAATCACCTTTTAAGTAATTCATTTTAATCTTGTCAAAAGTTGAATTTGAATATTTTTTTATCTTTTTCTTTAGCTAATTAGTTGCTTAATTTATATATCTGTGTAAAGATTATGTGTTAATTTTTTAATGTCTTTGAAATTGGGAAAGCATAGATACATATATCTGTATGACCAAGTACCCAATTAATATATAGCATTCCTATCATAAATATGCCTTTTTTATTTTTTTTAGAGATTTTACTTTTAAGTAACCTCTCCACCCAATGTGGGGCTCAGATTTACAGCCCGAAGATCAAGAGTCACATGTTTTATCAACTGACCCAGCCAGTCGCCTCCCATGATTTTTTTTTTTTTTTAAGATTTTATGTATTTATTCATGAGAGACAGAGAGAGAGAGAGGCAGAGACACAGGGAGAGGGAGAAGCGGGCTCCCTGCAGGGATACCGATGTGGGACCCGATTCCGGAACTCCAGGATCACGCCCTGGGCCAAAGGCAGGCGCTTGACCACTGAGCCACCCAGGAGTCCCAAATATTTCATTTTTATATGCCATCTAGTTATTTTTATCTATATTTTAACTCCTCTAATTGTTTTGAAATCTAGGACCACAGCTGTAGATATATTTATCTCATAGCTCAATATCTGACGAGGTAGGTAGGTATGTTTGCTAATCGAGTGAATGACAAATTGTGGGGGGCAAATTAAGATAACTGTAAACACTGGACCTTAGTTAACCCTCTTGCCAAAAGTCACTCATACTTACAGCTGCCAATCGTCTTCTCGAGGTAAATAGACTAAAGAAGTATTTTTGCATGATTTTTCATGTATTTAAAAGTGTCCAGTTTCTAGTGTGTTCCTAAAATTCTAGTTAATGTCATTCAGTTTGCTTTTGGTTTTCTTACCTTCTCATTGCCTTCCAGGGGTTATAATGAGAAGAAACTAAAAGACAATATTCAGTGTGAAATTTTTCAAGTTCTTTACGAGGAAGCATTAGCATCCTACAAAGAAGAAATAGTACATCAGCTGCCCAGCAATAAACCAGAAGATCTGGAAGATAACATCAATCAGATACTGAAGTGGATTGAGCAGTGGGTCAAGGATAATAGCTCCTGACTTATAAGACCAGATACTTTACAACCACGGTTGTCATATCCCTGCCATATTGAATAAATTGTTCAGTTATCAGTAAAACTTATTAAAATTGTGTTGCAGGACTACTAGATAGATAGTCTAGAGATTTATATTTAGGCTTTCTTTCTCCATGAGAAAGCAAAACATTCTCAAGTATAGTGTATACAATATCATTAAGTATCTAGAGTAAAAACTGTCATCTTAAATGCTTCAGCGGCTAAAGAATAAACAAACCTGACTAAATGGGTGGCTATCTCCTCAGCTGATTATAGAAGAAAATGAAGATGATCCCTTAAAAAAAACCTTAAGACTAATGATAAATCAGAGTTTTTCATCTTTCTTTCCTTAAAATAAGAAACGGGGATCCCTGGGTGGCTCAGCGGTTTAGCGCTTGCCTTCGGCCGAGGGCATGATCCTGGAGCCCCGGGATTGAGTCCCATGTTGGGCTCCCTGCAGGGAGCCTGCTTCTCCCTCTGCCTGTGTCTCTCATGGATAAATAAATAAAATCTTAAAAAATAAAAATAAAAAATAAAAAACAAACACACAAGCAAGTGGTAATACTTATATTCTGTATAAAAATAAAAAGGGGGGATCCCTGGGTGGCTCAGCGGTTTGGCGCCTGCCTTTGGCCCAGGGCGCAATCTTGGGGTCCCAGGATCAAGTACTGTGTTGGGCTCCTGGCATGGAGCTCGCTTCTCCCTCCTCCTGTGTCTCTGCCTCTCTCTCTCAATCTCTGTGTCTATCATGAATAAATAAATAAATAATTTAAAAAATAAACTAAATAAATAAATAAATAAATAAATAAATAAATAAATAAATAAAAAGGTGGGGCACCTGAGTGGCTCAGGTTGTGATCCCAGGCTTCTGGGGTTGAGTCCCGCGTCGGGCTCCCTGCTCCTCAGGGAGCCTGCTGCTTCCTCCTCTGCCTGTCTCATGAATAATAAAGTCTTCTAAAAAAATCGAAAGAAAAAAAAATAAAAATAAATAAAATAAAAATAAAAAAATCGAAAGATACAAAAGGGTATCCTGGGAAGGTTCGTTTCCCTTCCAGGCCACCCCTATTCTTTGGCCACCCAGATCCCCTCCCTTTCGGAGTAATGTTACTGGTTCTCCCATGTCAGAGATTTTATGCCTGCGAACTGTGTGTACATTAGTTTCTTTAAGCATGTGGTAGTACACCGTGTGCACTGTTGTGTATTTTCTTTTTTCATTTAATGTATTTTAGAGTATATCATCCCAGAACATACAGACCTCCCTGTTCTTTTAAATTAAGATAGAATTCACCATCTAACAGTGCACAGTTGACTAGCTTCTATTCTGCTCATAAGATTGTACAGCCATGGGACGTCTAGTTGTCTCAGTGGTTGGGCGTCTGCCTTCAGCTCAGGGCGTGATCCCAGAGTCCCAGGATCGAGTCTTGCATTGGGCTCCCTGCAGGGAGACTGCTTCTCCCTCTGCCTGTGTCTCTGCCTGTCTCTCTGTCTCTCATGAATAAATAATTGTTTAACAAAAAAAAAAGATTGTACAGCCATCACATATCAACTGTCACTACCTAACTCCATATGACAGTTTTATTACCACACCCAAAAGTAGTCCTGTCCTATTAGCAATTACTTCCCATTTTTCCCTTCTCCTAGCCCCTTGGAATCATGAATTTACTTTGTTTATATGGATTTGCATATCTGGGAATGTCATATAAAAGGAATCATACAATATGTGTCTGGCTTCTCTAACTTAGCATGATGTTTTCAAGGTCATCCATGTTGTAGGCTGGATCAGCACCTCATTCCTTTTTATGATCAAATAATATTCCACTTGGGACTCCTGGGTGGTTCAGCGGTTGAGCCTTTGGCTCAGGGCGTGATCCTGGGATCCGGGATCAGGTCCCGCATTGGGCTCCCTGCGGGGGGCCTACTTCGCCCTCTGCCTCTCATGAATAAATAAGTCTTAAAAAATTAATATTCCACTGTATGTACCACATTTTGTTTACGCATTCCATCAGCTGCACAATTGGGTTGTATCCATTCTGGGCATTATGAATTATGCTATGAATATACGTGTACAGGTTTTTTGTGTACGTAGGTTTTCAATTCTCTTGGGTATACAGTGAAATTGTTGCATCATATTGCAACTGAGTTGAACTTTTTGAAGAAATACCAAACTGTTTCTGCAAAGTGGTTGCATTATTTAACTCCCACCATCTATGCAATAGGGATTTCATTTTTTTCACATCCTTGCCAACACTTGCTACTGTTTGTCTAGTAGCCATCCTCTGGACAAAATAGTCATATTTCATTTCCATCTTCAGTGGTCTTCATTTTGGTTCATTTGGGGGCAGGCTGGGAGGGTGAAGGGGCAGAAGCAGAGAGAGAGAATCCTAAGTCAGCTTGACCCTGAGAACATGAACTGAGGCAAAATCAAAAGTCAGAGGTTTAAGTTACTTAACCACCATACACCTTGAGCCTGTTTTCATACACCTATTAGTCATTCCTACATCTTTGGATCCCTTATCTTTTTTTTTTATTTATTTAACCAATCTTTACACCCAATATGGGGCTCACACTGAACCCTGAGATTAAGAGTCCCATGATCTTCCAATTGAGCCAGCTAGGTGCCCCTGGATCCCTAATATCTTTAATATTTGCACAGAAGTCCATTTAGGATGGCTATAATCGGTTAAATCAGTTCCCTACTGATGATGGACATTAAGGTTGTTTCCAGCTTTTTACTATTACAATGTTGCCAAGAATGGTAAGAGAATAGCATGTATATATATTATCATATAACAAGCACTCCACATTTTTTTATTTCATTTTTTTTAAGATTTTATTTATTCATGAGAGATACAGAGAGACAGACAGAGACACAGGCAGAGGGAGAAGCAGGCTGCATGCAGGGAGCCTGACCTGGGACTTGACCCCGGGGTCTCCAGTATCATGCCCTGGGCCGAAGGTGGCACTAAACTGCTGAGCCACCCAGGCTGTCCAACACTCACATTTCAAAAGTAAACTCTCAGGGAACCTGGGTGGCTCAGTCGGTTAAGCATCTGCCTTCTGCTCAGGTCATGATCCCAGGATCCTGGGATTGAGCCCCACATCCTGCATCATTGTGGGGGGAGGGGGGGAGTCTGCTTCTCCCTCTGCCTCTTCCCCCATGCTCGCTCTCTCATTCAAATAAAATCTTTTAAAAAAGTGAACTCTCAGTACACATCTGAAGCAGGTATTATTATTTCCAGTACATGTGATGGAACCAGGTCACTTCAGTGACTTAGCCAAGGTCACAGCTAGAAAGTATCAAGAGTCAGGACTCTACCTTAGCAGGCTCTACACCATTTAGTTATGCTGCTTAATGTACATGGAACTCTGCATATGAGCGATTCTATCTGTCAAGTCAATTTCTGGATAAAATTCATAGGAACGTAACATTTAGCAGATTCATTTTAATTACCATAGGTTGTCTTATATATGTGCAAGATTCCCCAAAAATGACTGAAGGGTAGTGCCTCCCAGGGTAAGTTCTTGACCTCCAGACCATTGTAACCTAGTATACAAGGAAGATATACAAGCAAATGGACACTTTCAACAAATCTGGTGGATGGTGGCAAGTGCCTTACTGGAGATTCTAACAGCAGGAGAGGACAAAAGACAGAACTCTTCCCTACTATGAATATCAGAAAAGAACAAATGATGTAGGATGCAGGGCTTTGAAGAATGGGTATAGGGGTAGCCCCGGTGGCGCAGCAGTTTAGCATCACCTGCAGCCCAGGGTATGATCCTGGAGACCCCAAATCGAGTCCCACGTCAGGTTCCCTACATGGAGCTGGCTTCTCCCTCTGTCTGTGTCTCTGCCTCTCTGTCTCTCATGAATAAATAAATAAAATCTTAAAAAAAAAAAAAAAGAATGAGTATGGAGGTAGAGAAGAAAGAGAATTCGGATTAGGATAATATTACAAAGGTGCTATCCAGTAGTACCCGGAGTCAAATCACAAAAAATGAGGATAATTACTTCATAGGACTCTTGTAAGGATTAAATGGTGTTTGGCACATAGCACCATATATGTGTTTGTTACTATTTTTAGTGAAACTAATGGCTGTTTTGAAAAGACAGTATTCGTTACTGGGATTCAATGAATTATCAAATGATTGCTGATTATCTTTTTTTTTTAATTTATTTATTTATGATTGACACACACAGAGAGAGAGAGGCAGAGACACAGGCAGAGGGAAAAGCAGGCTCCATGCCGGGAGCCCAATGTGGGACTCGATCCCAGGACTCCAGGACCGCGCCCTGGGCCAAAGGCAGGCGCCAAACCGCTGAGCCACCCAGGGATCCCGACTGCTGATTATCTTAACACTGAAATTGACTCATCATAAGTTTTCCTTCAACAGAAGGGAGATTATGATCTAACAGAGAGTCTAATGTGGACCTATACAACACCTTTTGGGAATTTTGTAAATATACTAATTTCAATCCTAGGTGAAACTATTGACAATTCTTTAAACATCTTACAGTTATTTGAAGAAGGTCTTAGAAATAACCTCATTTACTGCTTGGTTTTATTCAAACCTACTTAACTTTTTTATTAAAAAGACTAATTTAGGGCAGCCCCAGTGGCACAACGGTTTGGCGCCGCCTGCAGCCTGGGATGTGATCCTGGAGACGATGGAGTCCCACGTCGGGCTCCCTGCATGGAGCCTGCTTCTCCCTCTGTCTGTGTCTCTGCCTCTCTCTCTCAGTGTCTATGAATAAATAAATACTTAAAAATAAATAAATAAAAAATAAAAAGACTAATTTAAAATAAACCTAAGGAGAGGGGCACCTGGGTGGCTCAGTCAGTTAAGTGACCGCCTCCAGCTCAGGTCATGATCTCAGGGTCCTGGGGTGCAGCCCCACATGTCCCTGGTCAGCAGGGAGTCTGCTTCTCCATCTGCTTCTGCCTCTCTCCTCCACTTGTGTGCTCCCTCTCACATAATAAAATCTTAAAACTTGAGATAAAAAGTGTACCATATTTTTAAACATTTTATATTTCTGTAAATGAGACTTATTAAGAATATTTATTCAGTTCCTCATGAGTGCTTTAATAAGCTTAGATGTATGCATAACCACTGATTGTTTTCCTTATGCCTGCCCTCATTGGTATATATATTTTTGTGTGGGCTCTGAAAAAGGGGTTTGGCCTCACTTCATCTAGCTTTCTTCTGCATGTCTTAGCACCAATCCCTAACCAACATCTAAGTTTGTTGGTTTTTAACAAAAAGTGATGGGATTGGGCATCCTAGGTGGCTCAGCGGCTTAACACTGCCTTTGGCCCAGGGCCTGCCTGATGCTGGAGTCTCGGGATCGAGTCTCACGTCAGGCTCCCTGCATGGAGCCTGCTCCTCCCTCTGCCTGTGTCTCTGCCTCTCTCTCTCATGAATAAATAAAAACAAAATCTTACAAAAAAAGGTTAAAAAAACAAAACAAAACAAAAAGTGATGGGGTCAAAACTGCTAAGAAGCATGTATCCTCTCCTATGGAGTGGGGAGAGTCGAAGGTAAGAAAAAACAAAAAACATGTATATGATACATACGTAGATCACAGTTCTTAGTAACTTTAACTGCTGTATATGTGAGAAACAATGTCCTGAAAGTTTTTTATACCTATGTAGGCTTTTATTTAAAATTTAGTTCCTTTGATGACATAAATTCCTCTGACAGGCTGATATAACTATGAACACACTTCCTCTAAGGAATACAAATACATATATTACTATAAAATATTTTGTTTTTCAAAGACTCACAGATTCCTGAGATCCATTCAGAGGTTTATTGTCTAAGGGGTTTATTTTTATGCCAGAGAGGATTCAAAAAACTTTGCTGTTATTAACAAGGCTGGTGACTAAAAAGCCAATTGGTCGTTTGGTCATCTGGGGGCAGGGAAGGCCCTCACCAGTGCATTAAGCCAGAAAAGAAATAAAAGACATACAGAGCTGAAAGGAAAAAATAAATTATTCTCAGTTAACAAAATTATCTATGTTGAAATTCCAAAGAGAACCCACACAAAAGCTGATTCTAGAATTCATATGGAGACACGTAGGAACTAGAGTAGCCAAACAATGCTGACACAGAAGAGCAGAGTTAAAAAAGAAAAAAAAAAAAACTGTAACTGATTTCAAGATCTGTATTAATGACTAAAATAAGTCAATGTGGCATACTGAAAGGATGGACACACAGATCAATGGAACAGATCAGAGAGTCTAGAAAGAAATCCATGCCAATATAGACAATTTTTGATGGAGGTGAAACCAAGAGTCTTAGGCTTAACTGACTGTGCCACCCAGGTGCTCCTGAAATCTACCTATTTCTTTTTCAAGATTTTATTTATTTGGAAGGGGTAGGGAGAGAGAGAGAAAAAGAGAAAGAGAGTGTGTGTGCACAAGCAGGGACAGGGGCAGAGGGAGAAGCAGACTCCATTTCAAGCAGGGAGCCTCACGTTGGGCTCAATCCCAGGACCCCGGAATCATGACCTGGGCCAAAGGCAGAGGCTTAACCAACTAAGCCACCAAGGTGCTCCTGGAATCTTTTTCAAAAGCTATTACACTACTAAACCAGCAAGATTCAAAATCTATACACAAAAATTAACTGTATCTATTTAAAAGAAATGACAGGGGTACTTGGGTGGCTCTGTCAGTTAGGTTAAGTATCAGCCTTAAAAAAAAAAAAAAAGACACCATGGGGGGCACCTGGCTGGCTAAGTCAGTAGACCATGCAACTCCTGGCCTCAGAGTCGTGAGTTCAAGCCTCACATTAGTTGTAGTTTACGTTAAAAAAAAAAAAAAAAAAAAAAGGCAGCATCAAGAAAGTGAGAAGGCAATCCACAGAATGGTGCAAAATATTTGCAAATCATAAACCTGATAAGGGTCAAGTATCCAAAACAGAATTCTCACACCTCAATCTCGAAAATATATAGAACTCTACTGAAAATGGACAGATTTGAATAGATATTTCTTCAAAATATATAAAATGGCCAGTAAACACATGAAAAGATGCTCAAGACATTAGTCATTAGGAAAATGTAAATTAAAACCATGAGGGCAGCCCAGGTTGCTCAGCCGTTTAGCGCCGCCTTCAGTCCAGGGCGTGATCCTGGAGACCCGGGATGGAGTCCCATATCAGGCTCCACGTGTGGAGCCTGCTTCTCCCTCTGCCTGTGTCTCTGCCTCTCTTTCTCTCCTCTCTGTGCTTCTCATGAATAAAATCTTTAAAAAAAAAAAAAACCACCATGAGATACCACCTCATACCCATTAGGATAGCTATTATCAAAACCAAACAAACACCCACAAAACACAAGAACAAAACAACAACAAAAAACCTCTAGAAAACAGGAAGCGTTGGTGAGGATGTGAAGTTAGAACTCTCTCATATAGCTAGTGTTAATATGAAATGGTGCAACTGCCTTAAAAATCCTTTTGGCAGTTCCTCAAAATGTTAAAAATAAAGTATTATAAGATACAGCAAAAAAAAAAAAGATACAGCAATTCTTTTTTTTTAATTTTTTATTTATTTATGATAGTCACACAGAATGAGAGAGGGAGGCAGAGACATAGGCAGAGGGAGAAGCAGGCTTCAGGCACTGGGAGCCCGACGTGGGATTAGATCCCGCGTCTCCAGGATCGCGCCCTAGGCCAAAGGCAGGCGCCAAACCGCTGTGCCACCCAGGGATCCCTGATACAGCAATTCTATTCCTAGGAATATACCCAAGAGAAATGAAAACACACATCTGTCCACACACAAAGTTTTTTTTTAAATTTTATTTATTTATTCATGACAGAAAGAGAGAGACGGCGGGGGGGGGGGGGGAGGTGCAGAGACACAGGCAGAGGGAGAAGCAGGCTCCCTGCAGGGAGCCAGATGCAGGACTCATCCCAGGACCCCGAGGTCACACTCTGAGTCAAAGGCAGATGCTCAACCACTGAGCCTCCCAAAGGGCCCCACACAAAAACGTGTTGATGAATGTTCACAGCAGCGTGATTCATAATAGCCATAAACTGGAAAAAAAATTCAATGTCCATCAACTGATGAATGGCCAATAAAAGTGGTATATCCATAAAATGGAATATTATTTGGCCATAAAAAGAATGAAGTATTGCGACGCCTGGGTGGGTTAGCAGTTGAGTATCTGCCTGTGGCTCAGGTCGTGATCCCCAAGGCCCAGGATCGATTCCCACATCGGGCTCCCTGAATGGAGCCTACTTCTCCTTCTGCCTGTGTCTCTGCCTCTTTGTCTCTCAAGAATAAATGAAATCTTAAAAAAAAAAAAAAAAAAAAAAGGAAGTATTAATACATGCTCTGGCATAGGTAAACCTTGAAAACATAATGCTAGGTGAAAGAAGCCAGTCACAAAACACTTTTAATTGTTTGACTCCGGGATCCCTGGGTGGCGCAGCGGTTTGGCACTTGCCTTTGGCCCAGGGCGCGATCCTGGAGACTCGGGGTCGAGTCCCACGTCGGGCTCCCGGTGCATGGAGCCTGCTTCTCCCTCTGCCTGTGTCTCTGCCTCTCTCTCTCTCACTGTATGCCTATCATAAAAAAAAAAAAATAAAAAAAAAATTGTTTGACTCCACTTAAGGAATGTCCAAAACAGGGCCGCCCGGGGGGCTCAGTGCCACCTTGGGCCCAGGGTGGTCCTGGAGACCCGGAATCGAGTCCCACGTCGGGCTCCCTGCACGGAGCCTGCTTCTCCCTCTGCCTGTGTCTCTGCTTCTCTCTCTCTGTGTCTCTATGAATAAATAAATAAAATCTTTGGGAAAAAAAAAGGAAATGTCCAAAACAGGCAGCTATTTAGAAGCAGACAGGTGGGTAGTGGTTCTTCCAGGGCTCGGTCCAGTTGAAGGAGAGTGACGAGTGATTACTGATGGATAAGGGGTTTCTTTCTGGGGTGATGGAAATATTCTAAAATTGGTTGTGCTGATGCTTACACATCTCTGTGAACCACTAACAATCAGAGTCCTTTTTCTTTTTTAAAGATTTTTTATTTTATTTATTCATAGAGACACAGAAAGAGAGAGGCAGAGACACAGGCAGAGGGAGAAGCAGGCTCCGTGCAGGGAGCCTGATGTGGGACTCGATCCCGGGTCTCCAGGATCACGCCCCGGGCTGCAGGTGGCACTAAACCACTGCGCCACCAGGGCTGCCCACAATCACAGAGTCCTATACTTTGAATTGCATGCTACGTGGATAATAGCTAAATAAAGCTGTTAAATAACAGATATTAGGGGCACCTTTGGCTCAGGTCACGGTCATGGGGTGGTTCTTCCTCGCTTGCTCTCTTGCCCTTCTGTCAAGTAAATAAATATCTTTAGGAAATAAAAAATTACAAATTAGGTTCGAAGTGCACTCAAAGAGGCAGATACAAGTTTTGTCTTTTTTTAAGATCTTATTTATTTATCCATGAGAGAGGGGGAGAAAGAGAGGGGAAGAGACCCAGGCAGAGGGAGAAGCAGGCTCCATGCGGGGAGCCCGACGCGGGACTCGATCCCGTCACACGGGATCACGGGTCACGCCCCAGGCCGAGGGCAGGCGCTCACCCACTGAGCCCCTGGGCGTCCCCAGATACGAGTTTTTAAAGGCGTTCAGCACACATTTGTTATGCGACGGCTCAGCAGCAGCGCGCGCAGTTTTGCAAACGAAGTCGGGTATTTTTTAAGTAAACGTTCCGTGTGGCTGAGTCCCAAGCTCCGCCCGCTGGAGGTCTGACAGAACAGTGCCAGGGTCCGTCCGGGAGAGCGGTTCTGAGACACCTCGGCAGGAAGGCGGCTGCCGCGACCAGGCGACCGGCCTACGTGAGCGACGCCACTTCCGGTTCGCAAGGGCCGCCCCCACGACCCCCGCCCGCCCGCCCGCACGTGCGCTCCGCCGGCCGGAAGGGGCTGGGCGCGCGCTCGGGACCCCGCGGGCTGCGTCAGGACGCGAGGCGGGATAAACGGAGTCCGCTCCTGGGGAGAAGGGGCTCGTTCGTTTATTCCAATGCCGAGTAAATTTCAAGTCCTGCCAAGGGTCGGACACCGCCACGTCCCGTCAGTTACTGCGTCAACGTTGGATATTCGGAAATAACTGTGGAAATCCTCTCCGCGGCGGCGGCCGGTGGGGCGCGAGGGCGCGCGTCCTGAGGGCCGTGGGCCACTCCCAGGGGCAGCTCCCGAGGGCCCGCCCCCCGCCCCCCGCCCCCCGCACGCCCCGCGGCGGGAAGCAAGCCCGCGCTCCCGGGCCACGGGCGCCGCTCACCTTCCGCTCGCCTGCGGCTTCCTCCTACGGGCCCCTAGACGCTTCTGGTTTAAACCGCCTCATTTTAACTTGTCGAGGCACACAGGCTCTCGCTCGCTCTCTAAGCCTCGTGCCCGTCCCTAACTCGGTCCCCCGTGGTGGGCGATCCCCGGGCTGGGCGGGCGGTGGCGTCCCAGGCGGCCCCACCCTTCCTTCCGGTCCGGGCGGCGCGCGGTTACGGGGCTGGATGGGGGCGTGCGCAGGGTCACGTGGTTGGAGGGGGCGGGGCAAGTGGCTGTAGGGTGGGGTTGCCCACGGTCACGTGACTTGAGGCGCGGGGGGGGGTCGGTGCGGTCTCGGGCTGGGTGGGTGGGGCGAGCGGTCACGTGGCTGGAGGAGGGCGGTGCGCGGGGCGAGCGGCTGGACCCCAGGTGAGCGGGGCGAGCGGCTGGACCCCAGGTGAGCGGGGCGCGCCGGGGGCTCGGGGCGCTCTGGGGGCGCTCTGGGGGCGCAGGCCCGAGCGGAGTCCTGGCGCTCGGGCCGCCTTCCCCAGGTGAGGGGCCGTGAGTCCCTCTCACGTTGGAAGCCAGGAGTGGGGGGGAGCGGTGCTGTTCCCGCCGTGCCTACGCCTCCTGTTAGTGCGGAGCCTTCGAGCCCCGGCGCGGGAAGCGCCCTGCCGCGCCCCGAGGGCCGCAGGGCAGCCCGGCTAACGCCCGTGGCGGCCGTGCCCGTGGCTTGGGTCAGCGGGCCCTCCGGTCAGCGCGGGCGCGCCGGCGCCGTCTCTGCAGCTCCACGGCCAGCTAGGGCCATGGTTCTCAAAAAGTTGAAAAACAAAGGCCGGGCCGGGTTGTGCGGCGGGTCCTCGCCGGGCAGCGGGGGTTCGAGGGGCCGCCCCTGCCAAGCCCGACAGGAACGGGCGTGTGAGCACCGGTGGGTGTGGACGCTCCCAGCGCCAGCGCCCTGGGCAGGAGCCGGCTTCCTGTCAGCTCCGCCCGTCGCTTGTCCCTGGGCGGGTGAGACCAGGATACTCCTTGCAGAAGGGCCAGTGCAATAAAAATACCAGGCGGGACTGTTAGAAAGGTGCAGGGAAGGGACGCCGGGTGGCTCCGCGGTTGGGCGTCTGCCTCGCCCAGGGCGTGACACGGGGGCCCGGGATCGAGCCCCGCCTCAGGTCCCCGCGGGCGTCTCCTGCTCCCTCTGCCTGGGCCTCGGCCTCTCTCTGTGTCTCGGGAATAAATACAATCTTTAAGAGAATGGAAAGGTACAGGGTTGCCTGACTGGCTCGCTCAGAAGAGCATGCAACTGTTGATCCTGGGGTCGTGAGTTCGAGACCTATGTTGGGTGTAGAGTTGACCTAAAAAACAATTAAAAAATTTTTTTTTTTAATGGGGCGCCTGGGTGGCCAAGTAACTGACTCTTGGTTTCTGTTCAGATCATGAGCTCATGGACCGTGAGATTGAGCCCCGAGTCTCCCCGAACATTCTCTCCCTCTGCTCCTCCTCCACTTGCACGTTCTCTCTAAATCTTAAAAATAAAATTAAGAAAAAAGGGACACTGCAGGGGTAGGAGAAGCCACGTCTGGCCCAGGGGTGTCAGGAGAGCTGCTGTAGGGAGTGGCTGTCACGAGCTGAGGGGGACTTGAGGACAGAGCATTCCCAGGGTGAAGGCAGCAGCGCAGGCGTGAGCGGGGCTGCCCTGGCAAGGCCTGGGTGCAGGTGCCATCCTCAAGGCAGTACAGGGCCTGTGCAGGAAGCAGTGACAGCTGAAATGGGAAGTCAGAACTGGAATCTCAGGGTGACACTTGTATGCCGTGGGAGCCATGGGGTGTCTTAGGGTGAGAGAGGGGGCACCACTGGACCCGTGTCTGGGGCAGCAGGCTAGATCCAGGAGAGACAAGAATCTCAGCAGGGACTGCAAAGTTCATATCCAAAGAAGGTTCTGGTTTGGAGATATTCTGTGGGCCTGGAGCACGGCAGCTGAAGGGATCAAGGAAAAGGGAAATCCCAACGTTCTGGCCTGGTCGGGCAACTGCAGAGACGGAGGACTCGGGATGGGGGGGTGGGCAGTGTGTTCTTCTTCTTCTTCTTTTTTTTTTTTTTTTTAGTGCGTTTGTTTTGAAGCCTGTGTTTGAGTTGCTGGCAGGATATCCAGCTGGAAGCGTGAATGCAGTTGTGTTGACAGTGGCACCCAAGCATGGCCAGCAGGCAGGGAGGAGGAGGAGCCTGACAGGCAGGCGTGAGGCCGTAGGTCAGTCCTGCGGGGTGGACGGGCTGAGGAGCCAGACTGGGCCTTGGACTCGGCGGTCACTTCTCAGAGAGCTGTGCGGCGCAGAAGTAGGACGGCTGGCTGCAGGCCGTTCCTCCTCTAGCCCTTCCCAGGTGACCACCTGCCCGCGTGACTTGGGGAAGTCGTGGATAGCTCGTCCAGCGCGGAGAGTAAAACTGAAAAGCCCCCTCATTCCTGGCAACAGCTAACAGTGCGAACTAGTGTTCTGGGGCACACTGGGAAATGCCGGTATCCATCTAGAATCTTGGAGCCCCGAAGCACCAAAGCATCATCCTATCCAAGCCTCCCCTTTAACAAACTGATACTCTAATTCACTGAACATTAGCTTCAAATATATCGATGGCACCCAGAATAACCCTATAAAGTAGTAATGCTTAAAGCCATTTTGGGGATTGGAAAACATGCTCCAAGAAGTTAAGGGACCTGCGCAAGATCAGAGCAGTGGGTGGTGGAGTGAAATTTGAACTCAGACCTTCTCTGTCACACATCCTGCTGCCCCCCTGGTGGTCAACGTTCAATACGTTTAAAACAGACGGAATGGAACAGCAGTAATTTCAGACGTTTTCCCTTTCTTAGAAGGCTTGTGTTCTAAAAGTCAGTCCATCTGACTGTATTACATATGAATATTAGCATGTAAAACGTGGGAAGAGTACACAGCCAGCAGTTCCCAAAGTCACAGTTTTCAAAGCGGCAGAGTACTGGGGTCATGGGAGGTTCACTGTGTGCCACGTGAACCCAGATACCTGAATTTATGTGACACATCACAAAAGGTTCTTAGCTCATCCTGCGATTGCTTACTCTTTCCTCTTGCTGCTTTTTCCCTTTGAGTTGACCAATTCCATTTTCTCCACTGCCGGCTGCCTAGCCCTGCTTGTACCTCCTTAACTGGCGTGTGAGTGCACTGATGAGCAGGAATCTGCCAGAGGTAGAGCACAGCTTCTTAGGGATTATCCTTTGAGTCGGGAAATAATTTCCTGTCTATCTTGACAAATAAAAATAGACTTATTTTGGGAATGAACTTGTGAAGGAGCCAAGATGGTTTTGTAAAAAATTTAGGGAAAAAAAAATGACTTTCAGTTCTGTATGATGTCATAAGTAATAGGAACGTGGCTTATTCTGATATTAAGCTCACATTCCTCAAATGACAGCTAAGAATGTCACAGTCTCTGAAATTAGGGATCAGGATTCAGAATCTGGTTCTCTCTCTTGTTAGCTATATTACTTAACTTCTCTGTGCTTAAGTGTAATTGTCTAGACTTGAACAGTAACAGTATTTTTTTTTAAGATTTATTTGTTTATTCAGAGAGAGAGGCAGAGACACAGGCAGAGGAAGAAGCAGGCTCCATGCAGGAAGCCCGATGTGGGACTCGATCCCAGGTCTCCAGGATCACACCCCAGGCTGCAGGCGGCACTAAACTGCTGCGCCACGAGGGCTGCCACGAACAGTAACAGTATTATCTTGCAAAGTCAAGATTAAATAGGATGATCTAAATAAAACACTTAAATAGTGCCTAGCACACAGAAAATAAGCAACACGTGCTATTATTACATCATTGGAAAAGAACCGATGCTGATTTAAAGGCATCTAGTTTTGGGGATCCCTGGGTGGCTTAGCGCTTTAGCTCCTGCCTTTGGCCCACGGCGCAATCCTGGAGACCTGGGATCGAATCCCACGTCGGGCTCCTGGTGCATGGAGCCTGCTTCTCCCTCTGCCTATGTCTCTGCCTCTCTTTCTCTCTGTGACTATCATAAATAAATAAAAATTTTTAAAAAAGGAAAATATATTAAAAAAATAAAGTATCTAGTTTAATAATTTTCTTTTTTTTTTTTGTTTTTAAGATTTTATTTATTGACGAGAGTCACAGAAAGAGAGAGAGAGGCAGAGACACAGGCAGAGGGAGAAGCAGGCTCCACGCAGGGAGCCCGATGTGGGACTTGATCCCCGGACTCCAGGATCATGCCCTGGGCCAAAGGGGGCGCTAAACCGCTAAGCCATCCAGGGATCCCAATAATTTTCCTATTTAGGAGTTATATTCTTATAACTGATTAACACATTTCTCTTCTTGTCCCCTAATCCAGATAAAGGTCCCTTATTTGTTTAAAATTTTTTTTCATATTATTGAGATATAATTTACATACAGTAAATGCACCATTGTGAGGATGATGAGTTTTGACAAACCATCTCATCCAGTCAAGATAGAAGACTTTTCTATCACCCCCGGAGAGTTTGCTCATGCTCCCTGAGGTCAGCCTGTCACCCACCCTAGGCAACCAGGATCTGTTGTCTGTTAGGTATATTAGTTTGGCCAGGATTTCGCATGGCATGTGCTTCCTCTGTTTGTATAATGGCTCTAAGATTCATTTACATTGTTACATACGTCAGGCATTCCTTATTTATTATTTAGGCATTGTTACATATTATTAGGCATTCTTATTGCTGAAGATATTCTATTGTATGGACTTACCATACAGTTTTTTTGTTGATGGACATTCGGGTTTGTTTCCAATTTGAGGAATGCTGTGACCAGTTGTGCATACATCCTTGTGTGAACATGTTTCCATTTCTGTTGGGTAAATATCAGAACTGCAATTGCTGGATCACCTGTTTCAAAGAAACTGTCACACTTTCCCACAGTAGTCATCTGTCTTACACCTCTGCCAGTTGTGTGTGCCCACATCCGCAGCAGCACTTAAGAGTTGACAGTGGTATGCACCAGAATCTCACTGTAGTTTAAATGTACAATTCCCTGACAGCTAATGACACTGAGCGTCTTTCCATTGGTGTACCTTCTTTTATGATGTTATCTTTTCAAATCTTTAAGGGTCTTTGCTTTCAAATATTGAAACTATATGGTACTGAGGTGCCTGGTGGCTCAGCTGGTTAGGCATCTGCCTTCAGCTCAGGTCATGATCCCGGGGTCCTGGGATCGAACCCCACGTCAGGCTCCTTGCTCAGTGGGGCTCCTGCTTCTCCCTCTGCGCCTCCCCCTGCTCATGCTGTCTTTCTCTCAAATAAATAAAAATCTTAAAAAAAAAAGGAAATAGGGATCCCTGGGTGGCGCAGCGGTTTGGCGCCTGCCTTTGGCCCAGGGCGCGATCCTGGAGACCCGGGATCGAATCCCACGTCAGGCTCCCTGTGCATGGAGCCTGCTTCTCCCTCTGCCTGTGTCTCTGCCTCTCTCTCTCTCTGTATGACTATCGTAAAAATAAAAAAAAATTAAAAAAAAAAAAAGATTTAAAAAAAAAAAAAAAAAAGGAAATATATGGTACTTTAACCCTAAAAACAACAGAAACCCCTTCAAACATGATCAAATTTACCTGGCATCTTTGTGTGGTTATAATAGTGGAAGATTAAAAGAAACATCTCACTAAAAAATGCAAGACTAAGAATTATTTTTGAAAGTCCTGGTGAACAATTATTTAAACAGCAGGGTATTTAGAAGAGATTTTTTTTTCTTTTCTTTCTTTTCTTTTTTTTTTTTACTGAGTCTTGAGAAAAGGATGAGATGTTTCTAAACAGCTACATCAAAACAGCTATTTTGAAAGGGCTGGTGGTGAAAGTCCTTCTCAACTACGGTACGAGAGGAACAAGGCTGAGCATTAAGATGCTCTCCAGCTACCAGGCAGGTGTCCGCAGGGGCTGGGGATCTGCACACAGGGAGGGCTCAGCGTACTGTATGGCAATTTTTTTTTTTTTTTATGATAGTCACACAGAGAGAGAGGCAGAGACATAGGCAGAGGGAGAAGCAGGCTCCATGCACCGGGAGCCTGACGTGGGACTCGATCCCGGGTCTCCAGGATCGCGCCCTGGGCCAAAGGCAGGTGCTAAACTGCTGCGTTACCCAGGGATCCCTTGTATGGCATTTTGATCTGGAATATTTTCCTCTGGGAAGAGAGGAGGCAATTAGCCGCACAGTGTTCAGAGTGGAGTCTTGCTGGGGTGACTGTTTTTCTGCCCCGTAGGCGAGGATTTCAATTTGTTTATTCCTTCCTTCATTCACTTATTTACGAAGTATTTACTGAGCACCAGTGATGTCTTAGATCCTGTTTTCGGCACTGGGAATGCAGTGATGATGCAAACAGACAAAATTCTCTATTCTTACAGAGCCTACTTTCTACGCTGGCCCACTGGACAGGCCTGGGCGCCAGCATGGGAGAAGTTTCAGGTTGCCCTACCTTTGGGGAGGCATCATAGGCCGGTCAGAACCCACTCCTATTTTACTCAGCTCCCACTTTCCCACTACCTTTCCCCCTTTTAGTGGCCTGATTTAGAAAAATATGGAAGGGTTTGTTTTTTAAAGATTTTTTTTTTAGATTTATTTATTTATTTATTTATTAATTTATGATAGACATATATATATATATATAGAGAGAGAAGCAGAGACACAGGAGGAGGGAGAAGCAGGCTCCATGTCGGGGGCCCGATGTGGGACTCGATCCCGGAACTCCAGGATTGCGCCCTGGGCCAAAGGCAGGCGCCAAACCGCTTAGCCACCCAGGGATCCCCCTGTTTTTTAAAGATTTTATGTATTCATGAGACACAGAGACCCAGGCAGAGGGAGAAGCAGGCCCCCTGCGGGGAGCCCGACATGGGACTCGATCCCAGGACCCTGGGGTCACGGCCTGAGCTGAAGGCGGACGCTCCACCGCTGAGCACCCGCCCCCACGGAAGCAGGATGAGCAGGGCAGAGCTGGAGGAGAGGCTCTGAGAGCCACACACCCCCAACCTGCACAAGGGCCACGAGGGAACCGCGGCTGGCTGGGCTCCGTAGTGGCTGCACGTCCGGTTTCTGGGGCCACCCTGAGTTTCCTCCTGCTGTCAGGCTTGTCAAGACCACGGCCTTCCTCTTTCCTGGGCCAAGGCTGGGCCGCTTTCCCCTGATCAGCGGCGGTTCAGTCAAGGCCTTCCCTGCCTCCTTGCAGTGCCCTGCAGCCTCTGAAATCTGCAGCCTCTGAAATCGGAGGGCTGGGTCTCTTCCTCCCTGCAAGGCCCTCACCTGTTAGAGACCCTGAAGCGGACAGGCCTGCCCGCCTAGTTGGCACACCCTCCCCGCCCTCCCCAGGGCCAGCCTGTCATACTGATGGTTCTAAACAAGTGCTCTTCTGAACCGCAGGTGACCTGTTCTGCCTTATGTGACTAAGGCATCTGGCCGATGAGCAGGCTGGCGAGGCCGCCGAGTGAGGCGGAGGTGCAGCCCTGGGAAACTGAGGACGACCTGGCAGACGGCGATTTAGGGTATGGCCTCGGGAGGAGGCCTGGCGCGGTTTTCCAAGTGCAAGTTTCCCAATTGTCGACATCTAGAAAAAGATCTGATGGAAAGAACTTTAGCCCTCTCCTACTTCCAGGAAAGGGGGAAGAAAGAAGGGCCAGTTTTCAGTCTTCCAGCCATAAGAGCTTGCAGGATACTTGCCCTAAAGAATCCGGGCCTTCCCACTACGGACGCCAGAGTAGCAGTGGTAAGAATGCCTCGTGCCCTGTGAATCCCCTGTCCTTCCACCCTTCCAGCACAAGGTAAAGGTGACTGCAGTGGAGTTTGGAAATTCATCTCTACTCACCTCTCGGGATTGGTGACAGCACAAAAGTAGCCCGTGCTTCTATTTCCAAGTGTTGTACAAATGCTGAAGTATAGTGATTACTCCATATTAACACAGATGTTGGTGATACCAGCAATTACCTACCTTGCTCTTGGTGTGTGTGTGACTCAGTGGTATGCCTCAGCCTTTTTTTTTTTTTTTTTAATTCATATATTTATTGGGTACCTGTTAGATGCCAGAGGCTGTTGGAGGCTCCGGGAACATGAATGAACCACAGAGTCTCTGTGTCATGAAATTGACATTCTAGTGGAGGAGAGAAAAAATAAACTACCAGTCAACAGCTGTGTAACAGCAGGCAGTCCTAAGTGCTGGGACACGGAGTATTTGGAGGGGTGGGAGCGTGCTATTTCAGGCAAGGGCCAGGCATACCTATCTAAAGAGGTGGCTTCTGAGCCCCAGAATGAACTGATGTCCAAACCTGATACTTATCTGGGGAAGGTGTGCTCCAGGCAAATGTGTACCTCTGGGGTTTTTTTTTTTTAGGAATGTCATGAAATCCTCCACCTAAAGATTAATCTTGTTCAAATGTAATGTCTACACCCAATGGGGGTAATGCAACCTCGAGATTGAGAGCCATTCGTTCCACTGAGTGGGCCAGCCAGATGCCCTCAAAAGATTATCATAACCAAATATAAAATTATGCCATATATTAAGGAAAGAATAAAATTCAGAATCATTGTGAGAGAATGTTACAACTCCAAAATGGTTGGGAACCTGGGGTGACTCCATGCCTCCTTGGTGGCACAGCTCTTGTCTGGCTGAATTTTTTATAATCCATGTTGTAAAAGTTCCCCCATCAAAGGGGAACAAGCACAAATTAGAACAACATGAGAATAATTTAAGAAACATGGTTTTCAGATTCAAAAAAAAAAAAACATGTTCATGAGGATCTTCTCCACCTTTCAGAATCCTTCTTAAAATTACGATGGGATTATTTACTTGTTTTTCTTGCAGTTAGAGGATGTATCATGTCTAGAGGATGGGCTCAGTTTTGCAAGCAAGATGTTGAAAACGGCACATGATGCTAAGATGCCTTTATGAGAACTGAGGAAACCACTGGGGTATAAACAAGATGGAACAGTAGAGATATGAGCTCCTGTCTTGTTGGGTCTTTTATCTCAACTTAGCATCATCCTACATAAGGATATTGTTATTGGTTTCTTATGGCTAATAGGTAATTTCCCAATTACCACAAATGTAAATAATAATAAGATAACTTATCTTACACGTTTTACTGCGCCTGGAGGAACTCCCCTGGAGTTCCTTTGGAGACTCCAGAATCCCATGCCTTTTCCAGCTTCTGCTAGAGCCTGCGTGCACTCCTTGTCTGTGGCCAACCTCCTCCATCTCCGACGCCCGCCATGGCTGGTCAAGTCTTTCTGATGCTGTTTCACCCTGACGCTGACTTTCCTGCCTCTTTCATTTAGAAGGACTCTTGTTAGAACGGTGGGGTCACCTGGTTAATCCAGGATAAACCCCTAGTCCTTAGCTTAATCACACAAAGTCCCTTTTGCCATGTATTCACAGGTTCTGGGGATTAAGATGTGCTCATGGTTAGGGCCATTATTCTGCCTACCACATGTGTTACGACAGTGGAACTGGTCACTGCCAACCCAGTGTCACCTGTCCCTCTGGAACCATCAGAGTAAAAACAAGATTTAGTTTTTGCCTTGATACCATCATATGGAGAGTTCAGAACAGCAAAGAAAAAACTGTTTTGAAACTTTTTAATGTCCCTCAACATACTCTTTCTAAAAAAATCTTTTCTTCCTTTCACTTCTTCTTAATCTTGCTTGTAATTTATCACTTTCATGTTTTTCTATTGCCAGTGAGACCACAATGAAAATGAAGCTCCTGGGAAGCTCAATGTAATGTCTCAATTGATCACATTAAGGAGAGAATAATTGAAGTTACAGGAGACTTCTAGTCATTCTCCTTGGAAAGAAACTAAATTCAGGTTATTTCTTAGATATTCATATCACTGTATTGATCGTACTTAAGCCAAACACCAAAATTTACTTCACTCACCAATGTTAATTACTGTTTTGCATGTAGTAATTAACCAGTTCATTAACAGTATTATTAGCGTCCTTTTTTAAAGAGTATTTTTCTTCAAAAGTTTGTGTCTTTTCATTAGTGCAGTGTTTTAACCTATTTTTTTTTTATCAGTATTTGGTTTATTCCAATTCTTCCCTCCTGACAAAAAATCGTATTTGATATTTTGTAAACAGATGTCCTGTGTTCAACTAGTTAAATATTTTTTTTGTTTGTTTTTCCCTAATAGATTCAAATTCAGAATTGTCAAACGCCGAATTAAAGCAACGTCTTCATGATACTTTAGAGGTAAGTACTCTGGCTAAATAAAAATTCTCATGTGGGGGTGCCGGGGTGGCTTAGTTGGTTGAGCATCTGCCTTCGGCTCAGGTCATGATCTGGGGCCCGGGATTGAGCCCCACATCAGGCTCCCTGCTTCTCCCTCTGCCCCTCCCCTCGCTTGTGCTCTGTCAAATAAATAAAATCTTTTTTTTTTTTTTAAGATTTTATTTATTCATGAGAGAGAGAGAGAGGCAGAGACACAGGCAGAGGGAGAAGCAGGCTCCATGCAGGGAGCCTCACGTGGGACTCGATCCTGGTTCTCCAGGATCCCACCCTGGGCTGAAGGCGGTGCTAAACTGCTGAGCCACTGGGGCTGCCCTAAATGACATCTTTTAAAAAAAAAGTCTCCAGTGAACAAAGCCCACTGATACTTTAAGTAATACTAAAATTGTCTGGAAGGCAGTTGTGGCTTTCCAGATATTTCTCGATGAGCCACAATATCAAGCTCTTAACTTTCAACTGACCTCCTCCATTTTTCATTCTTCTCATCTCTCAAGAGAGCCATTCAGGGAAGCACGCCCTCCAGCTTGCCTTTTGCCCCTCATCTTTTACCACTTCTCTAATCTCCTGGAGAAAAGGGTTACACACTTCCTTCCATCGTTCTTCCTTGGGTGTGTGGCTTGCAATAAACGGACTTAATTTAACCTCTTTGAAGTCAGGAGACCAGCAGGTATCCCAGGCACCCGCAGTCCAGCTTGCCGGGTGTAGGAGTTTCTGTGCAGAGGTCTCTGTCTTCTGGGAAACGGGAAGCCATCTTAATGTGTAACTCTTCCGGTGAAAGCCAGTAAGCTACTGTAGTTGTTTCTTAGGGCTGCTGTAGCAAAGCACCACAAACAGGCAGCTTAAATTACAGAGATGTATCCTTTCTCTGTTCTGGAAGCCAGGAACCTGAAATCCAGGTGTCAGTTGGCCATGTGCCCTCTGACAGCTCAAAGCCTCTGGTGTTTGCCCTGCTGATCTTCGCATTCCTTGGCCTACAGGTGCATCACTCCAGTCTCTGCCTCTGTTGTCACGTGGCCGCCTTGTGTGTCTGTGACCAAATTTTTCTTTCTCAGGACACCGGTCATTGGATTGGGGCCTGCCCTAATCCAGTGTGACCCAACTGTAATCTGGCTGTGTCTGCAAAGACCCTGTCTGCAAATCCAGGAGTTAGGATTTGGACTTTTTACTTGGTGGGGAGGACATAATCCAACTGATAGTAGCTATTGTAGCTCTGTGGATGATTATGAGCTTATTTTAGGTGCTCTAAAGGTTATTTTCAGATTATTAGCTATGTGGTCTAGAAGGGCAAAAGCAAATGATCTGGGCTTTCAGTCACAACTGGTGCCGGACAGTGAGTCTCAGTCTAAAGCCCGCCTGGGCTACTTAGGAAGCTGGGAGTAATTTCCAGCCTCTTTTGTAAGGCCAGAGTGCCTAGAGTCAGAGTGCACGTTGAGCTTACATGTAAACTATCCAAACGGATCATTTTGGGCTTGCATATCTTACAGATATGTAGACTACTTTTACTTCTCTCCTCAGGAGGTAGAAATTTTAAAAACTGAACTTGAGGCATCGCAAAGACAGCTTGAAGGTAAAGAGGAAGCACTGAAAATTCTTCAGAGCATGGTAAGAAATTGTTTTTAAATTTGGTCACTTACACATTCGAATCATAGGTAACAGGGTTTTATGTTTTAAAACAAAAGCATCAGGGCACCTGGGGGGTTCAGTTTGCTCAGCATCTACTTCTACTCAGGTCACAATCCCAGGGTCCTGGGATCCAGGCCTGCATCAGGCTCCCTGCTCAGCAGAGTCAGCTTCTCCCTCTGCCACACCCCCCTTCGCTCCTCTTCTCAAATAAATAAAATCTTTTTTTTTTTTTAAGATTCTATTTATTTATTCATGAGAGAGAGGGGGAGAGAGAGAGAGAGAGAGGCAGAGACATAGGCAAAGAGATAAGCAGGCTCCATGCAGGGAGCCCAATGCGGGACTCGATCCTGGGTCCCCAGGATCACACCCTGGGCTGATGGTGGCGCTAAATTGCTGAGCCACCCGGCCTGCCCTCCAATAAATAAAATCTTTAAAAAAACCAATAAAGGGATCCCTGGGTGGCGCAGCGGTTTGGCGCCTGCCTTTGGCCCAGGGCGCAATCCTGGAGACCCAGGATCGAGTCCCACATCGGGCTCCCGGTGCATGGAGCCTGCTTCTCCCTCTGCCTATATCTCTGCCCCCCCCCGCTCTCTCTATCATAAATAAATAAAAATTAAAAAAAAAAAACAATAAAAGCATCAGTGCTTAATGTAGTTGTTTTTTATTGAGGTGTAGATTTTAAAGTTTCTATTGAGGTGACATTTATATGCCATGAATTTCAATTGTTTTCAGTATATTTTTGCTAAACTTGGAGTTGCATAACCATCATCATGATCTTATTTTATTTTTATTTTATTTTTTTAAAAGATTTTATTTATTCATGAAAGACACAGAGGGAGAGAGGGAGAGGGAGAAGCAGGCTCCATGCAGGGAGCCTGATGTGGGACTCGATCCTGGGACTCCAGGATCAGGCCCTGGGCCAAAGGCAGGCGCCAAACCGCTGAGCCACCCAGGGATCCATCCCCATGATCTAATTTTAGAGTATTTTCAATATTTCCCCAAAGGAATCTCTAACCTATTAGCAGTCTTTCCCTATTCCCATCCCCGACCCCAAACACTAATCTCCTTCCTGTCTTTTGGATTTGTGTTTTCTTTTTTTTTTTTTAAAGATTTTATTTATTTATTCATGAGAGACACAGAGATTGAGAGGCAGAGACACGGGCAGAGGGAGAAGTCAGCTCCAAGCAGGGAGCTGGACGTGGGACTCGATCCCGGGTCTCCAGGATCACGCCCCGGACTGAACGTGGCACTAAACCGCTGAGCCACCCGGGCTGCCCGGATTTGTGTTTTCTATTTCATATAAATGGAATGCTTTAATATGCGTCTGGATTCTTAAAAAAAAAAAAAAAGTCTGGATTCCTTTAATTAACATGTTTTTGAGGCTCATGCATACTGTAGCATGTGTCAGTGTTTTCTTCTTTTTTATTGTTCAATATTCCGTTGTATGGATAGACCACATCTTGTTTATCCATTCACCATTTGATGGGCACTTACACTGTTTCCTCTTTTGTGCTCTATGAATAACACTGCTGTATTTGTCATGCATCAGTCTTTGTGTGGAACGTTCATTCATTCATTCATTCTCCTATTCATCAGAGTCAAACCAAGATCTTCTTTTTTTTTTTTTTTTTAAACCAAGATCTTCTGACCCTGGAACTATCAAATTTTCCATAAAAGGTGGTCTCTGTGGAAATTCTGTGTTTTCCATGGAAATTCTGTGTTTTCCATGGTCTTAAAATAAAAATGTGACCCTTACTGTGCAAAAGGAGTAATGAGAAATTTAATTTATACGGGTAATGATTTTTATTTTTTCCTAGGCAATATTTGGCAAAGCCACAAGTCACACTCAAGTGGTGCTTCAAAAAACTATGGAACAAAAGAGATCCTTGGAGAAGGTATTTGCCACTTCTAGTGTAGTGTAGACTTATCCACTAAGATCTCAAATAGGATTTCCTTTAGAAGTCACCACACTACAGGGTATGTTATTCGTGTATTCCCTCTGTTGGTTGTGCTTCTGTTTTACACAGTCCCTTCCCTTTTGGAGCCAATCCAAACCTGTTGTTACACAGGCCAAGAATTAAGATTTTTTACTTCCTCATTCTAAGGCAGTAGGAGGCTTGCCATGTTGTCACTTTTTCTTCTTTTTCCTTCTTTTCGTTCTCTGCTTGCCTGTCAGAGCCTGCCTCTTTCTGACCATAGCATCATCACGAAGATGGTCGTAAGGAATCCCCGTGGAAGGGCTTGTACCTTTGCCTCTTGTACCTTCCCTTGATGGCAGTGTCCTGGCCTCAAACTCCGAGGCGTGTTTTGCTTGTGGGTCTGAAATGGGTTGGAGGTGGTGGCCGAGAGAAATCCAGGCTCTGCGCAGCAACATTTGGAGCAGTTTCTTATAGGAAGCAAGCTTTTCTTGACTGCTGTATGTGTGGCCTGTGAGATAGGTGTTTATAGATGTCATAGACTCTTTTTGAATAGTTTCTCTTTAACCTGTTCCTGTTAAGTGATTTTTTTCAGCTATCCACAATGTCCTAAAGTGATTTGTAGTAATTTTTTATGAAAAGTGCTATTTTCTTTCTATAGGAAGTAAATGCCTTGCAGTGGGAAATAGAATTTGATCAGAATAGATTGAAAAGTATAGAGGAATCATGGATCCAAAAATATGACAGGTTTGTATATTCTTATTCTATAGTTTTTCTTTGGAAATCTTTAAAGTGTGTATAATTTATATTTTTATTATTTTTAATATTTGTTTATTTGAGTAATCTGTATTCCCCTCATGGGGCTCAAACTCTTAACCCCGAGGTCAAGAATCACTCTTCTGACTGAGCCAGCCAGGCGCCCCGTGAAGTATGTAGAATTCAAATATAGTTTAGGTGTTCTTTTGTGAGCTGTGAATATTATGAAAGTCTTCTTTTTCACTTATACCGGTTTCGTATTTTTGTTAGTATTTTTTTTAAAATATAGTATGAACTATATATATATATATATATATATATATATATTTTTTTTATATGTCTCTTTAATTTTATGTGTCTCAGAGAGAGAGACACATAAGAGAGGCAGAGACACAGGCAGAGGGAGAAGCAGGCTCCATGCAGGGAGCCCGATGTGGGACTCAGTCCTGGGACCCTAGAATCATGCCCTGGGCCGAAGGCAGGCGCTTAACTGCTGAGCCACCCGTCGTCCCTAAACTATATATTTTTTAAGTAGGCTTTATGCTCACTATGAGGCTTGCACTGACAACCCCGAAATCAAGAGTTGTGTGCATACCAACTGAGCCAGCCAGGCACCTCTATCAATTATGCATTTATTGTGTATATTATATATTTTTTTAAAGGTTTTATGTATTTATTAGGGAGAGAGAGAGAGCGTGTGTGTTTACAAGTAGGTAGAGCAGCAGGCAGAGGGAGAAGCAGGCTCCCCGCTGAGCAGAGAGCCTGATGCAGCACCTGAGCCCAAGGCAGGTGCTTAACAGACTAGGCACCAGGCATCCCCCCTTATAAACTTTATTTTAAAAAGCATTGTAAAAAAATAAAAAGCACTGTAATAGCTTCTCGGCCTTTTGGCTAAGATAAAGTGTAGTATCTGTTCTTCTCAATAAGAAGCAGTCTAAGAGCCATGTTTTCCAAGTTACTGTAGTGCTGGCATTTTACAAACCAAATCTTTTGGGCAGTTTTTATTAGTGTGAATTTATTAGGTAATTTTGAATTATAAGATACACATATTATAAATTGAGAAATTAATTTGATAACTGGGGGTTATTATAAATAACTTTAGCACCTAATTTTTAATTCATTACTACCTTTTAATACAAGAGAACTGAACACGTACAGAAAAGTTGCAAGAATAGTACAAAGATTTCCTGTATATCTTTCTCCAAGAAAGTAGAACTCTTTACCACATTTATCATTCCCTCTTTCTTTGTAGTTAAATATATAAAGATATCTGAGCCATTTAAGACTAAGTTGCATATAAGGCCTCATTACTCTAAATATTTACTTTGTGTTACAAAAGGGGACTTTTATGATCATACTAAAATTATCAAAATTAAGATATTAATCCAATACTTATTTAATCTCTAGCCCTTATTTAGATTGGCTAATTATCCTATTAAAATACCCCTGTAGCTGGGCAGCCCAGGTGGCTCAGCGGTTTAGCGCCATCTTGAGCCCAGGGCGTGATCCTGGAGACCCGGGACTGAGTCCCATGTCAGGCTCCCTGAATAGAGCCTGCTTCTCCCTCTGCCTGTGTCTCTGTCTCTCTCTGTGTCTCTTGGCATTAAGATTTATTATAAATAAATAAAATCTTAAAAAAAAATACCCCTGTAGCAAAAGAGAAAAAAAACATTCCTGTGTTCTGGGAGGCAGTCCAGAACCAAGCACTGTGTTTGGTTGTCCCATCTAAACTTGAGTCCCCTTTAATCTGAAACAATTAGGAGGGAGGGAGGCCACAGTGAGGGGCAGGAGAAAAAAATCTGAAGTAGTTATTCGGTGTGTCTTTGTCTTCGCCATTACTTGAGGACAGGCTGGTTACATATCCCACATTGGAGATTTCTGATGTTTCTGAATTTAATTCAGATCATGCATTTTGGGCAGTATTACCAATGAAGCAATGTTCTGTTCTCAGGAGGCTGGTGAAGCTGATCTATCCCATTCCTAGCCTGTGAATCTTGACTACTTGGTTAAGGTGTGGTGTGTACCCTCACTCTCCACTATAAAGTCACTATTTATTCCCCTTGTGATTAATCAGCATCTGTGGGGAGATGCTCTGAGATTGTGATTTATCAGATTTTCATCCACTAGTCTTTATATCCACAGATTTTTCTGCCTCAAGCAGTCATTACTATGATAGTTACCAAAAGGTAATTTGCTAATTCTGTTAGTCCTTCTGCATTTACTTGCTGGCATTTTACTCCAAGAAAGGGCTTTTTTTTTTCCTCCCATTTATTTATACCAAAATGGATTCATGAATTCTTGCATTATTCAGCTGGTTAAAAGCCATTACTATCATAATTTCTCTTGTTGCTTAAAATTTTCCAATTTGGGGGACACTTGGGTAGGGTGCAGTGGGTTACGGTCTGACTCTTGGTTTTGGTTCAGGTCACGATCTCAGGGTCGTGAGATCGAGCCCCGTGTCTAGCTCCATGCTCAATGTGGAGTCTGCTTAAGACTCTCTCTCCCTTAAAAAAAAAAAGTGGGGGGCACATGGGAGGCACTGTTGGTTGATGGTCTGACTCTTGGTTTTTGGCTCCGGTATGATCTCAAGAGTTGCGAGATCGAGCCCTACGTCAGGCTCTGCACTCTGCAAGGAGTCATTGGCTTGAGGTTCTCTCCCCGTCTTATTCTGCCCCTACCCTCCCACCCCCACTTGCTTGCACTTTCTCTCTCTCAAATAAATAACTCTCTAAAAAAATTGAGACCTATTTAGTTTCTTTTTTCTCTTCAGTATGGTTACACTGTTCATTTAAATTTATTTGTTTCTATCTGTGTTCTGGGCTTTTCTCCACCATTCTTTTTTTTTTTTTTTTTAAGATTTTATTTATTTATTCATAGAGACAGAGAGAGAGAGAGGCAGAGGGAGAAGCAGGTTCCATGCAGGGAGCCCGATGTGGGACTCGATCCCCGGTCTCCAGGATCACACTCCAGGCTGCAGGCGGCACCAAACCGCTGCGCCACCGGGGCTGCCCTTTCTCTGCCATTCTCGTTGATTTACTTACTCATATTGTTTATTTTTGACTTTGTAAAACACTGACATGCTTCCAAAAGTCAGAAGTATTCTGAGAGGTATACTCAGGAATGTCCTTCTCCCTGCATGCCTACTCCCCGCATTCCCGATGTCCTGCCATCCTTCCTTTTCTCACCATCTGTAGATAACAGAAATGTGCGTATGTGTCTGTTCTCTAACAACTTCTTTCTTACACCAAAGAATGGTTGGTTGGCTGTAGATACTCTTTTGCACTGTGTTTTCTACTTAACAGTAGAGTTTATCCTGGAAACCACCCCACTGTGTGGGTGGGCCATGTGTACTCAACCATTCTCCAATGTATAGGCACTTAGATTGTTTCCAGTATTTTGCAATTATAAACAGTGCTCCAATAAACAGCCTTGACATATATACTTCTGTGAGACATACTTTTAGGGTAAATTCTTAGAAGCAGAATTGCTGGGTCAAAAGATAAATTCATATGTATATTTATGAGATGTTATCACATGCTTCTCTATGAGGCTTGTACCACTCCACTTGCCTACCAGCAATCTATGAAAAGCACCTCATCAAGAGAATGTATCATAAATATTAATTTTTGTCAATTTGCTAGTTTTGTCTTGGTTTTTGTATTTTGTTTTGGCTGCACAGAACCCAGAAAAATCTTGATTCAGACACACACATTTGTACTTGTCAGTAATTGTCTTCTAGTATATTCTCCAATAAGCAGAGAGGACAACAGATACTTTATGATGAAGTCTGCACAAGAAGAGCGTGAACCAGACAGAAAAGTTAATGCATTTCACTGAGTAGGATTTTTTAAAAATTTTATCTATTTATTTACTTTTGACTAAGTGGGTATTTAAAAACTATAATATATAAGATAGCTAAAGAGGATCTAATAAAATGTTTGTGAGCATCTGAAGAATTTTCTTATAGACTTACAGCTACTAGAATTCAGTTTGAAAATTAAAGACACTCAGTCTTTAATTTTCAGAGTCTTAGAATTTGTACTAACAAAGGTGCTGCAGACCTTGCTTGAGAAACCTATTTCACATTTTATCAATTGGTTAAGTAATTCATGGAAAATGAATGCCTTAGATCTACATTTCACTTTTAATTGAAAAGCTTTAATTTCATGACCAACCACTGTTTTAAAGATCTAAGGCTAGTTATGAGCAACGCATATAACATGCCCCACAAACATCACTACAAAGTATCCTGATACTTTTACCTATCAAGTTTTAAAATGACCAATCTGACTGTTGTTTTCAATTACAAAAACATTAAGCCTCTAATACTGGGCAATTTAGAACTCTTGTAAGTAACTCGCATTTTTTTTTTTTAAAGATTTTATTTATTGGGATGGGGGGGGCAGAGGGAGAGAGAATCTCAAGCAAACTCTGCTCAGCAGGAAGCCAGATACTGGGCTCTATGTCAGGATCCTGAGACCCTAAGATCGTGACCTGAGCCAACATCAAGAATTGGCCACTTAACCAACTGAACCACCCAGTTGCCCCCCCAATTTTTATTCAGTATATTTTCCCCCACATATCTTTTCCTTTCTTGTTTTGTTTTTTTCTTTCTTGATTTTAAAACTGAGATATAATTGAGATCTATTTGTATCAGGTATACAACATAATGAATTCAGTATTTGTTTATATTGCAAAATGATCAGTCTAGATAACATTTGTCACTATACATAGCGAACAAAAAGTTCTTGTGATGAGAACTTTTAAGATCTATTTTCTTAGTAACTTTTTTTTTTTAAAGATTTATTTGAGAGAGAGAACGAGCAGAGGAAAAGGGCAGAGGGTGAGGAAATGTTCCAAGCTGACTCCGCATTAGGCACAGAGCCTGACGCAGAGCTCTATCTCACGACCCTGAGATCATGACCTCAAGTCAGATGCTTAACTGAACCACCCAGGTGCCCCTGATTATTTTTAATTAATTAAGGGAGAGAGGGAGAGAATCTTAAGCAGGCTCCATGCCCAGCATGGACCCTGACACGGAGCTTGATCTCACAACCCTGAGATCATGACCTGAGCTAAAATCAGGAGTCACACAGATGCTTAACCTGCTGAGCCACCCAGGCTCCCCTATTAATTTTTATTTTATTTTAAGTAGGCTCCACACTCATTGTGGAGCTTTAACTCAGGAACCCTGAGATCAAGAGTCCTATGCTGTACCAACTGAGCCAACTAGGGACCTGCCCCCGCCTGTTTTTATTATTTTATTTTTTAATTTGAGATACCTCTGATTCTTTCTCAGCTAAATATATAGGAGAATTAAGAGTGTGTTCAAAATCTTACCACACTCCTTTAAATTGTTTTTGTTTTGTGACTCATAAGTTCTGCACTGTTTTGAAGTAGGAAAAATTTTATTTGGGTTTTTGTGTTTTAATTATAGGATAAAATATTGCCATTCAACCATGATGTTAATGTTTTAGTTATTTGGAGGGTACTTTTTTCCAGGCTAAACTGTGAAAATGCAGTCCTCCAAGAAGCTTTGAACATGAAAACAGAAGAAATTAAAATGCTCAAGTCAGAAAATGCACGTAAGTGGAGAGTGATACTTTGACGATTGTTTAAAATAGTATGTTAAAAGATCAATTTTAGGGCAGTCCTGGTGGCGCAGCGGTTTGGCGCCGCCTGCAGCCCTGGGTGTGATCCTGAAGACCCGGGATAAAGTCTCACATCAGGCTCCCTGCATGGAGCTTGCTTCTCCCTCTGCCTGTGTGTCTCTGCCTCTCTCTCTCTCTCTCTCTCTCCCCCTTGTGTCTCTCTCATGAATAAATAAAATCTTTAAAAAATAAAATATAAAAAATAAAAGATCAATTTTAAATAGAGTGCCCCTTGTTAAGAACATACATAGATAGACAAGGTGCTCTTATTTTGAAGTAATAGGCTGTAAGGATAATAGAAGAAATGCATCATTTGGAGTTTTTGTAATTAAAAGAAAATTTTTTAGGTGAAATTCAAATAACAAAACCATTCAAAAGTAATTCATAACATTCACAATGTTTGCAACCATGTAGTTCCAAAAGATTTCCATCACTCCAAAACAAAACCCTGTATCCATTATTTCCCCCCCATCCTCCCTTTACCCTTTAGTTTTTATACTCATTGCAAAACAGTAGAGCACCTGATGTTTGAGGAATCTGAGTAGGTGTATGTTTTATTGGAACACTAGTAGAAAAAGTATGTAACTGTATAATTATTCAGTATTTTCAAAAATGTCTTGTGACTTTATTACTAAGAAATTTTTAAGATGACTCTGAAAACTTGAAATTTTTTACATGTGTGTATATATACACATCCCTTGTTATGAGCCACCATATGTCAAAAGTTATTTTAATATTAAGATGGCATCAACTTTTTATAAAATTTTATTTTTTTTAAGATCTTATTTATTTATTCATGAGAGACACAGAGAGAGGCAGAGACACAGGCAGAGGGAGAAGCAGGCTCCATGTAGGGAGCCCGATGTGGGACTCGATCCCGGGTCTCCAGGATCACGCCCTGGGCTGAAGGTGGCGCCAAACTGCTGAGCCCCCCAGGGATCCCTTTTATAAAATTTTATTTTTATTTTTTTTCCTTTTATAAAATTTCAAATGTTCATTCTTCTTAGCAGAAACTTTTTTTTTTTTTTTTAGCAGAAACTTTTAAAGTAGTGGCTTGAAGGGGACAAGGTTCTTTTTTTTTTGGGGGGGGGACAAGGTTCTAAATCAGGTCATGGGCACTTTCTGTAGTTCAGTAAGTGAACTGTGGTGCTTCTCAACAGCAGTGACTGAGCAGATGGGGGGACTTCTCCTGTGTTGGGTGAGCTCAGGACAGAAGGTGCCCATGACCACATCCCCTCCCCCTCTACCAACTCATTCTGCAGTAAGAGGGGGTAAAGTTATTTTCTGCTCAGTAGACAGCAGTACCCTTCGTGTTCTAAATGTTTGGTTGAGAGCCTCTTGTGAAGGCAGCTAAAATTATGTGACTGGTACATCTGAGGTTGATGTATGGGATCTCGGCATCTGGTTGTCTTCCTATCCAGCAAGGGCAAATAATTTGCATTTTTTTCTTCTCTTTGAAAATCCTACAAATTTTCTTTGCGCAAATGAAGACCAGACTTTAGTTGCAAAAATGAAGATACTTCAATGTTAAAAATAGTAATGTTTAATCCAGTGTTTCATGTACGTTATCTCCCTTGATACCCACTATTCCATCAGATTTTTTTTTTTTTTTAAGATTTTATTTATTCATGAGAGACACAGGCAGAGGGAGAAGCAGGCTCCATGCTGGGAGCCCAACATGGGACTCGATCCCGGGTCTCCAGGATCACACCCTAGGCCAAAGGCGGCACTAAACCGCTGAGCCACCCAGGCTGCCCTCCATCAGATTTTTTTGATGGGGCCCGTCTTAATAGGCAGTGTCTGTGTATACGCACTGCTTAGGAGTGAGTGTATGTTGTTGCTGTAATTTCATAACTAACGCTCTCTTCTTTGGCCTTTCCTAGTTTTAAATCAACAGTATTTGGAGGCCCTTGCCATGATTGAGGTCAAACAACAGATGGTGGCTCAGGAAAACATATGCCATGATAAAAGTGGTTTTACCGAGGTTTCAAGTCTTGAGGTAGGTAAGCCTGTATGAAACTTGAAAAGAGGGAAATTTTCTACTTTCCTTTTCCCCATCACCATCTGCTACATGTTCTAGAATAGCATTATACTTAGCAATTTCAGACTAAGGGTAAGAGGCCCATGTTTCCCCAGGGCCGTTCTTCAGCCTTACTGGCACCATACCTGTGCATGCATTATATTCTGGGACACAGGATGTGTGGGTCACCTCCTGCCCCTCTTATTTTCATAGTTTTAGCAGAAGCTGTGGTAGCCGTGTCTCACATTACATGATCACAGGTATTTTTTACAAATGGAAGGATGATTATTCTCCTGACATATTCTAAGTCATTCATCATCTCTGAGCACACACCCCTCTCTGGTGGGAGCTGGTAGGAGTACGTGCTGGGCAGCAGGACCACGCTCAGTCCCAAGAACTAACACCCGGTGTTAATATTACTTCATTAGGTCACAATACTGCCAGGGACACAGAAGTATAGAAAACTGGTGCCAACTTAAGGTTTTGGAGAAGGAAAAGCAGCAAGACACAATTCCTTTAAGGTTTTATTGCAAGTAATAATGTTCTTTCTTCATTTGTAGTTACTTTCCACTTGCTTCCTGAAATCCTTGTCTCCACTTTCTTCTAGCTGTATTTTTCTTTCCAGTTTCTTTGGATTAAATGCTTGAATGGAAATGCAATGCGCATGTGTGCATGCATCCTGGTGTTTGTGTGCAGCCAGGCCCCGTATGGCACTTGGTAACAGGAGTAACACTTTTGCATTTACAGCTCGCTGTGCTGGGATCCTGCCTCTGCCATGGTCTCGGAGGGAGTCCCTGTGCCTGTGCCCAAATGGCGGCATCTGCTCAGAAAATGCTTCTTAAACTCAAACAGGAGGTATTGTATTATCAAAACACTAAAAGCTTTGGTTTTGTTTCTCTAGTAATAAAGGAAAATCTCTGCAATAATTAGCTTCATTTTAGGAGGCATTAGCTTTGAATGTTATACTTAGTTTTATGTCCTAGAATTAACTTATAAACTAGATTTTATTCACACGGTTGCAAAATACAAATAGCACTTGGTACAATAAGGTGGCAACGTGAAGTTGTTTGCCTAAGTTTGTAGTTCATATTTCCTAAATTTATATTTTTCTCTATAAATGGCTGTAAAAATTACTTTATTAGAAGAAAAATCACACTCATGCTTAAAGCCACTAGGATCCACAACACTGATAAATAGGGAGATGAACATAAAGTTTATTAGAAAAGCAGCAAGGTACAGTGGAAGGAACCTTAGTACCGCAGACCTAGGTTTTGAGTCTTAGCTCTAGAATTTTCCAGCTGTGTAGCTATGGACACATGTTAAACAGAAACTAATAACTACTTATTAGGTTGTTGTGAAAATAGAGGAAGCAGACATTTAATGTTTAGCAGTGCCATGCAGATGCCTTTAAACAAACAACCTTTGGCATTTAAACAAACAACCTTTGCCATTATCTTTAGTTATAATAATAAATACAGCATATGGACCATAATTTTAATAATATTTTTCCCTTTATTTAATTAAGTATGGGATTTAGTCTTTAGATATAGGAAAAATAACAGTTAAACATTAGCAATTCATTAGGAAAAGCATTGACTACATGGATCACAGTCCGGGTCAGTTATGGCAGGTATCTAAAGGTGATCTTGTAATTATTTTCAGTGATGTTGTCTGGAATGGCCCAGGGCGGAACTGACATGCCAGCCCTCTTGGGGCAGGACACGCACAGGGCCTGGCTAGGTAATGTGGTGAAGTCCAAGAAATGGATAACAAGGACTGGTCAGGCACCACACGGGAAAGTTCTGGTAATCTAGTTCAGAGTGGGTGGCTACTGTAGACGGAGGGGAATCAGCGAGTACTAATTAGTTTAAGCAGATGAAAGAGGTCAGACAGCACCAGACCCACGTCGGGTGGGGAGATTACATTTGCTAGTCTGACTCCGCATTCAGGCAAGAATTGTTAATTGTTAACGTTTTGCTTCTGAAACCTCTCAAACTTTCTTTCTAAACTAGTTGGGACTTTTACAGAAGAGTAAAGACGAAGCTTACATAATGGCAGATGCATTCAGAATTGCATTTGAGCAACAATTAATGAGGAAAAATGACCAGGCACTAAGATTGACACAAATGGATAAAATGTGTAAAAAACCAACAAAATGGATAAATTGGAAGCACCTTAAAGAGGATGGTAAATATGAATTATTAAATATGAATTATAATGGCAATAATCGGGTGTAATTGTTTTCGATATAATCAAAGTTGATTAAGCACAGTTAATGCAATGGAGAATATAATTGAATATTGCAAGATAGTTGTGATTTATTACAGAATTTGGCAACTATGGGAAGAATGGGGTCACTAAATGTAACACATGCAGATGAGGTATTAGGATCACCAAAACCTTAAATTAGCAGTAGAATCTCTTTTTAACTACTCATTTGTCTCATTTAAACCAGACTGTATTTCGTGGGAAAAGTTTCTAAAGTGCCAGGTGACTAAAGGGAAACCGCCTAGGAGGCAATATGAAAATAGACCCAACATTAAATATATCTAACTAAACTTTGTTGAAATGTGTGATTCTGAAGAGATACTGAGGGGTTGAGGAAAAAATCTTAAGTTGGAAATACTAATAAAATGCTCATAAAATAAAAATGAAACAGAAGTTAAGGTTTAGGTTCACAAACCTATCAAAAGCTCATTGTCATCTTTGAGTATTGTAAACAAAATCTATAAAAATGGCATAAAAGAATAAAATCACAGTTGAAGTAAATCACTTAATATAATCAAAGCAGCTGTTATTTTTTAGAAATGTTTTTCTAAATGGTCAATACCAGTTTTTATATTATTCACTGCAGCTCCTATTGCTTCAACTTAAAACTCTCAATTTCAGACTTATTAGTCAAGAAAATTACAGTGAAGCTTGTAAGTTTAAATTTTAAAAGATTTTATTTATTCATGAGGAACACAGAGAGAAAGGCAGACACACAGGCAGAGGGAGAAGCAGGCTCCATGCTGGGAGCCCGACATGGGACTTGATCCCGGGGCTCCAGAATCACATCCTGGGCTGAAGGCAGTACTAAACCGCTGAGCCACCCGGGCTGCCCTAAATGTTTTAGTATTAAAATTCTGAGATGACTATTTCTAAATATTTTTTAATATGTCAAAATCAATTGTCTTAATTCCAGTATCTCTCATTTTTAGATGAATTTGGGGAATAAGAATCTTAAAATATTAAAATTAAACTTTTCATAATAGATGCCTCTTTTCCAAGTAGTACGTATTTCTTACAGTATACTGGTTAAGCATTTGAAATTTTAGTTTAACTAAACTTTACCTTCTCTTTGTTGAAATGGTAAAAAGTGCTAAGCTTACAGGGATAATAAATTAGAAGCAGTAAACAAGAACTGTGAAAGTAGAAGATCGTTAGGAGCTATGGACAGACTTTTCATGAGATAGAAGTCAGAGCAACACAGGAAAACCTATTTCTGAACATTCTTTCTTAAAGAGACAGTCCACATTGTCCTGAAATTAGTTTCTGTATGAGTTTTTCTGACATGAGACTTACAAAAGAAATCACTGCGCTGGCTAACATAATGTCTCAGCCCCCAACAGTCATTTATGGTAAATACAAAATCAGTTCTTTATATGGCTGATACTTATAATAATTAACACCTTGGTCAAAGCTGAATGCATGGCCTCAATGTCCAGCTCAAGGTGGGCGAGTTGGCCAGAGAAATAGGCACACACAGTCCATATACTAAAGCTTTTTGGAATCGATGGAAGAGTATCTAGTCCTGTTAAGGACAACAAATGTGTAGGTCATCTTCGTTTTTTTTTTTTGTTTTTTTTTTTAAAGATTTATTGATTTGAGAGCAAGAGCTCCCTCTGAGCAGGGATCCCAGTGTGGGGCTCGATCCCAGGACTCCAGGATCGTGACCTGAACTGAAGGCAGATACTTAACCAACTTAGCTGCCCAGGCGCCCATGGGCACCTCTTCTAAACTAGGAGGAGCTGGATTGCTAAATTTTCAAAGGTATCGTTTTGAGGCTAGCCTTGGTGTTCTGTGATAGAAGGTGAAGTCAAATCCCTTTGGAAATCTGATTTAACTGCTTGTTTTGACAGAAGTTAAGGAAAAGCATTATGGGAGAATGAAAAGGAAGGAAAAGGCATGCTTAATCTTAGGGAGTCTGCTGCATTGTCACCTCACCTGCACAGAAGGACCCCCACCCCCACCCCTCACCTCACCTGCACAGAAGGACCCCCACCCCCACCCCCTATGCACGGAAGTTGGCCACAAGGGGTAGTGGTTGGTAGAAAATAGCTGGGTTTTCCCTAAGAGGTGGATTCATGTAGATTCATAGACATTTCAGTACCTGAGTATGTATTCATTTCATATTCCAGAACTCCTGCCTTTCTTAGCTGATAGGAACCTTAAGAACTTTTCCATAAAAAATACGCTTTGATATGTAAAGCTCTCGATCTGTTTTCCATTTCGGCCCTGAAGAAACTGGAAGCAGAAGTCCTAGTAACTGATTCCTCTGGGAAAGGCCTTTCCAAGTCCATACAAGCGTCAACGGCTCTTTGGTCAGTTTCCTAGTGATGAGAGACTGATTTTATTCATGTGGTTCAATGATCTGAAGAGGAACAGGAGGACTGTCACAGGTCATTTTCTTCTATGTGGTTATTAATATGTGAAAGTGGCATCAACTTTTCTGATACACAGCCTAGAGGAGTTCTGAGAGAGGTTATAAGCATATTTCTTTTTCTAGACTGCACAGAGACACAGATTCATCCACTCATCAAAGCTGATGAGCACAGCTTGTCTGGCTTTTCTCCTTTTGCCAGTTGCTGGAGGAGGTCACAAGTGAGCGCCAGTCCCTGTGGTTTATCAGAATTAGGGGGAAAGGGAGAGGTCTCTTATCTGTTCTCAGTTTTCCATAAGACCATTTGTGGAGCATTCCAAAGGCATTCTTGATGTTTGTTTAAATCTGCAGTTTTTCTATGAAGAACATCGTCAGTGTATACATTTCAGGATATGGATTTTTAAACGTGTCGGTACCTGGGCTAGTTTTCACAACTGTGCTATGTTTTTGTAACAAAATACAAAAACACAACTGTGCTATGTTTTTGTAACAAAATACAAAATTTACCATCTTAACCATTTTTAAATAACATTACATCCACATTGGTTTTTCATCTCTAGAACATTTCTTTTCATCTTCCCAGACTGTTTAATGGGTACATTCCCTTCTCCCAGCAACTCCTCCCCATCCCCACCCCCAACCCGCCGTGCTCTTGTTATTTAATGACACCGCAATCCTGAAGCATAGGTGCTATTATTCTCATTCTAGAGGTGAGGAAACAAAGCTCAGAGACCTTATCCAACATCATTTTAGTATGCGGTTAAATGAGGATTCAAGTCCAGGTCTCTCTGCTCTAAAGCAGAATTTGCATAGTTCTGAGGCCATGTTTTATTGGCTGTGCACTGTGCTCTCAAATAACAAATGACATTCAACATTGGGAGACTTCCCATACGTAACTGGATTGCTGCCTCCTCTGAAGACTGAAATGATAACGTGGGCTGCGTGCTGTTCTGGGGAGCAGCTGCTCCATGAGACAGAGCGGCCGGCAGGGCACTACCCTGGGTCCTCACGCTGTGCACCCACCCTCTCAGCCTCCGTTTGCCATCCTGGCTCTAACGTCTGCGTTCCTCTCCCATTACACTGTAAGGCTGGACTCACGAAGAGAACCACCTTCTGGCTGATTTACGAATGAATTATCCCTGCTTCATACTTACCTCTCTTCCTGGGAGTACACTAATAAGTATCTTTTCATGTCTCAGTTGGATTTGCATGTTCAATTTTAGGATTATCATCACAAGGAAGTAAGAAGACCTTAGGGCAGAAACTGTTGGGGATGCTCCCTTCAGAAAACAGTTCTAAGAAGGTGGATGACCAGAATAACCCTGAGGAAGTCTTTAAGATGCTAATAGAGTTGGTTAGTATCTTTGCTTTCCTTTTGTTAGAGGTTGTGGTTAAGCTGGTCTTTTTGCTTCCTATTAATTCAACTTTTTAAAAATTTAATTCTTTAGCACTCTATACTTGCCTTTTATGCCCTTTTCCCAGCTGAGGTACCATCCTCCAGTTCTGATCTTCATCTCCTTAAATTCCCTGCATGCTCTTCCCACTTCTCCCATCCATGTTCTTCCTGCACAAGTTTAAAGCTTCACCTCTGAAAAGAGGGGGCTCCCTGTAATTAACTGCAGGCACCTCTGTCATCTGCACTTATACATACAATCCGCGACGAGACCTTCTATTTACTTAGGAACTTTTAAAGTGTACAAGGCAACTTACACATTATATCCTTTAATCATCACTACAACCCTGAAAATCAGTCCTGTTATCCCCATTTCGTGAATGACTAAAAAGACTCATGCTATATGAACATACTTATCTATAGAAGTGCTCAAGTTGTTTATTCTCATATAAATATACAAAAACAATTTCACATATAAATAACTTCATTCTCTTACAGACATAAGTACATGTTAATATTATATACACATATACACACGCACCATGTACATATATTTTCCCCCTCTTTGGATGACCTACAAAAGTTTGAGCATAAGGAAAGCTTTCTGTTCCTTTTAAAAAAATCCTTAGAATGTGTAGCATGTTATTTGGGATCAGTAGACACCTAATTAATGTATTTTCATTGATGGACTTGACAGGTTGAAGATAGAACATTTTGAGAAAAATTCTTCTGACTATAGCTCTACAATCTGTGATTTTGATTTATTAACTGGTATATTTTATTTTTTTTAAAGACTGTTTGTTTTAGAGACCCTGTGTGTGCAAGTTGGAGGAGGGGCAGAGGGAGAGAAAATCTCTAGCAGACACCTCAGTGAGAGCTTAACATGGGGCTCAGGGCTCAATCTTATGACCCAAGCTGAAACCAAGAGTCAGACACTTACAGGACTGAGCCCCCCAGACACCCCTAACTGGCATAATTTTATTTTCTGTATGTGCAGTTGAATGATAAAGAAGAAGCTCTGGCTCATCAAAGAAAAGTTAGTTACATGCTTGCTCGGGCACTGGAAGAGAAAAACACCACCTCAAATGTGAATAAGGAAAAAAATCCCATGAAAGACAATTTTGCATTAAAGTCCTGGGGGAAATCTTCAGAATTCACTGTACTGCATGATCCTGTATATTCAAGCGTTCAAATTTTAAATTCCATGGGCTGCATTTGTTCAATCCAGCACCCTCACAGAGTTCAAAACTGCACAAGAACTCTCAAGAGATCCTGTTCTTTGCCATCAAATATCATATTTTGAAGATAAACCAGTTGAAATCAGAACCAAGAGCTATTTCTATCGAAAGACTTTAAAAAAAGGACTGTACAAATGTTGCAGTATCTTCAGAAATTTTGTATTTTCTGGGTATTTTTAAGTTTTAGAAGGCAGCTTAATACTTAGATACTCATTTTTTACAAGAAACTTAGTAACGTGTTGACGTATTTTATAAATTACATTATTATACTTTAGGAAATTTTCAGTGTTTGCCAACATCTTAAAAACAACAAAAATGATTTTTAAGAAAAAGTTATTTAACTTTAGATTAACTTAAAGGGATCTCTGTCATAAGCAACAATATAAATTAATGCTCTGCGAAATAACAATGCCTAGGAGTGACTTAATTTTTGAAATATGTATGTGTATCTTGTTTTATTGTATTTTTCAGGATTGTTCATTTGTCACAGGAAGTTTAAAACTAATAATTTCCTTAATTTCAATAAAGTTATTATGGTGGGACTTTGGCAGAACTATATTGCAAGCCCCATTAGTTACCTCTATAACTTCTTTTTTTGTTGGTGCAGTGGCACTTTGTAGCTAGAACTACACAGAATTCTAGCACTCGCACCATTATGAATTAACTTCTTGTTGTAATGCTAAATTTTAAGCCATTTAATTTTTTCTTGTTTTCTATAAATGTTACATAGTAAAGATCTTTAATACCTTCTGGGGGGATCCCTGGATCCCTGGGTGGCGCAGCGGTTTAGCGCCTGCCTTTGACCCAGGGCGCGATCCTGGAGACCCGGGATCGAACCCCACGTCAGGCTCCCTGCATGGAGCCTGCTTCTCCCTCTGCCTGTGTCTCTGCCTCTCTCTCTCTGTGACTATCATGAATAAATAAATAAAATATTTGGGAAAAAAAAAAACCTTCTGGGAATGCTGCTACATTAATAACATCACTGTCATGTCAAAGGAAATGGATTACATTATCAGAAACTTTTATCTAGTTAGGATCTCTAGTAAAAAGATGCACGGCTTGGCTGTGTTGAATATTACTTAAGTAGATGAGGTAACAACAGGGCAAAATGAGGGAATAGAAAATATAAACTGTTTATAGTTGTGTTAAAGCAACACCACTGGCATTAATAAATACTAATAAAAAATGAAAACCTGGCAAGTAAATTTTGAAAAAAGAAGTAATGATGAGGAACTACTGTTACTAGATGTTAAGAATGCACTGTCTTGACAGTAATATACAGCTACATTATTTAGAACAATGTGGTAACCAGCGGGTCAATGGAATAGGATAAAGACCACACACAGATTTAATACATATGACAACTTAATGTGAAATAATAGGTAAGAAAAGGGAAAGATTTGGCAATGTTCCACAATAGGAAGTGTAATAAAAAAGAAATCAAATAGGGCTGCCCAGGTGGCTCAGCGGTTTAGCGCCTCCCTGCAGCCCAGGGCGTGATCCTGGAGACCCAGGATCCTGTCCCATTATCAGGCTCCCTGCATGGAGCCTGCTTCTCCCTCTGCCTGTGTCTGTGCCTCTCTCTCTCTCTCTGTCTCTCATGAATAAATAAATAAAATCTTTAAGGAAAAAAAAGGTTCTTTTTTAATGTGTGTGTATAATATGTACATGTATAATGCAAATTCATATAAACTGATAAAATTTGGAACACTCCAAAAGAATCTAAGTCAACATGTTCACAAGTTAGGTTATAAATGGTTTAGCAAATGTGAGGAACTATTCAATCATACAGAAATTTCAAAAATGTAAATTAGAATGAGATACCAAATTAGCAAAGATCACAAAATATGTGAATGACAGAGATGATGGGGTGAAACGGATCCTTTCACAGACTGGTGATGGCTGTGTGTATCTTGGGGGATATATACTCAGAAGTGAAATTGCCAGATCATATGAAGATGCTCTTTAAAAATTTAAGGAAAGGCTGCAGTTTTCCAAAGCAATGACACTTTTACATTCCAACCAATTGTGCACAACGATCCCAATTTCTCCGCATCCTAACCAACACTTGGTATTTTCTGCAATTTTTTTTTTTTTTTGATAGTAGTGATCCTAACAGGTATGAAGTGGTATCTCATTGTGGTTTTGACTTGCATTTCCCTAATGACTGGTGAAATGGTTACTCTAAAGTCCTTTGCCCATTTTTTTACTATAATTTTTTTTATTGTTGAGCTATCTTTTATCAGATCTATGATTTGCAAATAATTTCTCCTGTTGTTTTCACCCTGTGCTTATCACACTCCTTTGATACATACAAGTTTTAAATCTTGGTGTCTATTTTGTCTTTTTAATGAAAGCAAGTTCGTTAAGTTTCTCTCTTGGTAGCAGACAAGGAAACCAAACAGATTCTAAGCACAGCTGTTGGCTTGTAGATGGGAGACGCCATGTGACCAGGCCTGTGGGCTGTCTTAAGAAACTGGGAAAGGCCCCAGGCTGACAGCTAAGAAGGACAGGAAGCATGTGCATTAAAATTACATGAAATGAATGAGTTTGGAAGAATATCCTTCCCTAGAAACTCAGATAAGAGCTCAGTTCAGCTGACACCTTGATTTTGAGCTATGCAAAAAATAGAATTGGGCCAAGTCAGACATCTGACTTACACATCTGTGAGGTAGTAAATTTATGTTATTTCAAGCTGCTACATTTATAACTTTTATGCAGCAAAAGAAAAGTAACAGTCCATAAATAAAGCATGAATATGTAGTGTTATATAAATTTAAAAAAAAAAATATATATATATACACTAAATGGCTGTTAGATACACTTACATGTATTAACATGGAAGGAATTTAAAAAGTTTTGAGTAAAAAAGTGTGAGATATACAGTCTATGACTCATAAAATCTTAAGACCCCAAACAATACTGTGTATTACTACAAGTATTTTTACAAAATAGCAGTACAGTATCATGGAAGGACACACTCATTTCCTGAGAGTCACTCTCCCTTCGGGAAGGTGAAAAGGAAAAGAATGGCATGACATGTTAAAGGGACCTCAATTTCATTTTTAATTTTTTCTTTTTTTCCTATTTAGTAGTATATATTAAATTTGTTAACTCTAGGTAGTAGGTAGATGCTACATTACTACTGCTGGTTCTATTTTTAATCTGTGATGCTAAAAGGGCCAGATCACCAAAGTAACTGATGATTATTTTTATTAAGGTTTCCTCAACCATTTTCAATTCTACATTTCAGAGAATTAAACTTTTAATTTTACTTTTGCACTCTCATCAGAAAAATCAGAATTGTTTGTTTTAAAATACATTTAATAAAAATAATCCAGTTTTACATATTTTACATGTGTGGAATATTTACAAATTCCTTCTATAACATTTACTTAACGTTTACTATTTTTCCATTATTGGCCTTTTTGACTATTTCCTTCAGTAGTAAAATACTGTCCAGTGATCTCTGTAACTAAAAAATTAGCTTCTTGGGTAATCCTCCTAGGTGAAAAAAAAATGAGGTGGTTCACATTTAATCTTATGGCAATTCTAACCAATCAATGCATTCCAACTACATTCATTTCACTTGCTTTGATTTACTAATAAAATTTATTAAACATTAAGCATATGGTATACCAGTAAAAATTTATAAAGAAAATAAGGTATACATGGTAAGTTCTCACAACTCTGAGGTGTACCCAAAAGTGCCCACGTCCTTTCAAAAAGCTTGATTTAATTATTTTCGATGGAAACTAATATTGCTAAAATAACACATTCTCTACCACACTGAGAAAAGTAAATAGCTCACAACCTACATTTCTTAGCTGACCCTTGGTCATTAGCTATACATTACCTACTTGGGAGTTTTCTGAATTTATTTCATTTTTTATGAAAATGAAAGTTTTACCTTGTTCCAAGGCCTGTGTTCGCTTCCGTTTTGTTGCTACAGCTGGATTTGACTGCTCCTTTAAAGTTTCCAGGGGACAGTTTGGTCTTGGCAGCTGACATCCAGGTGTTGGACCTGGCCGATTACTGAAATATTTAGTTTTCAATGCCTTGAAAAAGGAAAGATACCAAGGAAAGTAGGGTTTTACGTATGTGAACTGTGTTTAAGAAAATCTAACCTCCAGAATTGTTGGGAACATTAAAAACATTATGTGAATACCCCACTTCCAAAATGAAATTTCAAGAATTTCGATGAGCCAATTATACAAATAAATACATAACAGCTTAAGATCGGCTAATAATTTCATTACCTTAAGAAAAACACACTACTTTCTAACTTTTCTACATTAAAACAGCCTATACTATATGAAATATCCTTAGTAAGATACTGTATAATTCAGCACTCTACACTTTGGGGCTCTATGGTTCAACACGTAAAGAGAACAACATGTTTAAAAAAAAACTTTGTTTAAACATGTTTAAAAAAAAAGTTTGTCACATCTGTATGTATTCGAATGCCAAACCATGTAAATAAAAATTCTTTAAAATAGTTTTATAAAAAATGCAAAAGGTTGAAAACGATGTTTTAAAATTTAACAATCCACTGCAAATTAATAAAAATTTTACTTGGAAGGAACTGCACAAAGTTATTTCTATATATTACCTGCTCAGTGTTCAATGAGATATTTCCTTTACTTTGGTCCAAAATTCCAATAAAAATTGTTTCAAATGACAAACTTGTCAAGTTCTACTTTATCTGCATCATAGTATAGTCCAGTAACTACAATATTCCTTTTGGATACTCCTTTTAGGAACTTAAACCCATATAAACTTTTCAAGCATTTCCTCCCACATTATTTAAGAGATTCATGACTTCAAGAGTTCTACTTCTAAAATACTGCTTCTGAATCATAATAGTTCTATAACTAAATTAAGCTTATTCTGAGCTATCAGAGATCTAAGAATGGAAGATTATCTCATTCCAACTTTACGACAGATATCCATGAGCCAGAACCCATTTTTTAAAATGCATTCTATCAAAATACAACTCAAGTCACAACTAGTATTTTTCTATAAATTTTGAGTTTTTACTATTAATGAAAACAACTTTCTAGGTAATCTGAAATAGTCTCAAATTTCTTATGATAGAAGTAAGAAGTACATGTGTATGGGTGGAAAGAGAACAATGAGGTACTTGTTTGAAATGAGAAAAGTCATTCTAATGGTAAAGTATCAATGCAATTGCTGTATTAATGCAGCATCATGTACTGACAAAAAGAGATGGTCTATAAAAGCAAATGCATTAGACAATCATTTGGTAGTCTATAATAAACTTAAGTGAAAAAAACTCCACTTTGTATCCTTGGTATATTTACTGTACATTAACATGGTTTCTTAGATATGAAGGCTTGTGAAATTTCATTTTAATCAGGGTCTTACTTTATGAAGCCAAATCATTGTATTGTGTTGCGTTTCTGCTTTGCCCTGCCTTAATTTTAAGTGTTTGTGACATTATTCTTTTTTTGTTTTGTGCTTGTTTTTAAAACAAAGAAAATGGGTATCCCCCCACAATCTATAGGTCTTTTATTTTTGCGTTTGGTAACATTTCTTCTTTTTGAAGAGCAGATATTCTTGATCTTCCTAATTTTTTTTTGAGTTTGATTTTTATTTCCCTTAAACAAGGGTCAGTATCAATGTTTGTTCTATTTAGACTATCTTTCAATCTCTTGTAAGCATATAGTTGTATTGAGCTATACGACGGAAAAAAAAAAAAAAAAAGAACTATACGATGTTTAGGGTCCCTGGCTCAGTTAGTTAGAAGAGCATGTGGCTTCTGATCTCAGGGTTTTAAGTTCAAGCCCCATACTGGGTGTAGAGATTACTTAAAAATAATTTTTAAGATTATTTTAAAAAAGAAAAGCAAAAAAAAAAACTATATTATTTTCTTCTCCATTATCATTTTTTGACTATGTAAACGATCAGCAAGCATATTGGGATTGCGTTTCACGGGGAAAAAAAACAACAAAACACTTTGGGCATTAGGATTAGCACAAACCTAATTGAAATACCATTATCTCAACAAGTACAGAATACTTCTTATTTTTTATTCTCTAGGTAAACTACCTGAAAAGCCAATTAATTATGAAATAAATATGTATTTATATTACGTATTTTAACAAAAGTAAATTCTCCCATTATCATGTGTGCATGATATAATTTAATACCAGTCTGGAAAAAAAAAATAACAGTCTGAATAGTGTTTGTAAGCTTAAGGACAAGATAAAATTTGTTATTCCTTAAAACAAAAACACATCTTTACAGTATTTAAAGAATATTAGAAAATCTTATTAAATTCCATTTTTATTTTATCAATGCCAGAATTAAGATTATCCTCTTATTTCCTAATATAAGAAATACATGCTAAAATACCTGTGTGGCCGTAATTCGAGTACATGGGTTAAATAAGAATAAGCCTTGTATGAGATCTAGCAAGTCGTCTCCTGCTGCAATGAAGATGTGTTGTAACGGGATTCCAGGAAAACTTTTAAATGTCACGAAATCTGGAAGACTACACATGTCCTGTAAAAATGTTTATAATTCAAGCTTAAAGATTGAAAGGCATATAGTTCTCAAATGAAGAACTAAAACTGTCAAATGGAGGCTATGATGAACCATATAGAAAATTTCAAGAAATCTATTTAAAAACTCCTAAGACTACTAAGTAGAACACAGTTACATGGTATAGGATAAACATACAAAAAAACAACTTGTTCTATATACTATAACAAAAGTGAATACTTTTTTTTTTTTTAAGATTTTATTTATTTATTCATGGGAGACACAGAGAGAGAGAGAGACAGAGACACAGGCAAAGGGAGAAGCAGGCTCCATGCAGGGAGCCTGATGTGGGACTCAATCCTGGGTCTCCAGGATCAGGCCCTGGGCTGAAGGCGGTGCTAAACCGCTGAGCCACCTGGGCTGCCCAACAAAAGTGAATACTGAAATTAAAAATGCCATTCAGAATAATTCAAAAGAAAAAAAAGGGGGGTGGGCACCTGGGCAGCCCAGTTGGTTAAGCAACCAACTTCTGTTTTTGGTTCGGGTCATGATCTCAGGGTTGGGAGACCGAGCCTTGCATCAAGTTCCACACAGTGTGGAGCCTGCTTAGAATTCTCTCTCTCCCTCTGCCCCTGCCCCTCTCCTGCACACATGTGCTCTCTTTCTCTCTCTCTCCCACTCTTTAAGAAAGAAAGAAAAAAAAGAGTAACTGAACAATGAAATGTGTGAAAATCTAACAAAAAATGCAGGACACATATACTAAAAGCTACACAACTGGGGCACTTGGCTGGCGCAGGCAGTGAGGTGTGCAACTCCTGATCTCAGGGTTTTAAGTTTGTGCCCCGTGCTGGGTGTAGAGATTACTTAAAAACAAAATCTTAAAAAACAAAACAAAACAAACAAAAAAACTCCACAACTATACAACTATGTAAAGTAAATCAAAGTTCTACATAAATGATGAGACCGGTTTCTTCAAGGATTTGAAGATTCAACTCTGTAATATAATTCCTACCAAAATTCTGACAAAATTATTACACACATTATTCTAAATGTATATTAAATATAAATCTAAAAATTTACAATTTTTATTTACGAATAAAGTGGGATTATTTTACTGAACTACAATACATAAAATTTAGCAACTTAAATTGGTGTAAGTTTTAACCAAGATTTAAGATTTCTTTTTTTGTATACAATGTAATGGGTTAAATATATTTATAGTACTGAGACATCTTAATTGTTAGTGAAAATTCTAGAAATATACTCTAAATCCACCAAGATGTTGATAATCAAACACCAAATACCCATCAAATGAAGTATCATGAGGCTGTTTAAAAAAATCAGTAATAGGGATCCCTGGGTGGCGCAGCGGTTTGGCGCCTGCCTTTGGCCCAGGGCGCGATCCTGGAGACCCGGGATCGAATCCCACATCGGGCTCCCAGTACATGGAGCCTGCTTCTCCCTCTGCCTGTGTCTCTGCCTCTCTCTCTCTCTCTCTCTCTCTCTCTCTGTGACTATCATAAATAAATTAAAAAAAAAAATTAAAAAAAAATTTTTTTTAAAAATCAGTAATAAATACTAAGTAAAAAGAGCATGTTGGGTGCAAAAAAATTATATGGTATGGTCCCATTTTTATTAAAGAAAAGACAAAAGATGCAACTCTCTGTGTATGTGGTTTGTGTATGTATCCTCATTGCAAGACTTTTCAGCAAACTGACAGTGATTAACCCTGGAATGGGAATTACTGGGATAGAGAAAGGGCAACATTACAAAGGAGGCTGGACAGTATACCAGTTTTAACTTTCTACTTGATATAAATTTTTCAGAATATATATTACTAGTAAATTAAGACAAAGAATACATTTAAGTAATACCTACATGACAGAAACATACATAATCCTAACTAACTTTCAAAGAACATGTATGAAGGCTTACAGGCCACTGTTCCTCAGTTGGTGTGCCCAAAGTTTCAAATATTCTTGTTAGTTGATCAAGGTCTGAATCTCCCGGCAAAAAAGGAACCTGAAACAGAGTAAGATGCAGTTATTTCAATGTAGTATGTAATAGTTATACAAGTAATATTATAAATTTAACAAAAAAACTAAACTAACAAAAATCAAAATGTACTCTGAAGCATACTAGATGTGGCATTAGCTCCTACCACTACTAATCAAATAAAGAGCACCATGCTTCCCATTTTATTCACTCCTCAAATCGTTAGTAAACACCAGGCAGGGATGCCTGGGTGGCTCAGTGGTTGAGCCTCTGCCTTTGGCTCAGGGCATGACCCCGGGATCCAGGATCAAGTCCCGCGTCAGGCTCCCTACAGGGAGCCTGCTTCTCCCTCAGCCTGTGTCTCTGCCTCTCTCTCTGTGTCTCTTATGAATAAGTAAGGAAAATCTTTAAAAAACAAAACAAAACAACAAAAAAAACCACCAGGTAATAGGCACTGTGCTAATTAATTAAACCCTAAGCATTTAAAGAAGGGAACAAGAAAGAAGGCACTTGGATGGTTCAGTCACTTGAGTGTCTTGATCTCAGCTCAGGTCTTGAGCTCAGGGTGGAGAGTTTAAGCATCACATTGGGCTCCACACTGGGTGTGGAGCATATTTACAAAAACAAAAAATGTGCTCACTTCGGCAGCACATATATTAAAATTGGAACAATACAAAAGAGATTAGCATGGCCCCTGGGCAAGGATGACACACAAATTCACGAAGCGTTCCATGTTTTTTATGCCATGTGGAACCGGAGGGTGGTGACGGGGAGAGTCAGGCACCTAGGGGAGGGAACCCCTCAGCGGGCGGACCCAAGGAAATGGTCCCATTTCATACAAGCTCAGGCCTGCTGGGGCTCAGGGAGGCGGGTGACAGATGAAAATCATGTCCAGCACCTCTGTGCCTCCGGAGAACAGCTAAAATAGGTTCAGCCTTCCACCTCATCATTTCTGTAATCTGTTCTTTGATGTCTTATTTTTCACAAAGAAATTAAATGACTTTCATGAGGGAGGAGGAGGAGGAGGAGGAGGAGGAGGAAGAAGAGGAAGAGGAAAAGGAAGAGGAAGAAGAAGAAGAAGAAACAAGACCATCCTGGCTCTCCCCAAGGGTGAATGTGAGAATGCTGGTAATACCATGAAAGGGACATTTACGAGACGTTTTCACTGAGAGCACAGGGTCCTAGCACACACAGAACAGCACCTAACGCACTCCAGACAGGTCAAGGAAGGCTTCCTAGGGGAACAGCAGTGAAAGTTGAAAGATGAAGAAGAGTTAGCCAGAGGCAATGTGTAAGGTGGAGGAAGACTATTCTAGTTGAAGTACAGGAGCAAAGGCTAGAAGGCAGTACACTATATTAGAGATCTTATTTAAGTAATATCTTGGCGTTCTATTTCTTTGAAGAGGTAGGATGTCAAATTTTAAAAGGTTAAGTGACTGCAAGCTAAAAATTAAAGGCTAATAATTAAAATCCTTGCTATAGGGGATCCCTGGGTGGCGCAGCGGTTTAGTGCCTGCCTTTGGCCCAGGGCGCCATCCTGGAGACTTGGGATCGAATCCCACATCGGGCTCCCGGTGCATGGAGCCTGCTTCTCCCTCTGCCTGTGTCTCTGCCTCTCTCTCTCTGTGTGACTATCATAAATAAATTTTAAAAATTTCAAAAAAATAAATAAAAAAAAAATCCTTGCTACACACAGACATCATTTTCCACTTCATTCTCAAACATCTGTGTAAATAATAGGAGGATAAAAAAGAGTTTACACTGTGAATAAGAGGCCTTTCACACTATTAGAGGCCTTGAAAAAAAGTTTATAAACTCAATAAGAAGATGAGATTAAGTACGAGGTCTCCAAAATTTCTATTACTGTGGACCCCTCCCACCCACCCCCAACAACCCCTACCAAAAAAGCATTTAGCCCTACCAGGTATCAGTTTTTTCCAATCTCACCCTTCTTGGCTTTTATGAGAAAACACATTTGGGGCTTTAAATGTTTTTCTTTTGCCAGCTGAAGCTCTGTCAACAGAAGTAGCTGGAGAAACACTACAGAAGACTTTTGCTACCTGGGTCCAGCTGGCTCGACCAGCTGGCTCCTGGAGCACTCTCGGCTCCTCTAGCAACAGGTTCCCACACCTGTGGGCAGTTCTTTCAGCGCCCAATGCACCAAGCAGCTTCCCTCTACAGATGGCTGTACAGAAGAGTGCCTCTAGAAACCCCCGGCCCTGTATGAGCTTTCCTCTGCATGCAAGAGGACAGATTTTCAACAGTCTGCCAACACAGCTCTACAGAAACTTTTCTGTCATCCAGCAAGCCACGCTGTGCTCTCTTCAAAGAATAGCTCTCAGTCCGAGTCCTCTGCCGTAGGTGCTGTCTCAGTCTTAGGTTGGCTGCTCCTTCTGTCTATTCCTGTATTAAAATTCTCTCTTTTTTTTTTTTAAGACTGAGAGAGCGACAGATAAACAGTATGCAGGGGAGGGGCAGAGGAGGTCTTAAGCATATGCTGCACCAAGCACAGAGCCCAATGGGGGGCTCGATCTCACAACCCAAAGATCATGACCTATGCAGAAACCAAGAGCCATACATGCACCACCCAGGAACTGCTCTCTTTACTTTTTATTAGTCAATCCTTCATTATTGTAATTACTTATATTTCTTTTTATTAAACTTCTCTCTTGGGCAGCCCGGGTGGCTCAGCGGTTTAGCGCCACCGTCAGCCCAGGGCCTGATCCTGGAGACCTGGGATCGAGTCCCACATTGGGCTCCCTGCATGGAGCCTGCTTCTCCCTCTGCCTGTGTCTCTGCCTTTCTCTCTCTGTGTGTCTCTCCTGAATAAATAAAATCTTTTAAAAAGTAAATAAAAATTTAAAAACAAAATAAACTTCCTCTCTTCAATGTATGGTTTCTATTTTCTGACTGGATCCAGACTTAATACAATCCCTATATATAATACTGGACCATTTATGTATATGAAATGTACATCCAAAAAAAGAAAGCTGAAGTTACACTAAGTAACACTGCATGAATATTTTTAGGCATCCTAACATTTCATTCTCATACTGCAAAAGATTATCTCCTACTTTGCAGACTACTAATATAAATTAATTATACTGTAAGATCTGAAGAATGGGACACTCATCATTATAACCTTACTTTCCTGGGCAAGGTAGCAATTTAATCAGATTTTAAGGATGGGTGTTTGGGGAACGCCTGGGTGGATCACTGGTTGAGCATCTGCCTTCGGCTCATGTCATAACCCCAGGGTCCTGGGATCGAGTCCCACATTGGGCTTCCTGTAGGGAGCCTGCTTCTCCCTCTGCCTCTCTCTTTCATGAATAAATAAAATCTTAAAAAAAATGGGTGTTTTGGTATGATGTACAAAAAAATTTTTTTCCAAATATTTAAGTAATCTCTACACCCACCATGGTGCTCGAACACATGACCCTGAGATCAAGAGTCACACACTCTGGGATGCCTGGGCGCTGCAGTCATTTAGGTGTCCCACTCGTGGTTTCAGCTCAGGTTGTGATCTCAGGTTCATGATACCAAGCCCTGTATCAAGCTCTGCACTCAGTAGAGTCTATTTGAGATTCTCTTTCTCTCTTCCCCTGCCCCTCCTATTCACTCTAAAAGAGATAAATCTTGGGATCCCTGGGTGGCGCAGCGGTTTGGCGCCTGCCTTTGGCCCAGGGCGCGATCCTGGAGACCCGGGATCGAATCCCACGTCGGGCTCCCGGTGCATGGAGCCTGCTTCTCCCTCTGCCTGTGTCTCTGCCCCCCTCTCTCTCTCTCTCTGTATGACTATTGTAAATAAAAAAAAAAAAAAAAAAAAAAATTTAAAAAAAAAAAATAAATAAATAAAAGAGATAAATCTTAAAAAAATAAATAAAAGTCACATACTCCTCAGACCACGCCAGCCAGGCACCCCATTATAATGAGCTGCTTAATGTGTGAACTTGGATTTCTACAAATAAGTTTACAAAAATAAACCAACTATAAAACACATTTCTGATAAAAAGTGGGAAATCTGAACATAGACTAGATGTTGATTTATACTTCCTTTTCTTCAGAGGATAATGGTATTATAATTATAAAAAATTCTTAACAAAAACAAAAAAAATTCTTATCTTTTTGAGAAATAGTAATATGAATAAGATGGCATGTCTGGAATTTGTGGCAGAAAACAAATGTGGTGTGAAAGAATTATAAAATAAAGCTGGTCATGTGTTAAAAACTGCTGCAGCTGGTTGGTAGGCACACTGAGGATCATTTTTCTCTTAAGACTCCCCTGCTAAAGCTCTCGTCCCTCCTGCTTCAATCTTGACTAGTTTGCTCTCTAGCCTGCTGCACAGCTGCTGCAGGTGTGGAATTCTATTCATCCCCTTTTTGTGTTGAATCTCATTTTCTCTACATCCCACATCTTTCCCTTGATTTACTCTCATGTAATAGTAGAGCACAGCTTCCAAGAAATTCCTAAGAAAGGAAGGTGTAAAATTTTTAGTGTAATAAATTCTATTTACTCTCAGAGCTAACTGAAAATACAAATGGGCATGCAATTCTAGGTTGGAAATTATTTCCTTCAAAATGCATTCTACTGCCTTCCAGATTTCAGTACTGCTTTTGGGAAGCCTGATGCCATTCTCTTCTCTAAACCTTCATTATGATTTCTATGTAACTTCTCTTTTTTCTCTCTGTGGAAATGAAATATTTTTCTTAAACTCTGGTACTCTGAAATTTCTCAAGATGTATTGGGATGGGTCTTTTTGCACTTTGAGTCAATTTACATCCATCAATGCTGGGCTATTTTCCTGTGAATTTCCTGTCCTACATTTTCTTCTGTTTTTTGTTATATTCTATGATCAATCCTGGATCAATCAGCTAGTTTTAGTTTTTGGTCCTATTTGATAAAAGAATACTTTCCCCTGTTTTCATTTTCTTTTAGTTATCCTATGTGAAAATTCTTCAGTATCTTTTATTCTTTCATCCTTTAGTAATAGAGCATCCTGTTCTTGTTTTACAGGTGCAGTATACTCTCTTATTTCTCTGAAGATGTGGCAGGGGTGGAAAGTTAATTTTCTTCTCCTATTTTTCCCAAGTTTCTTTTTAAGTTAGTCTTTGACGTGGGATCTTTATCAAATATCTAATGATCATTGCTGATTACCTGGTAATTCCAACAGGATGGAAGCACTCATTAAATATCTGGAAATCCTTGATAACTATGTGGTAATCACTAACTATTCATACTCAAGGGTAAGGTACTAAAAACGTCGATTACAACTCACAGGCCTTCTCTAGAAAGGCTGGGTGAGGAGTTTAATGCCAATTATTTGTGGGTCTATTCTCGGGGTCATTCAGTTCTTCCAGTAATGTATCCTCTACTCTTTGGTCTGCGTTAAAGAGTTACTACAGAGTATTACGAGGCTAAAGGGTTCTGGGAGCTGGGCAGGGAACTAAATTGAAAGTTTCACAGTTCAGCATACACACTTTCATATAATCTGCATGTTTTTACTCACATTCTCCACTGTGTCTAAGACAGTGATGCATGGAGATTTGTGTTTCAATTTCTTTTTTTTTTTTTTTTTGTGTTTCAATTTCTTTAGAGAATAAACCTATCTCTAGAAGAGAGATAAGTCAGGTGGCAATAAAGGTGGAAAAAGGGAAGGGACCTGGCTGCGTAGGGGGATCCTGGTATTAATTGCCCATAAAAAATTTTTTTTGACCAAGTTTTTAGACCTATACTTCATTATCATCATCAATGATCAGTGATCCTGAGCACCTTCAGGATTCTGTGTGCCAAGCCACAACTGCCTCTAGTTGGCATCTTTTTCTGTAAAATTTTAGCCTTTTTAATTTCTGGTTTTACATCTGCTGGCATAGTATTTTGGGTATCTCCTAGTTTCAAAGATGGCATATATATATATATTTTTAAGATTTTATCCATTTACTCATGCGACACACACACACACACACACCCACATCCACACACACAGAGAGACAGAGACACGGCAGAGGGAGAAGCAGCTCCCTGCAAGGAGCCCAATGTGGGACTAGATGCGGGATCCCAGAATCATGCCCTGAGCTGAAGCAGGCGCTCAAAGCTGAGCCATCTCTAAATTATCTTTTTAGAGATAATTTATGGGGGATGGTGCTTGCCCTGCCATCTTGAAATCTTTAAGATACAATTATCACTTTATTTTGAAAATGTCTTCCCTCTATTAAGCACCAAAGCAATATTTTTAAATTAGTTTTAAGTTCACTAAGTATTTATTTACTTATTTATTTATTTATGAGAGAAAGAGAAGGGCACAGACACAGGCAGAGGGAGAAGCAGGCTCCATGCAGGGAGCCCGACATGGGACTCGATCCTGAGTCTCCAGGATCACACCCTGGGCTGAAGGCAGTGCTAAACCGCTGGGCCACCAAGGCTGCCCACACCAAAGCAATATTAATGAAGAAATCCACTGCATGTCTCAGCAAGTACTAGATATAGTATGCAACCCAAGACAAACTTTTTTTTTTTAGTAATGAATAACTACTTTTAATTTTCATTTAGTAATGTGAATGGTTAAATTTAATAATCTGTATAACATATTTAAGTTCAAATGGGGGCTCTTCCATAATCTCATTTTTTTAAGGATTTTATCTATTTATTCATGAGAGATAGAGAGAGAGGCTGAGACACAGGCAGAGGGAGAAGCAAGCTCCCTGTAGGAAGCCCAAGGCAGGATTCGATCCCAGAACTCTGGGATCACACCCTGAACCAAAGGCAAATGCCCAACCACTGAGCCACCCAGACGTCCCCCATAATCTCATTCGTAACAACTACTGGTCCTATTTTCATTTGCTAAATATGGAATTTGGACTAGTGAGTCATCCATATTTAGTTAACATAAGTGAATCATGTTCAAGTAACATATCCACATATTATTGCAAACAGAAGCATTACCAAAGAAAGAGCCTGTGCTTATTTTTTTCCTGTTCTTCAACAACTTCCTAGAGGATACCAAAATTTTACCAACACACAACTGTGACTAAGTATGTGAATGAAATCTTTTTAGTTTTAGGAAAAAGAATCCAATTAATCCTAAAAGGAAGAGAGACACTGAATTTAAGGGTACCATGAGTAAGGAAACCAAGAGGAACTTCTCTCTGGTTCTTTTCAATTTGACTCCATTCATAAAATCTTTTTGTGTTCAGATTCATCTCTTTAAAAAATTTTGATATTGTAGAAATTTATTTTTTCTTTTTCATGTCTTTATAGGGAGCCAGGAATCATAAAGCAAATATTAGAAAATCAGTAATTTTTTAATGCGATAGGCAATATCAACAATATAGTTTGTTTGTTTATTTATTTATTTATTTATTTTAAGATTTTATTTATTCATAGAGATGCAGAGAGAGAGAGAGAGAGAGAGAGAGAGGCAGAGACACAGGCAGAGGGAGAAGCAGGCTCCATGCAGAGAGCCTGACGTGGGACTCGATCCAGGGTCTCCCAGATCACGCCCTGGGCTGCAGGCGGCGCTAAACCGCTGTTCCACCGGGGCTGCCCTATTTATTTTTTAACAATATAGTTTTTAAATAACTGGAACACTTTAGCCTCTAGCACCTTGTGTATCAAGGAGCCTATGCCAAACCAAATAATGGAAGCTGCAGTCTGAGCTGATACAGCCAAAATCAAGTACTGGAATGACAGCGTGCTGAAGATCAACCATATGTCAAGCCATTAGTTCTGCATCCTGATCATTTAAATGAAATAAAAGGTAGGCAGGCACATGTTGGTTGATCAAACTTTTATATCACCATATTATCTCTAAAGAAGGCTCTACTACGGGTCTGAAAGATGCCCAGGTGACCTTACTCTAAGGCATAAATTGTCCTCCCTAAACTATAGACTTCTTGTTTATAAACGAAAATGGTATCTTTAAAATTGTGTAGACCAGGGCAGCACCGGTGGCTCAGTGGTTTAGTGCCGCCTACAGCTCAAGGCGTGATCCTGGAGACCCGGGATCGAGTCCCACATCGGGCTCCCTACATGGAGTCTGCTTCTCCCTCTGCCTGTGTCTCTGCCTCTCTCTCTCTCTCCTCTCTGTGTATTCTCATGAATAAATAAATAAAATCTTAAAAAAAAATTGTGTAGACCAGATATAAGGCAGTTGCTCAGTAGATAATACCCAAGTTTATTATTTTTTTAAAAGATTTTCTTTAATATAAATTCTTTATTCATAGAGACACAGAGAGAGAGAGAGAGACAGAGAGAAAGAGAGAGAGAGAGAGGCACAGGCAGAGGGAGAAGCAGGCTCCACACAAGGAGCCCAACGTGGGACTGGATCCCGGGAACTCAGGTTCACACCCTGGGCCAAAGGCAGGCGCTAAACCACTGAGCCACCCAGGGATCCCCAATACCCAAGTTTAGATTTTCTGTTAGTCATTGCCTCCAAGTATGTTTAAGAAAAAGGATGTAAAAAGATCATAAATTGAAATGTATATTTGTGCTATTTAAGGACACAGTACCAGATTTATGCAATCCACCAGTATAAGTATTTGTGTATTCCTTTTCATTTAACAATCCAGAGGATGTTAAGAATGTAGATCAATTTGCTTCCAAAATGATTCAAACTATACTGAATACTTTGGTTTCATATTAGCTTATTTATTGTTGTTCCTGTTTTCTAGTTTAAGTAGTCTTTCAAGCTATAAAATATTTATGAAGGAAAAATAACACTTTAAAAAAGGTTGAATGCTGATAAAAGCAAACCTTTTGAACTAAGCTGCTGCATTCAATTATCATCTGTTTGGATGACAAGATCTCACCACAGACTCAGAACTGTGTGGAGAGCATTTCCTGTTTAAATAGGAACAGTTTAAAACAGGAAACATTTAAAAAATAAATTAAAAAAAATAAAACAAGAAACAGCTTCAATCGTTCAGGACACATAGTACCGCAAAATGGTGTAATTCTTCACCAATTAGAGCTGCCTGTCAAATTCCTCATAATTTTAACAATGATTTTTTAAAATTTTTTTTTATTTATTCATGAGAGACACACAGAGAGAGGCAGAGATACAGGCAGAGGGAGAAGCAGGTTCACTGCAGGGAGCCTGATGCAGGATTCAATCCCAGGAACCCAGGATCAAGATTGAGCCAAAGGTAGACGCTCAACCACTGGAACCACCCAGGTGCCCCACTCTAACAATGATTTAATCAACAGTGCCAGTGGCTAGTAAGTCTGATGAGTTTTATTATAGTTATATTTCAGATTACAGAAATGATCTATAATAAAATCTTTACTGTCCTAAATGAGATGTCTTCACATTTCACATTAACATTAACCAATAAAGTTGCAATGGAGGAGGTGGCTTTGTTTTTTTTTAAAGATTTTTTTAAATTTATCTGACAGAGTGAGTGAGCGCGCGCGCACAAGCAACACAGAAAGAGTACGCACATAAGTAAGGAGAGCAGATGAGGGAGAAGCAGGCTCTCTGCTGAGCAGGGAGCCCAATGCAGGGCTCAATCCCAGGACCCTGGGATCATGACCTGAGCCAAAGGCAGATAGTTAACCAACTGAGCCACCCAGGTACCCCGAGGTAGCTTTTTTTTTTTTTTTTTAAACTGGTCTATTGTTGGCTTTGTATTGGAAAAACAGTGTTCCTCTCTGAGAATTATCTATGGGAAGATAATCTTACACAAGTTATACAAATACCTATTACAATACTGTAGTATATACATCAATCCTAGACTTACCCTTAGAAGCAACTCTGCTAATATACAGCCAACAGCCCACATGTCGACACCTACACCATACATTCTAGCTCCAAAGAGTAACTCAGGGGCCCGATACCATCTGAAGAACAAAAAGGAAGATTGTAATTTTATGTTTACTTTTATTTTTTTTAAAAGATTTTATTTACTTATTTGACAGAGAAAACACAAGCAGGAGGAGTGGCAGGTAGAGGGAGAAGGCTCCCCACGGAGCATGGGTCCAATGTGGGACTTGAACCCAGGACCCTGGCATCATGACCTGAGCCAAAGGCAGACGCTTTAACTGACTCAGCCACCTAAGCACCCAAAAAAACCTGTAATTTCCTCCAGAAACTCACAACACCATTCATCCTCTAAGCCAATGACCTTATTTCCAGCTTTACTAGAAAGAATCCAATAGAAAGAAAGAAAAATTAAAAACAATTCCATGGACTCACCTATGGTCATGTGTATTTATACCATCTGCCTTCTCATCTGTAACTACAGATGAACTGTCCTGGACTGTTGTAATGCCAGTATGTCAACTTGGGGCACTAGGTACCATGCTCTCTTGCCTATTTCCAAAGATACTGAAATTCTCTTCTTCCAATATCAATGTTTTCTTCTTCACTAGACTTTTCCCACTAACGTACAAACATACCATTATTTCTTCAGTCTTAAAAAATAAACCAAAAAATTAAAGTAGCAAACAAAAACTTATTTAGGCCCAACTTCCTCTAGCAGCTATCTCTACATTCTCTGGTTATTCTGAAAAGCTGCCTGTTTTTACTGTCTCCAATTACTATTCTCTTATCTTTTTAAACTCTTTCAGCGGGTGGCTGGCTCAGTTGATAGAGCATGTGACTCTTGATCTTGGCAGCCCCACATTGGGTGGCAAGTCTACTTAAGATAAAAATTTTTTTAAATTAAAATTAAATTTAAACAAGAACAAAAAATACTTTCAATTAGGCTTTAATCCTACTACTCCACCAAAATTGCTCTTGTCAAGGTGATCAGTGATGTCCAAATCATAATTTAACAATTTTCAGTCTTCATTTTAACTTGATCTATTACTAGCACTTGGTAATATATATATATATATACGTATATATATATACATATATATATATATATATATTTCATATATCAGAAACTGGTATATGAAAAGCACTGGTAGGGCAGCCCGGGGTGGCTTAGTGGTTTAGCGGCGCCTTTGGCCCAGGGTCGATCCTGGAGACCCGAGATCGAGTCCCAATTGGGCTCCCTGCATGGAGCCTGCTTCTCCCTCTGCCTGTGTCTCTGCCTCTCTCTCTCTGTTCTCTCTCATGAATAAATAAATAAAATCTTTTAAAAAAAGAAAAAAAAATAAAGCACTGGTATACAATACTTACATGTGGGTCCATTTTCTTCAGTTCCAAGAGTTCCTAAATAATGTGCTGTATCTCTCCAGCAAGTACATCAATAACCACTTATATCCTTTACTTCTTACTTAAGGCTCAGGTGATTGACACCCAATGAGATCTATTTTGAAAGTGCCAAGTTATCTTTTTTTTGAGAGATTTACTTATTTATTTTTGAGAGACAGCAAGCTCGCACACGTGCATGCATGCACAAGTAGGGAGAGGGGCAGAGAGAGAGAGAGAGAGACAGAGAGAGAGAGAGAGAGAGAGAGGAGAAACCTCAAGGGGTAGGGCAGAGGGAGAGAGAGACTCCCAAGCAGTCTACTCACTGAGCGTAGAGCCCAAAGCAGGGCTCAGGGCTTGATCTCACAACCCTAAGTTCTCAACCTGAGCCAAAATCAAGAATCAGACACTTAACTGACTGAGCCACTTAGGTGCCCCAGGTGACAAAGTAATTAAAAAGAACAGAATATTTAAAGATCTTCTCAGATCCTTAAAGAATCTTGGAAATAAATAAATGACATTTGGGGATGCCTGAGTGGCTCAGTGGTTGAGGCCTACATGCCTTTGGCCCAGAGCATGATCCTGGGTTCTGGGGACTGGGTCCCTCTTTGGGCTCCCTGCACGGAGCCTGCTTCTCCCTCTGTTTATGTCTCTGCCTCTCTCTGTGTATCTCTCATGAAGAAATAAATAAAATCTTAAAAAAAAAAATACATTCTGACTAGAATTATAAAACCTACTGTCCGTATCTATTTCATGTGATTTTTTTATACATAAAAAGTATAAAAGAAAACATAAGTACAAATAATAAGATAAACCCAAATACCAATGCACTGCTTTATTCAGAAAATTTTCTTTCTTCTTCTTCTTTTTTTTTAATAAAGCAGTAACAGTTTTATTAAATGAGGATACAGAAAAAGTTCTCAGGGGTGAGAGAGGTTCCGACAGGGTTGCTCTATTTAGACCATTTTCATTCACACAGAGTGAAATAAAACATGAAATAAATCAGTGACTGACCAATAAAATAAACACAGGTCTCCCAAATCAGGTGAATATGTAAAAGAATAGCCACTATAGTTCCAACTTACCTAACTAAACTGTATAAGTAGTATAAATTAGTCCCAAAAGTTATTAGACAAATGCCTGAAAACTGAGTTAGTTCAACTCCATCTGAAAAAATGCCTGTAATTATTTCATTGTGGTTAAATAAACATAACGTAGTAATATTTTTAGTAAAACACCACCAACAATTCCTAACTCTACGGGGATATTTCAGAGAAGCCAAATGATGCTCATTTGGGATTCATATCTACACAATAGGGGCACCTGGCTGGCTCAGTGAGTAGAGCATGTGACTCTAGATCTCAGGGTCCTGAGTTCAGCCCTATGTTAGGCCTACAAAAAGCTTCCTTAAAAAAAAACAAAAAAATTAAAAAAAATAAAAAAATAAAAAAACAAAAACTAATCCTGCAAAATATAAACTTTCAGTTTTTTAAGTGATTCTTACCTGGTTACAACCTGATGTGTATAAGCTCTATTGGGGCTCCCAAATGATTTGGCCAGGCCAAAATCTGCCAGTTTTAGAACACCATTTTCATCTAGCAACAAGTTGTTTGGTTTTAGATCCTGTATCATGGAGGTTTTAAATAAACAAGTAAGCAGGAGGGAGAGAATACCATAAAAATACTATTAGTTGGCTTGACTTTAAGCTTTGCAAAAACAGGGTAAAACCTCAAATTTAAACATATCAGATATAAAATCTTACCACAGCAAAAGACTGGTTTTATTACTTAGTGGGACCTTGGATTTACCTACTTCACAGGGTTGTTGTGAGGATTAAATTTAGTGTTTTTTGTAACGAGCCTACTATGACAACGAGGAATTCAATAAATAATTGCTGCTATTAATTTAGTAACAGTAATACACATCAACTTCAGTAAATAAAAATATTATGCATTTAGAGAGAATGAGGAACATATTCCTCAAAATCTATACTAAAAAGATATTAGCAATAACCTAAAAGGGATTCCAAGTTTAAGGTACGAGAATTACTGATTATAAATTATACATTCTTACTTAGCTATTTATCTAAATAGAGTGCTTAAAAATATCTACCTATAGAGAGTGTCAGCCTTGTTTCAATAGCTAAATATTTCTAATACTGACTCAACCATTTCAGAAACTTTATTTCATTACTTCACAGAATTTTAGAGTTACTGAAATATTGCTGTTCTAATATTTTAGCAATGTATAATTTAGCCCAGTCTCTCACTGTATTTTTTTTTCCTGTCACAACAGTATAGCATAAAGAATACTGGACTTAAAGCCAAAAGACCTAGATTCTAATACTCTGTTGGTTATCAGCTACTGACCTTGAAAGAACTATAACCTTGGTCAGGTGAAACAGCAAATTAGCTATTCATCTATGGAAAAAATGAAGAACTGGGCCTCTTGCATTTCTAAATTTTACATAGTATTTTACAGTTCTCATTAGCACCACCTGGTGGAATAACTGAAGGGAACACCCAGAGGAAGACAGGATAAAATGGTCCGGCTTTATTTTTAATAATATACGTATTTAGACCAAATATTTATGTAATAACTGGTTACATAAAACTTGACTAAAATGTAAAAAAATCAATCATAATTGGTTAAAAACCTTACCCTATGTAGAATCCAGTGTTGATGTAAATATTCCAACCCTTGAAGAGTCATCAACATGTAGGCTTTGATGTGTGATGGGGTCAGCACAAGACTATTATCCTTTATTATAACCTGTAAATCCAGTATATAAAATACAATTATTCCAATTAAATTACATCATATAAAATCACACACAGACATATAATGAATTTATCCATCATATGGGAGAATCTGAAGAAACACTGCCTAACTCTCCTTAGGAAGCAGTGTCAGAATTTCCAGATACGGAATTTTCCAGTTAGGGAAAGTATCTGCTGGGGCTTTTTCTCTTCTACTTCATTGTTTAAAAGGCATTAACATGGTGAACATCTGTTGTTTTGCTTGCCCCAGGATGTACAGCCCTTCTGATAATAGCATTCAACATTCCTTTGGGAAACCACCTGTTTAAAACAGGACTGACCACTACCTGTGGCCTCTAGAGGCAGATACATGACCCAGGCATAGCCAACCACCATACTCAAGCCTGCTGTCCAGAAGACTGCTTTAGAGATGGACATGTGATCCAAGCTAATCAAACAGGCCAAATACTTCTAGAATCAAGGGAACAAAGCACCTTCTTTCCTTACAGATTATTAAACTCTAAGGATATAAGCCACTATATTGAGAAATTATGCCCATGAAGGAAGATAACAAAGAAAATAGAGCTGAGTTAAAGTGCACAACTGAGTTCTCATGCATTATTTGAGAACTGTGCTTAAAGCCAGTTTATTTAAAAAAAAAAAAAGCCAGTTTATTCCTAAACTTATATGTTAGCTAGAAGTTATCATTTTCTTTTTATAGAAATCCTATTTAGAGGGGCAGTCCGAATGGCTCAGTGATTTAGCACCTGCTTTCGACCTAGGGCATGATCCTGGAGTCCCGGGATCGAGCCCCATATCGGGCTCCCTGCATGAAGCCTGCTTCTCCCTCTGCCTTGTGTCTCTGTGTCTCTCATGAATAAATAAATAAAATCTTAAAAAAAAAAAAAAAAAGGAAATCATATTTTGATAAAAGGTATCCAAATTGGCAAGAAGTAAACTTTTGGTATTTGCAGATGACATGATACTATACATAAGAAACCTTAAAGACTCCACCAAAAAACTACTAGAATTGATAAATGAATTCAGTAACATTGCAGGACACAAATCAATACATAGAAATCTGTTGCATTTCCATATACTAATAATGAAGTAACAAAGAAATTAAGAGAACAACCCCATTTCTAAAAAAAAAAAAAAATCAGATTTAGGCAAAATATGCCCTTTCTAGTGCACAGTTCCATGAGTTTTAACAAAGACATCCAGTTGTGTAACCATTATCATAATCAAGATAGAGTTCTTTTAACTCTCACCCATACCCCAATCACCCCAGGCCCCTCTATGCCCAATACTTCCCTCTACTCCCAACTCTGACCACCACTGACCTGATTTCTGTTTCTTTAGTTCTTGCCTTTTCCAGAACATCATATAAATGGAATCATATAATACACAGACTGGACTGAGCCTGAGTTCTTTCATTTAGCAAAATCTATGTGATGAGATTCCTCTCTACTGTTATATATATGAGCAATTTATTTCTTTTTATCCCCAAACAGTATTCCATTTTAAAGATGTACCATAGTTTGTTTCTATATTCACTAGATGAAAGATATTTGGATTGTTTCAAGTTTGGGCAATAATGAATAAAACTAAAAAAAAACTAAAAAAAAAAAACTAAAAAAAATAAATAATGAATAAAACTGAACATCTGTGTACCAATTAATTTCTGGGTAGACATATTTTTATTTCTCTTAAATACCTAGCATTCATATTGCTAGATCATTCTTTAGCAGTGTATTTCACTGTTTAAGAAACTGCCAAACTATTTTCCAAATTGGCTGTACCATTCTGCATGCTCACCAACGGTGTATGAGAATTCCAGTTGTTGTTAGTTTTCGAGATTCCTTAATTAGTATTAAGGAAAAGCCTAAGAACTCATTTTCTCAAAAAAACAAAACAAAAAACTTGGCTTTCAAAAGGATGATATTCTGTGATAATATGGAAAAGAAACTCTAAATTCTCAAGGGCCTAATACTCATTTCTCTAAAAATAATGTCAATAAGGTAGAGGGAGCTTGGTAGATAGAAATGTTTTAAAATCCAAATCTCTGTATCTAACACTGGGAATACGGCTAAATGATTCAGAAGATCCTTTACTTAGGAGTACGTTCACATTCCAAAAAATTAAATATTCCTTTGAATAACAGTACCTTCGAAAGTAGGAAATAAACAGGTTCTCTTTTGATAAAAAGAGAAAAAAAATCTCTTAGGAATCTTAATCTTACCTCTAGATCAGTTTCCATAAAATCAAAGACAAGGCTAATATTAGATTTATGCCCAAAAGCATCAAGGAGCTGCAAAGCAAAATTCAAAAAATAAATAAATAATGTGATTTTCTATAAAGTACTTGAAAACATTGTACCAACTAATTTTTAAAAATTTAAACAAGCATGAAGACTGCTGATAATACTCTGTTAAATCTGATTTTATTAAATTTGACATTTATCCTTTTTCTTGCTAGGAATTAGTAATTTAAGGTGTAAAACTATTATTTTTTTTTTTTTTTTTTAAGATTTAAGAGAGGGACGCCTGGGTGGCTCAGTGGTTGAGCGTCTGCCTTCAGCTCAGGGCATGATCCTGAAGTTCCATGAGTCCCACAAGGGGCTCCCTGCATGGAACCTGCTTCTCCCTCTGCCTGTGTTTCTGCCTCTCTCTCTGTGTCTCTCATGAATAAATAAGTAAAATCTTAAAAAAAAAAAAAAAAAAGAATATTTAAGAGACAGAGAGCACAGCAAGGGGAAGGGCAGAGGCAGAGGGACAAGCAGAGTCCCTGCTGAGCAGAGAGCCAGACTCCAGGCTTGATCCCAGGAGATCCCGGGAGTTGGAGATCATGACCTAAGCCAAAGTCAGAAATCAAATCGACTAAGCCACATAGGCACGCCTCAACTTTACTATTTTCAAAAAGTCACTAAATACTTAAGCTCGCCTCCCAAATTTTGAGAGCTATGTTTAAGAAACAAATAATTGAAAATCTCACCTCAGTCTTCAATTCTGTGCTCAGTTTTTAAGAAAATCCTATAAACAGCAATGGCAGCTATCATTCAATATATGCATTCTCTATGTCAGGCTCTATTTCCAGGTACTTTATATGCATTCAATCAACTAGTCTGGGGTGCCTGGGTGGTTCAGTTGGTAAAGTATCCGCCTTTGGCTCAGGTCATGATCCTGGGGTCCAGTCCTGCATCAGGCTCCCCACTTAGTGGGGAGTCTGCTTCTCCCTCTATCTCCCTGCTTGTGATCTCTGTCTCTCTCTCTCAAATAAATAAAATCTTAAAAACAAAACAAAACAAAACAATTAACTAGTCTTGTCACAACCCTATGAGGTAAGAATTATGGCACCGAGTTATAGGGAAGCTTACTCAAGGTCTTATACATGCTAAAGCTCTCCAGGCTTCAAAATGATTTTTGACATAATTAGGCTATATGCCAATATTAAATGTTTTAATATTTAATGCTTTTAAGACAACTGCCTACAGGACTAAAGAGAATAGAAAATACATATTATCCTGATAAACTGTAAAGCTTGTTTGCAAGGCTCACCTAAAACAATTCATCTTGCTCAGCATTCAATCAATATCTACCTCATTCAGAAATGGCAGGGTCCCAGATCCCAGAAACAACTCATATCATACTCACACCAATTATATTTGGATGGCTTAGCTCCTGTAATAATTTTATCTCTCTTAAAGCTGTTCTGTTTATACCTATATGAAAAAGCAAAGCAAAATGTGAAAAATAATTCTGAAATCTCAAATCTCCTTACAAGCATATTTTTTGGGACAAGTTAGTCTTTCAGGAAATGGCAGTGAGTACTCCATAGAGAAATACAGGCTATTGGACAAATTGTTTGACATTTGGTTTTCTTTTATATTGCTTTATTTTGAAAATAGCTTAACAATGACCATGATAATTATTCATTTTGTAGCATATCACTTGAGAAGACTGCTGCAATAACAATGTGTCAGTGTGTAACATTAAAGGAATAAGTCAATAGCTTCCTCTTTTTTGCATTATATTAGGAACAGATCCTGGATGCTAACAGCAAAATAGTGGTAAGACAGTACCTTTCCCAATACAAAGGATAGAACTCAAAAATAAGTTCTGGTACTGCCTATTATATATAGAGAGATGATGGGTTCTGTTTTATAAAAACTAGTTCTTGATGACTAAACAAGACTTAGCACACAAGGCTTTGGAAGAAGGGTAAAAACATGTTTTCTTCCATTTATCATCTATTTCAGTGTGAGCTTTCTGTACTTCCATGACGTTGTATCCTGATTTTTCAAATTAGAAGGCCAGAAAAATAAAAAACTGCTTGCAACAACATCTTCAAGAGTAATGAAAATAGCAAGACAAGCCACTATAACCTTGTTGTCTTCCATTTACTCAGATGACTTGAATGACTTACATACTCTTAACATCCAAATGGTGGGTATCACAAATATCCTGTCTCTATCCTGAGTCTCCACCCTGAGTTTACTCTTCCAGCATCCCGCAATAACTCCATCTAGAATCTCTCATAATTCCAATACTTTGCTTATTTCCTTAGAATAAAAACTTTTCCTGCTCTGTCAGATTATATTAAATACTCACCATCTTTAGCTTCTGATCTATGTCCAAGTTTAATCTGGCAAAAGGGGGGGAGGAACCGACACATTAAAAATATGTTAGCTCATTTAGACTTAATGTATAACATATAAACGCTTCAGAAATGTGACCACAGCAAAAACATGTAGCGACTTATATGTAACCAGTAAACAAAGAGGGAGTGGAAATCATGAATTTGAAAGGCAAAATTAACAATATAAGAAAGGACCAAGTACCTACTATTCCTTGCCCCTTAACTTTTTCAATTACACATTCAAATAACTGAATTAAGAAAATAAAGGTCTCCTTTATCTTTGCAAGATTAAATGTAGAACTGTAACTGAGGGCACATTAACAACAAAATCGTTTCAAGTTAGCCTACTTGGGAGGACATAAATGATGTTATAAACATAAAATTACATGTTTAATATGCCCCATAATATGCTCCTAAGGAACACATTTTCAAAAAGCAAAATTACAAGGACACCTGACTGGCTTAGTTGGTTAAGTGTCTGCCTTCAGCTCAGGTCATGATCCTAGGGTCCTGAGAACAAGCACCCCATCAGGCTCCCTGCTCAGCAGGAAGTCTGCTTCTCCCTCTCCCTCTTTGAGACTCTCCCTGCTTGTGCTCTAATAAATAAAATCTTTAAAAAAAAATTGAAAAAAAAAAGCAAATTATGATGGATACAAAAAATGGCTAAACTGTCATCACCATTAACACAGACAAAAACCACACACACAAAAAAAAGCGTAAGAAATTTCACTAATAGGTTTAGGCTTACACCAGTCTCTTAGTCACTGCTTTATACAATGACTACATATAATCATAATCAAAAATACTCAAAACAAAATTTATTTCTGGAAAAACACAGCTATTCTACCTTTAAAAATATCTCCCAGATAAATGCAAACTGGTGTAGCCACCGTGAAAAACAGTATGGAGGTTCCTCAAAAAATTAAAATGTAATTACCATAGGTTTCAGTAATTCCCCTACTGTGTATTTACCAAAAAATATAAAAACACTAACTCAAAAAGATACATGTACCCTATGTTCATTGCAGCATTATTTACAAAAGCCAAACTATGAAAGCAATACAAGTGTCCATCAATAGATGAATGGATAAAGATATTATACACACACACACACACACACACACACACACAGGAATATTACTCAGTCACAAAAAAGAATGAAATCTTACCAGGTACAACAACATGGATCTTATTTCACTAAGTGAAATAAGAGAAAGACAAATAGCCTATGATTACATTCATATGTGGAATTTAAGAAACCAAACACCAAACAAAGAAAAAAGAGACAAACCAAGAAACAGACTCTTAACCATAGAGAACAAACAGATGGCTATCAGGGGTGCAGGTGGAGAGGTGGATAGGGAAAATAGGTGAAGGGGATTAAGATTACACATAATGAGCACTGAGTAATGTACAGAATTGCTGAATCACTGTGCTGTATGGAACTAATGTAACACTATATGTTAACTATACTGGAATTAAAATTTAAAAAATAAGATTCCTGATAATGATAAAAATAGATTAAAAGATATAAATTACAGATATCTACCAGCAATATACTATAAACACTTACTTTTTTTTTTTTTAAAGATTTTATTTATTTATTCATGAGAGACACAGGCAGAGGGAAAAGCAGGCTCCATGTGAGGAGCCCAAAGCGGGACTTGATCCCGGATCATGCCTTGAGATGTTCAACCACAGAGTCACTCAAGCGTTCCTCTCAACAGCATTTTTTAATCGACAAATCGATTTTAAACTTTACACAGAAATATAAGGGGCTAAGAACAATTTAAAAATTTTTTAATTCTCTAAACACAATAAAAATATATTAGTTTCATGAAGCCATCTACTTCACTAGGATTAAATATCAATATTTTGCCACACTTACTTCATTATTCATCTTTCCCTTTTATAACAAACCACAGATTTCATGAGATTTCATCCCCATGTACCTAAGTAGGCATCTCTAAAACGTAGATATTTTCAAGATTCCCTGGGTGGCTCAGAGGTTTAGCACCTGCCTTCGGCCCAGGGTGTGATCCTGGAGTCCTGGGACTGAGTCCCACATCGGGCTCCCTGCATGGAGCCTGCTTCTCCCTCTGCCTGTGTCTCTCATGAATAAATAAAATCAAATCTTTAAAAAAAAAAAAAAAAGTAGATATTTTCTTACATATTCAAAATGCCATTTTCATACTTAACAAAATTAATAATGACATAGCAGTTTATCATTATTAGTATCATATCAGTTTGTATCAAATTCTCCTGATTGGGGATCCCTGGATGGCTCAGCGGTTTAACACCTGCCTTTGGCCCAGGGCGCGGTCCTGGAGTCCCGGGATCGACTCCCACATCGGGATCCCGGCATGGAGTCGGCCTCTTTCTCTCTCTCTCTCTGTCTCTCATGAATAAATAAAATCTTTAAAAAAAAAAAAATTTTCTCCTGATTGTTTGAAATTTCCCAAATGGCAGATAAAGTAGTCAAGGTAATTTTGAAGAAAAACAGGTATGTAAAACTGATCAGATTTCAAGACTTCTGAAACACAGTAGTAATTAAATACACTATAGTATTTGAGCAGGGATAGGGGAAAAAAAAAATCAATCCATGGGGAAAAAAAAAAAAAAAAACAGGGGATCCCTGGGTGGCTCAGCGGTTTAGCGCCTGCCTTTGGCCCAGGGCGCGATCCTGGAGTCCCAGGATCGAGTCCCACGTAGGGCTCCCGGCATGGAGCCTGCTTCTCCCTCCTCCTGTGTCTCTGCCTCTATGTCTATCATAAATTAATTAATTAATTAATTAATTAATTAAAAAAAAAAACAGTGCTCAGAAATGGATCCAAGTGCATACTGGAACCTGGCATTACAACTAAATGAGAACTTGGCATCATAACTCACCAGGTAAAGGATAGACTATCAATAATACTGGGACAACAAGGAAAAAAATACTGAATCCTCATATTACACAAAACAGAAAAATTAATTCCAGATGTAATAAAGACCTAAATGTGAAAAGCAATACTTTAAAGACTGGAGATAGGCAAGCAAAAGAGGAAACCCATAAAGGAAAAAAATGGGTAAATTCAGTCAGAACAGGATTATAAATTTCTGTGCCCCAGAAGATAGCATATATAAACTAAAAGTCCAGGGCAGCCCTGGTGGCCCAGTGGTTTAGCGTCGCCTTCAGCCCAGAGCATGATCCTGGAGACCGGGGATCGAGTCCCACGTCGGGCTCCCCACACGGAGCCTGCTTCTCCCTCTGCCTGTGTCTGTACCTCTCTGTCTCTCATGAATGAATGAATGAATGAATGAATAAATAAATAATAAACTAAAAGTCTAGCCAAAAACTGGGAGATGATACCTGCAGCGCATATTTCTGACAAAGGATCAATGTCCAGAATATAATAAAAAATTCCACCAAATAGGAAGAAAAAAATTCAAGCACCCTAACAGAAAAACTGATAGGAAAAAGTCTAAAAAGCCAATAAATCTAAAAAAAGACGATCAATCCAACTGGTATCCAGAGAAATATTAACTGAAATAATCATATACCAATTTGATACAGGTAATTGACAAATGTTGTAAAATCTTTTTTTTTTCTTTTCTTTTTTTTTAATTTATTTATTTATGATATTCACAGAGAGAGAGAGAGAGAGAGAGAGGCAGAGACACAGGCAGAGGGAGAAGCAGGCTCCATGCACCGAGAGCCCGATATGGGATTCGATCCCGGATCTCCAGGATCGCGCCCTGAGCCAAAGGCAGGCGCCAAACCACTGCGCCACCCAGGGATCCCAAATGTTGTAAAATCTGACAATACAAACATAGTAAGAAAGTCGAGGGAGATTAGTCCAACCACTTTGAAGAACAATCTGACAATACATGAGGAGGCTGATGCTGAATATTCCCTAAAACAGCAATAATTTACAGCTGTTTCAAATATGGATATATTCTCTAAAGAAACTCACACGAACAGGCATGTCTGTAGAACTGTATTAAGGGAAAACATAAGTAATAATAATAAAATAGCCTAAAGGTGTATCAAGAATTTGGACAACTTTCAGCGTAGTTATAGGATGGATTCTAATCACCGATGATCATAAATAAACCACATCTACATGTTTTCATGTAGAAGATTTCAGAAATAAGAATGATTCAGAAAAACAAACTGAAAAAGAATATTTATATATGGCGGGTCAGTTAGCTAGCCATTGAGAGAAACAGTCTAAAAGGCCACCAATAGAGGACTGGTTAAATAAATCAGGCAGCATAAATTCCATATGATCTTTTTAAAGACATGAGATAGAGATCAATGATATTTTATTTTTTTATAAATTTCAGTAGAGGGACGCTTGGGTGGCTCAGCGGTTGAGCGTCTGCCTTTGACCCAGCACCTGCTCCTGGAGACCTGGGATGGAGTCCCACATCAGGCTCTCTGTATGGAGCCTGCTTCTCCCTCTGCCCGTGTCTCTGCCTCTCGATCTGTCTCTCTCATGAATAAATAAATAAAACCTTAAAAAAGTTTAATTAATTAATTTCAGTAGAAATGAAATATTCCACTTACCCTAAATGTATTTTAAAAGCCTAAGATACAATAGATGAAAGAACACAGAATATACATTACTTGTAAAATTAAACATTAAATGTTAATAGTAAATGAACAAGTATAAAACTACAACAAAAAAAAAACTAGATAATGTCTAAAATGAAGTAGAGGCGAGCACTCAAGAAATAATGATATAAGCATAGTATTTAATGAAAAATAAATAAATACCAGAGGAAAACTATAGGAGTTGTAAGTGATTGCCCTAAGGAGTGAAAGACAGGGCTAAGAGTCAAGTACCTTAAAAAGCCTAGGCCTTTTAACTTTTATTAAAACCACAATGAAGACATATCTGACATAAAAATTAAATATAAAAGAAGATTCCAGGGATCCCTGGGTGGCGCAGCGGTTTGGCGCCTGCCTTTGGCTCAGGGCGCGATCCTGGAGACCCGGGATCGAATCCCATATCGGGCTCCCGGTGCATGGAGCCTGCTTATCCCTCTGCCTGTGTCTCTGCCTCTGTCTCTCTCTCTCTGTGACTATCATAAATAAATAAATTTAAAAAAAATAAATAAATAAAAGAAGATTCCATTTTGAGTAACCTTCAAGGGGTAAAAGTCTATCAAAGAGAAACAGGAAGGGCACCTGTGTGACTCAGTTGGTTAAATGTCTGCCTTGGGCTCAGGTCATGATGTCCAGGGTGCTGGGATCACCCTAGCATAGCTCCCTGTTCAGTGGCAAGCCTGCTTCTCCATCTCCCCCTGCCCCTCCCCCCTCAAATGAATAAATAAAAACATTTTTTTAAATGTTACAAAAAGAAACAAGATGAATTCTAAATCCCAATTTACTTTAAAAACAAGCAAAAAAAAAAAATCCTCAAATAAAACAAACTCCCTTAGGACTTTCAGACAACTACAGAACTCAGTATGACAACACTGGAAAGATTTTATCAGTCAGGTTAATACACTTTTTTTTTTAGGTTAACACATATTTTTAGTTTTATTTATTTGCCAGAGACAGCAGAAGCAGGGAGAGCAGCAGAGGGAGAAGCAGGTTCCCCACTGAGCAGGAGACCCCGTGCGGGACTCAATCCCAAGACCCCAGGATCATGACCTGAGCCGAAGGCCGAGGCCTACGCTCAACCACTGAGCCACCAGGCGTCCCAAGGTTAGTACATTTTTAACATATATCTACAAATGTACTGGACATGATTCTAAGTATAATTTGAGTGGAAGTAAACAGACAATAAGCTTACAGGTAAGAGGATTTCAAATTTTGATAAACGTCATGAAGATAATGGAGACCTACAACAAGGAACTCTGAAAGTAGGGAGGCACAGCTATAGGAACTAGTGGAGGCCTCTATGTGAGAGAGATGGTCGAATGAGATCTAAAACTTGCCAAATTTTAGAGAAATATATACTCACCAGAAGGCAAGCAAATCCAATGATCCCAGGAATGAACTGAATTTAATTTGTCCGGGGACAAAAAGGTCAGTGTGGCTAATATAGTGAACCATAGTTAGAATCGAAAAGTTAACTTCAGAAAGGGTCAGAATAGACAAGGCTTTTACACAGGAGTAGCTACAATGCTGGACGACACAATTCAAGTTGGAAATGAGAGGAGGGACATCAGAAAACGTAAAAAGAGGGCAGCCCGGGTGCCTCAGCGGTTCAGCGACTGCCTTCAGCTCAGGACGTGATCCTGAAGTTCTGCGAGTCCCCATCAGGGCCCTACAGGGAGCCTGCCTCTCCCTCTGCCTGTGTCTCTGCCTCTGTCTCATGAATAAATAAATAAAATCTTAAAAAAAAAAAGTAAAAAGATATTAATAGCAGGAGTAATTATGGAGAGGACAACAAGGAGTCAGGTGCAGGTGAATCAGGGGGATAGGCTTCAAAGGGGTCAGGAATTTTGAAGGGGAAACAGGTTCAAACAGCAAGAGGCGGAATAATAAACATAATAATAAAAATAAGGAGGCGGAAGTCACCTACCCCACCCACCAAACAGGCCTGGAGATGTGACAAAAACCGTCTCTCTCCGAGAGGATCACTGATTTCAGGAGCACAGGAAAGAACCAGAACCTGGCAGCAGAACGCCTGGACTTAAATTGTAGTTTGAGCAATTAGCATGTGCGTCATTCTGACACGTTACTCGCTCTATCTTAGTCTCAGCTACCTCCGGTGCAAAATAAACACCCTTTACCTACGTCACATGGCCAGGTGGAGGGCTAAATGAAAACACACACACACACACACACACACACACAAAAAACCATAAAACAGGGTAAGGGAAAGCATCTGACAGGTAGGCACATTAGCGACATATGACCCAAGTTTCTTGAATGAATGCAAGTAAAAAAAAAAAAAAAAGCTACTTAATTAATATTTTTAGGGACGCCCCGTGGCTCAGTGATTGAGCATCTGCATTCGGCCAGGGCGTGACCCCGGGGTCACCGATGGAGTCCTACGTCGGGCTCCCCGCATGGGGCCTGCTTCTCCCTCTGCCTGGGTCTCTGCCTCTCTCTCTCTCTCTGTGTCTCTCATGAATAAGTAAATAACATCTCAAAAATAAAACGAAATCATTCTTAAACAACACACATCAACGTCAACGCTCACGCAGGCCTTCCAAGGAAACCCCGACGCGCGCAGAGGGCGCAGGCGTGGCCCACACAGGCGCCTGGGGAGGTCGGGGCCCCACACAACGGCGCGTGCGACCTTCCGAGACCCGAGGGCCAACCAACAGACGGTCACTCACCTTCTTAATGGCGACAATTTGGTTGGTGTTCTTGTCTCGGGCCTTGTAAACCGTGGCAAACTAGAGAGAAAAACAGAACTCCTCTAAGTGCCTGGGGGCTTTTTTTTTGGGGGGGGGGTCTGTGTTTTTGCCTTTCGAGCTACCGGGAGGCTCGGACCGGCCCCCGCAGGGCTCTAGGGGCGGCCCGGCGGCGGCGGGCAGGGGCGAGGCCGACCCTCGCCCCCCCCCCGCCCCCGCTCCAGGGCCCGAGGGGCGGCCTCGCGCACGAAGGGGCTGCCAGGCCAGGCCTCCCGCCCCCGCCCCCGCCCGAAAAGCCGCGCAGCGTCCTGTCGGTCCAGGGCCCCCCCGAGCCCCGCCCGAGAGCCTCACCTGTCCCTCCCCGAGGAAGTCCAGCTTCTCATAACGCTTCGCTCGCGACTTCACGTCCACCGCCATCCGGCGCGCGAAGCCAACCCCAACCGACCCGGCAGAGCCTTCCAGACGGCGGGAATTTAAAGCCACCTTAAAGCCCCCAACAGCCACTTCCGCTGAGCGCGAGCCGGCGCTTTAGTAGCTCCGCCCCCACTTCCGGTCTGGGCTGGCGCGCCGCGCGTTCTGGCGGAAGCTGCGCGACGTAGGGTCCGTTGGCTTTTCGGGGCCGTCGCCGCACTATCCCGTCGCAGCCGGTTGGTGCCGGGAGCGGAGCGTTGGCGCAGGTGGCTGTGTCTCCTTGAGACCTTCTCAGCGCAGGTGATTCCTCCCCTGCCTCGGGCAGGTCAGCGTGGTGAGACGGTGCTCTGGGCTCGGGGCTTAGTAGGCGTGCGAGACCGGAAGTCCTGACCTATCCCCGCTCTGGCTTCCTGGAGCCTGCTCCGGGGCCTCCGTCGCCGCGGTTGCTATGGACGCTTAGAGCTGCAACAATCTCCGGTTACTTAGAAGACAGAGAGCCCAGTGGTTAGGGGCTGGGCCGGAGACCTCAGTTCAGGCCCGAGGAAGCAAAATCCAGGTCAACCGAAGCAGTTCGTGCTGTGGAACAGACTGCTGGCCATCCGTTTTCCACTCTGTAAAATGGAAATAATAGGCCACATCGTAACTGGTTGTGAACATAACTGGTTTTGAGACACGCAGAAACTTTGGACATACCAAGTGCTCAATTCAGTGCGAACTATGAGCAGTACTCAAACTTGATTCTCTTGTTTTCATGCAAATCAACACATTAAACACATTAACGCACTTACTCATGGAATGTGTATTGAGTGCTTACTAGGTGCCAGGCTCTGTTGTAGACTGACAGATCAGCAGGGAAAAAGACAAAGATACATGCTTTCCAATGGAAGGAGATAAAATGTGTTATGATGGATACAGTGAAGTGCTACAGAGATAAAGCAGGGAAAGGGGATTGGGAAGGGCTTGCAGTTTAAATAGGGTGTTTGACCTGGGTAGTAGCAACTTCTTGCTAGACACGTGTCCAAAGGCAAGAGAAACAGGCAAAAATGAACTATTGGGAATTCGTCAAGATGAAAAACTTTTGTACAGCAAAGGAAAACAGTTGAGAAAACCAAAAGACAACTCACAGAATGGAAGAAGATATTGGCAAATGTCTTATCAGATAAACGACTAGTATCCAAAATCTGTAAAGAATTTATCAAACCCAATACCCAAAGAACAAATAATCCAATCAAGAAATGAGCAGAAGGGGCGCCTGGGTGGCTCAGCGGCTTGGTGCTTGCCTTTGGCCCAGAGCATGATCCTGGGGTCCCAGGATCAAGTCCCACATCAAGCTCCCTGCATGGAGTCTGCTTCTCCCTCTGCCTGTGTGTCTGCCTCTCTCTCTCTCTGTCTCTCATGAATAAATAAAATCTTTAAAAAAAAAAAGAGCAGAAGACACGAACAGACATTTCTCCAAAGAAGACATATGGATGGCCAACAAACACATGAAAAAATACCCCATGTCGCTCAGCATTAGGGAACTATAAAAATCCCGATGAGATACCACCTCACACCAGTCAGAATGACTAAAATGAACAAGTCAGGAAGCGACAGATGTTGGTGAGGATGCAGAGAAAGGGGAACTCTCTTACACTGCTGGTGGGAACGCAAACTGGGTACAGCCACTCTGGAAAACAGTATGGAGGGTCCTCAAAAGCTTGAAAATAGAGCTACCTTATGACTCATCATTGCACTAGTAGGTATTTACCCCAGAGATACAAATGTAGGGATCCAAAGGAGCACCTGCACCCCAGTGTTTATAGCAGCAATGTCCACAATAACTGAACTATGGAAAGAGCCCAGCTGTCCATCGACAGATGAATGGATAAAGATGTGGTGTATATATGCAATGGAATACTACTCAGCCATCAAAAAAATCTTGCCATTCGCAGTGACATGGATAGAACTAGACGGTACTATGTTAAGTGAAATAAATCCATTAGAGAAAGATAATCATCTCACTTTTGTGGGATTTAAGAAACATAATGATCACAGGGGAAGGGAGGGAAAAATAAAACAAGATGAAATCAGAGAGGGAGACAAACGATAAGAGACTCTTAATCATAGGACACAAACTGAGGGTCACTGAAGGGGGTGGGAGGTGGGGAGATGGGGTATCTGATGATGGACCTTAAAGAGGGCACATGATATAATGAGCACTGGATATATATAAGACTGATGAATCACTAACCTATACCTCAGGAACTAATAATACATTAAATGTTAATTAAATTTAAATTTAAAAAATTGAGTGTTAAAAGACATCACTAAAAAAGACACTGCAAAAGAGAGAGAGAGAAAAGAGAAAAGAAAAAGCCACTGCAGAGACTTTTTAGCAAAGTGATATGATCTGACTTAATGTTTTAGAAAATTCACTATGGCTGTTTTGTAAGACCACAATATAGACTTAGGCAAGAAAAAGCAAGGCCAGCGAAAGAATTATTGCAGTTATCCAGATGGCTATATGTCTTATCAATTTGGCTTCTAGCCAATAAGATTTGCTGATAAGGGATCCCTGGGTGATGCAGCGGTTTAGCGCCTGCCTTTGGCCCAGGCCGCGATCCTGGAGACCCAGGATCGAAGCCCACGTCGGGCTCCCGGTGCATGGAGCCTGCTTCTCCCTCTGCCTATGTTTCTGCCTCTCTCTCTATCATAAATAAATAAAAAATAAAAAAAAAAAACAAAGCAAGGCATTTAAAAAAAAGATTTGCTGATAAACTGGATATGGGTTGTGGAGGAAAAAATGATAATTGCAAGGTTTTGAGCTGAGGCATCTGATGTTTCTAAGAGTTGAGAATATTCTTTGTTAGAGGTGTTGAAGGGAGAATATTAAGGTTCATGATTTAGTCAAGGTAATACAGAGTAAGTTCTTGCTCTGTATCTAGACTACTTGTATTTGCATACTGGCCTCAGGAGCATTCAGTCACCGGACTTACTACTTGAGCAAAATCTTTGACTTTATTCTTAGTTTCCTCATTTGTAATAGGACTACTGATTGGGTTGCCACAAGGCTTTAAGTGCTTTACAATTCCAAACCCCCCAGAATAATGTTTACAGTGCTAAGTTTGTTATCACATAACTATTACTAGTCACCTTCCAACTCTTTGCCACTTGGGTCTTTTTTTCTTTTTTTTAAGATTTTATTTATTTATTTATGGAGACACAGAGAGAGAATGAGAGGCAGAGACGAAGCAGGCTCCATGCAGAGAGCCTGACGCAGGACTTGATCCAGGGTCTCCAGGATCACGCCCCGGGCTGCAGGCAGCGCCAAACCGCTGTGCCACCAGGGCTGCCCGCCACTTGGGTCTTTATTGAGTTGACGTTTTCATAGGCAAAATTCTCATACATGACACAAAGCATACCATCTTTATCATTTCTCTTAACTGTACCTAGATGTACCTAATGATACACGTTATCATAGAACTTAGGTCAAAGGTCCTTCTGAAAAGGCATCACTTTATAAACGGTAATCTAACCTCACTTGTAGTAGAAATTATTTCTACCAAATGATTTCTACTAAGCTAAATAGTGAGCTAAATGTGATGCCTAGGGGAACCTGGGGGGCTCAGTGCTTGAGAATCTGGCTCAGGGCCTGATCCTGGGGTCCTGGGATCGAGTCCTGCATCCAGCTCCTCACAGGGAGCCTGCTTCCCCCTCTGCCTATGTCTCTGCCTCTCTCTGTGACTCTCAAGACTAAACGAAACAAAACCACAGAAATTTATTTTAAAATTAAAAATTTTGGGCAGCCCCGGTGGCGCAGCGGTTTAGCGCCGCCTGCAGCCCAGGGCGTGATCCTGGAGACCCGGGATGGAGTCCCACATCAGGCTCTCGGCATGGAGCCTGCTTCTCCCTCTGCCTGTGTCTCTGCCTCTCTCTCTGCATCTCTATGAATAAATAAAAATCTTAAAAAAAATAAAAATTAAAAATTTTTTAAATAAATAAATGTGATGGCTAGAGGTTCCAAACTGTATTATGGCAAATGAACTCATTCATAATCATTGCATTACACTATGTTAAATAAGTTCCTATTTGGGAACATTTTAAGTATGGTAACAAATATAGTTATTTAGGTGTTATTCTGGGTTCATTAGGTCACCGTATGTATAAAATGCCATTCAGCATCTGTATAGCATTGTCCAGTTTACAAAGCACTTGCACATATGAGCACTAGCCAGCCTCCAAGATCGCCCAATGCGTCTTCCCTTCTGCTGTCAGGGCACTTGTGTAGTCTATTCCCACAGTGAAACAGACTGTTCTGTGTGACTTGTGGAATATGTCAGAATTGAGTGCATGTAACTTTTCTTTTTTAAGATTGTATTTATTTATGAGAGAGAGATTGAGAGGCAGAGACCCAGGCAGAGGGAGAAGCAGGCTCCACGCAGGGAGCTCGACGTGGGACTAGATGCCGGGACCCCAGGATCATGCCCTGAACTGAAGGCGGCTCTAAACCAATGAGCCACCCAGGCTGCACCAGTGCGTCTCTTAAGTAGATCATAAAAGGCACTGCTCTTTCAGCCTTGCATGCTTAGATGACTCACTCTGGGGGAAATCAGCCATCAAGCCATGAATTCAATCAGGCCGCCCCGTGAGGAGGACTATGTGGGGAGGAACTGGGGCCTCCTGCCAACAGCCAATATCAACTTGCCAGTCTAGTGAGTGAGCCACCCTGGAGGTAGAGCATCTAGCTCCAAGGCCCTCGGTAACTGCAGCCCTGGCTGGAGTCTGATTGCACCTTCTGAAAGACACTGAGCATAACTGTCCAGCCAAATTACTCCAGAATTCCAGACCCAGAGATATCATGAGCTAATAAGTGATTATTGTTTTAGCCACATTTTGGGTTTTCAGTCATTAAGTTTTGATTTGCTACAGAATAATACACAATTGATCCTGCCTATATTATATACTGTTAGGGAGCAAAACAGAAACTTGAACAAATTCAGCAATTTGCTCATGGTTATGTACATTTAAGTGCTTAATTCCTAAGTGAAAATGTGGCTATTGGGATTCCTGGGTGGCGCAGCGGTTTGGCGCGTGCCTTTGGCCCAGGGCGCGATCCTGGAGACCCAGGATCGAATCCCACGTCGGGCTCCCAGTGCATGGAGCCTGCTTCTCCCTCTGCCTATGTCTCTGCCTCTCTCTCTCTCTCTGTGTAACTATCATGAATAAATAAATAAAAATCTTTAAAAAAAAAAAAAAGAAAAGAAAATACTGGCTATTGATCTATCCTTTTTGGGAGCTCATCCTATGACACCATTTCCTACTGAAGATGCCTTTTTGCCATACTTAAGCTGACAAATTCTGTAAATGTGATAGTTTTTCATTGCACCATTCATGGTAGGAGCTGTAATGAAGATGACCTTCAGACAGTTCTAGTATGGGGTTTCTGACTGCTGGCCCATAGTATCACACAAATCATTCTTCATTACTTGAACCCACTCTGTATGGGAAAGCAAAAAAATCAACCTTGACTTCCTTTTAGTGAAGTGAAAAAAAGGAGAAAGAAGAGAATAGTGCTAATCTTTTAGAATATTTTCCAAATAAGTTTTTAAAATAATAACAGAAAAATAATGAGTCACATTGTTTTGTTGAGTGACCAAACACCTATTTCGTATTCGACTTGGGCAACATTTACACTAGGTCACAAGAGAATTTATAAGAGAAGCAGATCAACTATGAAATAACAAAAAAAGTAAAGTTTAATCCACAGGCAACTGAGTAATAATTCAATAACAATTTGACTCTAATGCCCACAAGCTACCCTTACTATCAGGGATGACTTATTTATTTATTTATTTATTTATTTATTTATTTATTTATTTATTTGGGATGACTTCTTTAAAGCATATTATAGATATCATTCAACGTATGGAAGAAAATTTATTTAGCTTTGTGATGCTTTAGTTTCACAATAATGCATACCCTTGGCACTGTAAGCCCCTAAAGTTCCATAAATAGCTTTAATAAGGTAAATATTTAGGTTGATTTTAAGAGGCTTTCAGACATTAAGTTTGAGAAAGTTAGTGGCTTTCAGAATTTGCATATATGACAAAACAGTAAAATAAATCAAATAGTAAGACTTAACACCCCCCCTTCCCCCCGTTTTTAAAGACTTAACACCCTTAATAACATAGTAAGCTGCAATTTCTAATCAAACATCTCTTCCTAGATTATATTCATTTTGATCTCTTATTTTCCATTTTAAACTCTGGTATTTTCTTCTGAATATAGGTTACAAATAATCTTTTGTGTTAACTCCCAGTTTTAATACCACAAAGTTCCCTGTTTTACCTTAACTGTATTTTTATCATCTAGTGTAGGATATGCTTTTTAAACTAGTTATACTCTAGTAACTTTGTGAATGAAAAAATGTTAAGAAAATAAAGAACAAAGAAAAAAAAGAAATTAAAAAAAAAAAAAAAGAAAATAAAGAACAAATAATGGAGTCATTCTTTCACTAATCCTTATCCAGTTTCAGGAAAAATCATTCCCCCAAAGCAGCAATCTGTATGGTAAATCTTTCCATGTCCGAAACAAAAGTGAAATTATGGGAAACCTATGATAGTTTACTACATATTGTATGCTTTTAATAGCTCAACACTGGTAATACTTGATAATCAAGAGTAAATTAATAGGCTAACATTTAAAAATGTATACTTTAATAAGTATATAAGCAATTAGGTAAGCTTGTGAAGAAACTGACCAAGATAACATATATTAGGAGATACAAGTGTCCATCTAAATTTTCTATATTTTTTTTCTTTTTTTTTTAACAGAGTATTTATTCAAGTTGTTTACTGTATAATTTCTCATGTGCCATTTTGGAAGTTCTTTACTGTAAAGACTATTCTTTTGTCTGATGACAAACAGCAGCCACACTGTCAGTGATTATTCCGGACCTCCACGCTGAAAATGAAAAAAACAAAGCAAAAAGATTAGGTATTAACTTTACAGAAGAAATGCTTTCACAGTCACTATACAAGTTTACACCATTTTAAGCAAATGATCTTTAGGTATTTAAAAACGATTTCAGTTTTTCATTCCTCTTAAGCACTCCTATCAATATTATAAACAATTTCTGGGATCCCTGGGTGGCTCAGTGGTTCAGCGCCCCCCTTCCACCCAGGGCGCGATCCTGGAGTCCCAGGATCGAGTCCCACATCGGGCTCTGCATGGAGCCTGCTTCTCCCTCTGCCTGTGTCTCTGCCTCTGTCTCTCATGAATAAATAAATAAAATTAAAAAAAAAAAAAAAAGGAAAACAATTTCTGATCCGGAAGGGACTCAAAAGTTGACCCTGATTGATGGTCCTCAAATTTCTTGGTCTCAGCAGCCCTTCACACCTTGCCTTGGAAAACTACCAAGGTCTACCGAGCTTTTTTCTTGCTTTTTTTTTTTTTTTTACCAAGCTTTTTTCATGTGGCTATAGCTATTGCTACTTCCCGTATTATACTTCCACACATATATTCCTTCATGTACTTTTACCGAGGGCTTGTTACATGGTGTATTTCTCATAGTCTTGGCCAACCTGACTATCTTAGTTTTAACTATGGACCCGCCATGACAAGGTGATGGAAAGAGCAAGTAAATCAGCCTATGAAATTCCAAAAGCCAAAAATGTTCACGTGGGATCCCTGGGTGGCGCAGCGGTTTGGCGCCTGCCTTTGGCCCAGGGCACGATCCTGGAGACCCGGGATCGAGTCCCACGTCAGGCTCCTGGTGCATGGAGCCTGCTTCTCCCTCTGCCTATGTCTCTGTCTCTCTCTCTCTCTCTCTCTGTGACTATCATAAATAAATAAAAATTAAAAATAAAATAAAATAATTTAAAAAAATGTTCACATGTTTTGCAAGGTACTAAGATAAAGAGCAATGACGTACTTGGATAAATTCAATTTCTTCTTGAGACACAAGTTTCCTTCTGTATTTCTGAGGTAATGTTTTTATGATTTCTGCAGTGTCTGGTGGACCATGATGCATCAGCAAATCGGGTGATTTATTTCCCTTAGAATGCTGTGAAATTGAAGAAGAATGAGATGGTAGTCCTGCTGATCTCAAAACTTCTGATACTGAAAAAAAAAGTAGAGAAATAAATTGTTCAGGTGTCTTAAAATACTACTTTGAGTATCTATTATTGAACAAGCAAGTCATTCTTCAAATGCTAAGTGTAGTTCTAAGAGGTGTTACTGAGTAACAGTTGGGTAGCTATATTTAATTTCATAAAACGAAGTAGCTTTAAGTGAATGAATTACTAAATCAAAAAAGTCTGTAAAATAATAAAATTTCTAGATAATGGAGTTTAACCCATATGGGTCATCTACATTACTTAACTTTTGTCATATGGTGGCATTTCCAGTTAAAAATTATTAAAATCAAATAAAAAATGTTAAACTCCTCCCTGAATTAATGATTAAATATCTTGTAATAAAGACAGGGACAATCATAATGATCACTGAGTAATGTATAGAATTGTTAAATCACTATACTGGACACTCTAAGTTAACTATACTGGAATTAAAAAAAACACAGAGATAAAATAAAAGATCAGATAAAAGGGAGGGGTAAGAGGAAAATAGGACTGGTTTAGATTTTCAATTACTTTATAGGCAAGGATTGCTCAGGTTTAAGGCAGTCTTTACCTACTGAATGAATGAATAAATAAGTGAATGAAAGAAAAGTTCGGCTGGCAGAAAAATACAGGAATGGCTACTGTTCCTCACAATCTCTCTCCCAATCTAAAAGCGGGAGAGTCTTTTAAAAGACAGAAGAGGGCAGCCTGGGTGGCTCAGCAGTTTAGCGCCGCCTTCGGCCCAGGGCATGATCCTGGAGACCCAGGATCGAGTCCGCGTCGGGCTCCCTGAATGGAGCCTGCTTCTCCCTCTGCCTGTGTCTCTGTCTCTCTCTCTGTGTCTCTCATAAATAAAATCTTTTTAAAAAAAGAAAAGAGAGAATAAAAGGGGATCCCTGGGTGGCTCAGAGGTTTAGCGTCTGCCTTCCGCCCAGGGCGTGATCCTGGAGTCCTGGGATCAAGTCCCGCATCCAGCTCCCTGCATAGAGCCTGCTTCTCCCTCTGCCTTACTCTCTCTCTGTCTCTCATAAATAAATAAAATCTTAAAAAAAAAAAAAGAAGAAGAAGAAGAAAAAAAGACAGAAGAAAAGGGAATCCCTGGGTGGCTCAGAGGTTTAGCATCTGCCTTCCGCCCAGGGCATGATCCTGGAGTCCTGGGATCGAGTACCGCACTGGGCTCCCTGCATGGAGCCTGCTTCTCTCTCTGCCTGCCTCAATCTCTCTCTCTCTCCATGTCTCTCATAAATAAATAAATAAAACCTTAAAAAAAGAAAAAAGAAAAATTCAGAGACATGTTCTGTTGAGTCACCACCTTTTTAAATGGAGGAAGCAAGTTAATTTCTACTTGCATGCCACCTAGCATACTATTGTGATCTAAGCTACAATGGTCTCTCCCTGATTTTAAAATGGGAAATAATGCCTGTAATAGAATATTCATATATAAATATGCCTGTACATATTTATTTATTTATTTTTAAATCTGAAGTACAACTTACCATTAGGTTTAGGATTGTCTCTTCTGTCAGGGAACCTTATTAATGGTGTATGTGGCTTGACTACCTAAAGGGAAAATAAAATACATGGAAAAAAAAGATGCACTAAAATAGACTCATTTACTATAAAAGAAACAACCTACTGAACTTCATAGATACCTTTGTTAAAATAAACTTAGTATTTGACAGCGACCTTAGTTTTTAAAAGATTTTATTTATTTATTTGAGATAGAGCAAGAGAGTGAGCACAAGCTTGGGAGTTGAGGGCAGAGAAAGAGGGAGAATCAGACTCCCCGCGTTCCCAGGACCCTGGGATCATGCCCTGAGCCAAAGGCAGATTCTCAACTGCCCATCACTCAGGCGCCCCATTAACAGCAACTTTAAATCTTACTATTTTACTCTTCTCCAACCAGGAAAACTGGTCTATGAACTATTAATTCGTTTATCTTATCTGCTCTTCATAATAACTTTGGACTTTACACATTATAAGACATTTTACTATACTACCAACAGACCTCAAAACAGCCCTATTAAAAAGATGATATACATTTTATGTTATATAACATATATTGCTGAGCTGCTTGGTAAGAATTGGAAGTTTCCTGACTTGTATTTTTTAAAAAAGATTTTATTAGGCAGAGACACAGGCAAAGGGAGAAGAAGCAGACTCCCCGAGGGGACTTGATCCCATGACCCCAGGGTCATATCCTGAACCAAAGCAGACGCCCAACCACTGAGCCACCCAGGTGCCCCATCCTGACTTGTATTGAGCGTTGTTTTCCTATTATGTCAATAACTAGCAGATATTTGGAAGAAACGGAAAAAAGCACAAATAAGAAAACACTATAATCTCCAAACCCACGTAAAACAGATTTAAACATTTGTTAACACTTTTGGTCTGAGGCTATTCCCACAGAAATATGTATTTTTAGAATACTATTTATAACAGATATTTGCAGACTATTAATGTTTTATCCCTAAAATTCCAGAGGAACTATAGGGAGGAACTTACAGGGACCTTTAAATAGGAAATTTTCTGAGACAATGCTAAGATTCAAAAACAGTACTATTTGCACCTAAGGTAATCTCTAAGTTGCTCTGTAACTAGTATATTGAAGTGTGTGTTTATCTGCAAAATATTTAGATATACGTAGTACATATATTTTATATGAGTACAGAAGTAAATAGGCTTGTTGGGATTGGCCTGAAAGTACCACCATAATTGTGCTGCTGTGAGAAAATGCTGGAATAGAGTTGTCTCCCACAGCAAAGGAGCACACTCAAGTCTTTCATGTTAAAAAACAAAACTCTAGGGACGCCTGGGTGGCTCAGTGGCATGGGTGTCTGCCTTCGACTCAGGTCATGACTCCGGGCCTGGGGATGGAGTCCCACATCCGGCCCCCTGCATGCAGCCTGCTTCTCTCTCTACCTGTGTCTCTGCCTATGTCTCTCATGAATAAATAAACAAAATATCTTTTAAAAAATAAACTCTAAATATAAACACATAGAAGCAACTATAACTGTATATGAGTTGGTAACATAACTAAGGGAATAAAAAGGCGAATCCAAGTAACTTTCATAGTGCTTAGACTCTATACTTCAGTCTAAAAGCAATGATAATAATACTAATACTAAGAAATCTTTAACTTCTTAACCGAGTAGGTTAGTATGGGTAACTGCATAAATGTAGCAATTTGGAAACCAGGTACTGCAGGACACAGGCAGAGGGAGGGGAGAAGCAGGCTCGGGATCCCGGGATCCAGGATCACGCCGAAGATGGATGCTCAACCACTGAACTACCCAAGTGTCCCATATTCTACCTTTTGTATACTCTTCCCCTTATTCCTCCATTTTAAAAGTGGTATTAGAGCCAAACAGTCAGAATAATATTACCAACAAGTCTTTCACCTGTATCTCCATTATATAATATTAGTTGTTGCAGTCACATACTTTCAATGTTCATATCCATTTCCTATACTGAAACAACTCCAGGTATAACTAAGTATTCCTCAGCTGTCTCTCATTCTCTGGGAGATCTAGTAGGAAGGGCACCAGGGAACAATATTCCCTGAGTTATTAAAGGTGTAGAAGGATTTGTGGCCTTTACAACTTGAAGGTCAGTGTAGCTGGATGTATCTGTGGTTTATCTCTTCTTCTAAATTTTACTTATTTATTACAGAGAGAGAGAGAGCGTGAATGAGTGTGGAAGCATGACTGAGGGGAGGGGCAGAGGGAGAAGCAGACTCCCTCCTGAGTAGGGAGCCCAATTCAGGCCAATCTCAGGACCCCAGGATCATGACCCAAGCCAAAGACAGATGCTTAACTGACTGAGCCACACAAGTGCCCTCCTCACCTTTTCTTTCCTTAACTACCTTAAATATGTTATCCACGTGTCCTCTTTTATGAGCTGTTATTGTTGAAAACTGATAACTTTTGTTCTAAGTGCTTGATCTTGTTGCCTGGATCACCCAAGAATTTTTTTTTTATTTTTCTCCTTTAAAATCTAAAGATTCTAGGGACTGTTGGGTGGCTAAGTCAGTTGGGCGACTAACTCTTGGTGTCAGCTCATGACCTCAGGGCCCTGGGATCAAGTCCTGCATGGGACAGGCTCCCTCTCTTTCTGCCCTGCTACCCCCATGCACTTGTGTTCTCTCTCTCTCTCTCTAAAATAAATAAGTAAGGGACGTCTGGGTGGCTCAGCAGTTGACCGACAGCCTTTGACTCAGGGCGTGATCCTGGAGTCCTGGGATCAAGTTCCACATTGGGCTGCCCACAGGGAGCCTGCTTCTCCCTCTGCCTGTGTCTCTGCCTCTCTCGCTCTCTCTTTGTGTCTCTCATGAATAAATAAAATCTTTAAAATAAATAAGTAAATTTAAAAAAAGAAATCTAAAGAATCTACTAGAATACACCCATTGGTCAACCACACTTGGTTAATTCTCTCAAGCTTAAGGTAAAGGTTTAAGTCTTTTTTTTACAACAGGAAAGTTTTATTAACTTTTAGGTTAGGTTAGGTTTTGAGACTTGTTCTATTTGCTTTTTCAGAGACTACTTAGTATACAAAAGTTGCATCTTCCTGTTTTTCTCTACCTCTATGACTTTCTCTGAACCCTTTTAATCTTTTACTTCATTGTTCTGTGATTTTTTTTCATTTTCCTCTTTTCATGCACTATTTCCTTTAGCAAAACTTGAGTTGCCTATTTACCTCTTCATTCCTTGTACTTCAGTATTTACTTTTTAAGAGCTCTTTTAGTTCTTCACTAAGTTCGGAGCTGCATTGTTCCTAAAATCTTAACCTAAAATCTAACCTCAACTACAACCTTTTAACTTGTAACTCTGTGTAACTCTTTTCTGTTACTTCCCATTGTAAGCTTCACCAAACCCTTCAGTTCCTTGATTGTTCCTTATTCCAGTCAATTGGTTCCACCCTGACTTTACCCCCTTTCTTACCTAGCTTTGAACCCAATGTCCTCTTACCAGCACTCTCAACCTCCTTGCTGGAGGATTATCTTCACCTTACCTGTAAATCTCAAATCCTGAATGAATCCAACTACCCATCTTCTTCCCATATCTCATGCAGTCAAAATGATTTTGTAAATGATAAATCATCTTTCTGATTATGATCAACCCAAACATAACAAATATATATGCTTGGCATTTGGGCATTTTTATAGAAGTCTTTTTGTAGATATATGCATTTATTTCTCTTGGGTAATAAACCTGTGAGTAAAACTCCTAGGTCATAAGGTAGATATGTTTAACTACTAGAGACTCACAAAACAGATTTCCAAAGTGGCTAGAGGATAATTATACTCCTACCAGCAATGTATGAGAGTTTTAGGTTCTTCACACTGTCCTCTCCTAGTATGGGCAGTTTTTAAAATTTGCTTAACTTTGATAGATGCAGTAGTACTTCCTGATTTTAATTTGTATTTTAAGTAATGAAGTAGAAAGTCTTTTCACAGGCTTATCGCTCGTTTGTCTATCTTGTGTTGTGCAATTTCAACTCTTTAACCCGTTTTTAAGTTGAGCTATATATTACAGATAGGTACGGTTATACATAATGGATACCAGCCCTTTGTAAGAGGTCTTCCCTGTCCTCGCAGAACCTTTAATCAGTCAAGGCACAATATCTGCCAACTGGAATGAGTGAGGATCATTCCTTGCAGAGGGACTGAAGGCTGAGATCTGGGATTATCTTCCAGACTCAAACGGCTTTGAGAACAAGTCCTAAGAGATGTGCTTGTGCAAAAGGGAAATGCACGTCTCACATCAAAGTCAAAAACCATACAAGAATACGCTTTCAGAGCTGAAAGCAGATTGTGCGAAACTACCGCGAATGTGGACGTGGGGTCCCTTTACTCGCCCGCTTCGCCCCCTGAAGCCCAATCGCGGCTACAGAAGCGAATACGAAAGCGGTCGGGAGTCCGTGAGCGGCCGTGAGCGGCCGCGAGCGGCGTGGGGATTAAAGGGCTCCTCTAGGTACCGATGTAAACTCAGCGGGGAAAGCAAGCAAGCTTGGGAAACCAACACCTGCATCGTTAAAACGTGACAGCTGCACTTAAGTAACACCTCTGCGCCCCCGTCCCCCCGTCCAGCCGGTAGCCGGACGCTCGGATCGCTGAGGACGAGGCCGGGGGGGACGCGGGGGGCAGGCCAGGGCTCCGGCCATTCCCGAGACCTTGAAGGGACGCGGGTCAGACCCGGGGTTCGCGTCCTTCCCATTGGCTGCTCGGGGGCGGTCCAGGCAGCGCCACGCGCCCATTGGCCGGACCACGGCCAGGGTGGCCCAGCCCGTAGACTGCGGGCCCCCCGGCTGCTCCCGACCCCCCGGCGGGTACGGGTCCGGGCCCCCCGGCTGCTCCGGGCCCCGCGCTCCCGCAGCCCGGCTCGAACCCTCAGCTCCAGGCCCCGGCTCCCTGCCCGACCCGACGGCCACAGGTCCAGTTCCCACACAGAACCCGCGGGGGGGGGCCGGGGTCACCGCGCAGCCTCCGCCTCCGCCATTGCTATAATCGCCACCATCCCTACCGCCCACGGCGCGAAAAAGCGACCCAGTCTCCTTACCTGAACGACCCTGCTGGCGGACGCCATCTTGCTGCCCATCATGACCCCAGGCTGGGGAGGCTTCCGGGGCGCTCGCTCTGCGCCGGGATAACGGGAGCCCCAGGCGGCGGGCTGCGGGGGGCGGGCCTCCCGTGACGTCACGGGGCGGGGCGAGCGGCCCCGGGCGGGCTCCTCCTCCGCTGTGCTGGCCCCGCCCCCGTGCCCCCCCCACCTGCCCCCCACCTGTCCCTGCTGACTTTGTGTCAGCTGTTCCTTCCCCGGAGAGCTTTTTTTTTTTTTTTTTTAAATAATTTATTTACTTTGAGACAGAGAGAGAGGCAGAGACACAGGCAGAGGGAGAAGCAGGCTCCATGCAGGGACTTGGGACTTGGGACTGGATCCCGGCACCCCGGGGTCACACCCTGGGCGGAAGGCGGCGCTAAACCGCTGGGCCACCGGAGCTGCCCTGTATTATGGTTCTAAATGTCCCTATTTACCTGGCCTTTGACTCCCTTCTTGTTCCATGTCCCCTGTTCTGTCATTGGCTGTAGACCCTTAGGCAAAACTCACCACGCATGATGGCCTCTTGTTGTGATTCAGTAAAAAGTACCTAAGACAACTTGTGAATTTTCTTGATAAAAAAATTTGAACCTACAAAAAAATATTTGAACTTACATGTAATAAAGCAGATCTAACTTCTAGTTTAAAGAACACAGGTGTGAAGACGCCTAGGTGGCTCAGTGGTTGCCTTTGGCTCGGGTCTTGATCCCAGGGTTCAAGAATGGAATCCCTCATCCGGCTTCTCCCTCTGTCTGTGTCTCTCTCTGTCCCTCATGAATAAATAAGCTTTTCAAAAAATAAAGAATACAGATGTAAAAAAAATAAAGAATACAGATCTTTATATATAAAATTATATAAGCTACTAGGAAGCAATGAGACAAGTCCTAATAGAAAACTTTGTACAAGTCATCTGGTTTAAATCAGTGACTGTAAAAAAAAAAAAAAAAAATAGGGTGCCGGTGCATATAATCTGATGCTCAGTTCAACTCAAATATGCTAGTGTTGATGGAAAGCAGCCATAAATAATATGTACATCTATGGGCAAAGCTTTGTTCCAATAAAACTTCAATTATAAAAACAGCCAGCTGGTAAGCCATAGTTTGCTGGCCTCTGATATAGATGAACCAACCAAATGAAGGAACTATGAGCCTCACCAGCAATCACATTTAAAATATATACTAACAAAAGCACCGCAGGCCCAGAATTTAAGACGGACTGAGATGTAAAATGATATTTGGGTGCCCAGCTGAGAAAGCTGCTCAGGACATAGTCTCTAATGCCTTCTTCAGATATGGCCAAGGCCAATAATGGAAAGGGAGAACTTAGCAAAGCGCAGAGTCAAAAAACACAAAAGAACCTCTTCCAGGGCAGCCTGGGTGGCTCAGCGGTTTAGCGCCGCCCTCAGCCCAGGGCGTGATCCTGCAGACCCCGGATTGAGACCCACATCGGGCTCCCCACAGGGAGCCTCCTTCTCCCTCTGCCTGTGTCTCTGCCTCTGTCTCTCATGAATAAATAAAATCTTAAAAAACAAACAAACAAACAAAAGAAACAAAACACCTTCTTCCAGTGAGCAGTATAAGAACCGAATCAAAAAGTGTTCCCCCTGCCTCGGAAAGGGCACCTCCTATCATCTGCCGAGCAGTATTTCGGAATTGCTAACCTTGCCCCCTATAGTATGCTGGCTGTGTGAAGCAACAGAATTTGTCTTTTTCAGTTCATTAATCTCCAGATCATGAAAAGCCACATTTGGACCTGATGTGAAAGACTATCGTGAGATCCTGAACTTTGAAACTGTGATGACTGAATGAGACTGTTAACTTTCCTTTGGGAAGTGTGTCTTCTATGTGCAAAAAGGAAGTTAATATTTAAGACCAAGACTTCATACTGTGGTGGACTTTATGCTTTTCAGCAGATACCCATATTCTTCCCCCCACTCTGAAACCTAGCATTCCCCTGTTGTGGGAGTATACTTTCTTGTCCCAGTGATGTTTGGCTTGGTGAAATTAGCCTTCGTGGAAATAATGTACACCTTTCCCAAGTAGAAACTTTATTTTTTAAAAAAAGATTTTATTTATTTGAGAGAGAGGGAGAGCACAAGCAACGTGAGGGGCAGAGGAAGAAGCAGATGTGGGGCTTGATCCCGGGACTCGGGGATCATTACCTGAGCTGAAGGCAGATGCTTAAACTTAATGAGCCACCCAGGCACCCCTCAAGTAGAAACTTTAAAATCATTTCAGGAAAATGCAGTTTTTTAGATGGTGCTGAATCTTTCTATCAGGAAGGTATTTTCCAGAATGCCTTTCCGTAATAAATATATAACTTGTTGGGGCACCTGCCTGGGTGGCTCAGTTGATTAACCCTCTGACTCTTGGTTTCAGCTTGGGTCATGATCTCATGGGTGGGGGGACAGAGCCCTGCTTTGGACTCCATGTGCACTGAGAAGTCTGCTTATCCCTCTCCCTCTCCTCCCACTCATTCTCTCTCTCTCTCTCTAATAAATCAGTAAAATCTTAAAGAAAAACAATGTTGAAAACACTACGTTGTCTATAAAAAAGATCAACAGTTCCAAAGTAATAAAGAACTCAAATCAGAACTTCCTCCAAAAAGGAATGGGATGCTGTAAAAGATGGCAAGTTCTATTTTTTTTTAAATTTACTTAAATATATTTTTAGTAACCTGTATACCCAACATGGGGCTTGAATTCAAAACTCCGAGATCAAGAGTCACGTGATCACCTGAGCCATCCAGCAAGTTCTATTTTTTCATAAGACAAAGTAACATTTACTTTTTAACTTCTAAAAGTAAAGCATAATACAGAAATACAAAATAAAAAATTCACAATTACTCTACAAGAACCACAGGCATTAACCCTTTGGATAGGTTTATCTTTTTAATTTTTCAAGGTTGAGGTACTTTATTTGGGTTTCTGTTTAAAAATGTCGGGGATCCCTGGGTGGCTCAGCGGTTTGGCGCCTGCCTTTGGCCCAGGGTGTGATCCTGAAGTCCCAGAATCGAGTCCCACATCAGGCTCCCTGCATGGAGACTGCCTCTCTCTCTGCCTTTCTCTCTGTGTGTCTCTCATGAATAAATAAATAAAACTCTTTTTAAAAAAAATGTGGATGGGAAAGTAAATAAATAAAGATGTGGATGGAATATGAGGGACTTGCAGAGATGTTGGCCACAGAGTACAAACACGCAGCAGTTAGAAGATTAGTAAGTTTTTGAAGATCGAATGCACAGCATTGTGATTATAGATAACAATATTATATACTTCAAAATTGCTAAGAGACTTTGAAGAGAATGTCCTCACCACAAAAAAAATAATTATGTGGCACAATGGAGATGTGAGCTAATGCCATGGTCATCAAATCAACCCACTATATAGCTTCAACTTATATGAAGCTATGTCAATTATATCACTATATTTTAAAAAAAGAGAGGGAAAAAATAATCTGTGGTGAGATGAAACTAAAATGAGATTTCAATAAAATACAACTGATAGTTGGAAAAAACAAAGATGTGGATACTTTTTTCAAAAGCGCACAGAAGTATTCCAAATTATGGGACACAGGGAGACGGGTTAAATGGGTGATGGGTATTAAGGAGAGCACTTGTGATTAGCACTGGAGTGTTGTATAGTGAGGAATCACTGACTTCTACTCCTGAAACTAATATTACACTGTATGTTAACTAACTGGAGTTTAAATAAAAACTTGAAACTACAAAAAAGAAAGAAGGAAAGAAAGAAAAAAGGAGAGAAAAGAAAAGAAAAAGTACTCCAAATGAGAGTTGGAACCGCCAGGAATGTCGTAGAAAAAAATGTCCACATTCATGTCTTTTGGGACCCTTGCAAGGCTAAGATTTTCAGATTTTTTTAGAGAATGCCAGTCACTTTATCATATTTAAAAGAACAAATTCCAAGTTATAGTGTTAAGCTACAAAAGATTTATGATACTAGTTCCAAAAACAATAAAAAGATTTTTGCTTGAAATATGCCACTTAAATGAGATACCAAAGACTGAAACAAAAATGTCAAAGCACAGTTCTTATTAGATTGTGGCGAGATTCTTCTCAAGCTGTAGAACAATTTCCTTTAAGGTAGGATCCTCTGCCCAATTGGCTTTACTTCCTACTATGAGATTCTGTAATAAAAAAAGAAAAAAAATTATCTTAAAGTTATAAGTATGTTTAAAAATTTAACAAGATTTTTTTAAAAATCCTTTCACTAAATTTTTAAAAAGATTTTGAGAAAACAAGAGAGCACACATGTGCACACACACTGTATTTTTTTAATAGAGATATAATTGACACAGCTTCATATAAGTTGAAGGTGTACAGTGGGTTGATTTGATGACCATGGCATTAGCTCACATCTCCATTGTGTCACATAATTATTTCTTTTTTGTGGTGAAAGCATTTAAGATCTAGTCTCTTAGCAACTTTCAAGGATATAATATTGTTACCTATAATCACAATGCTGTGCATTGCGTGGGGGAAGAGGAGGGAGAAGCAGGCTCGTCACTGAGCAGAGAGCCCAATGATCCCATGACCCTGGGATTATGACCTGAGCCAAAGGCACTTAACTGACTGAGCCACCCGGGGGCCCCTTTTTTCACTAATCTTATCAAACTTATCTTTACCAAACTAGGTGTAGGTATCTACTCCATGAAAAACTTACATTCTTGGGGCACGTGGGCGGCTCAGTTAGTTAAGGGTCTGACTTGGTTTTGGCTCATGTCCTAATCTTGCAGTAGTGAGATAGAACCACCCCTTCCCTCCTCAGCCCACCCTCAGTGAAGAGTTTGCTGCTTTAGATTCCCTCTCCCTCTCTGTCTGCCCCCTCCTCCCACTTATGCATGCTCTCTTTCTTTCTCAAATAAATGAATAAATAAAATCTATTTTTTAAAAAATAAAAAATACATTCTTGTATCCTCATTTCCACTTTCAATAAGGGCCTAGCCTTAATCCCCATAATGCTAGGGAACATGTACATTGTTTAAAATATTTTTTTTGGCTGCATCAGTTTTTGTAGATAGCTTTTACATAGTAAGGATTTTAGCAATGTATTCTAGATTAAAGAAAAAAGACTGTAGCTATAGTTCAGTCAGTTTGCACTTCTACAGTGAAAAATGGTTTAAACATACTGTTATGCTCTATTTATTAAAAAAAAACTATGGCTCAATGATACCAAGTTACTTTTTTTTTTTAAGATTTTATTTATTTATTCATGATAGACAGAGAAAGAGAGAGAGAGAGAGAGAGAGAGAGGCAGAGACACAGGCAGAGGGAGAAGCAGGCTCCATGCCGGGAGCCTGACGCGGGACTCAATCCCGGGACTCCAGGACCGCGCCCTGGGCCAAATGCAGGCGCTCAACCGCTGAGCCACCCAGGGATCCCCCTGATACCAAGTTACTAATTCAAATTCTGTTTAAATAGATTTTAGAATTGTATTTTTATGTATAAAAGTATTTAAACCTTTAGCCTACACATGGCACATTCTTGCTATAGGGCTAGTGTATATAAATCTAATTAAATTTACAAAAGCAAGAGGAAGTAAGCATTCAAATATGACTGAACCCATTAGGGGCAGGAGCTCCTTATGTAGCCAAAGCTATACTCTGCTTAACAAAGTAATGATTTCACTAAATCAAAATGAACACTAAGAGGATATGAATAAAAATTAAGAAAGACAAAATAATACAAGTCCCAAAGCAGTAGGAACAACATGCCAAAGAAAATTAAAGTGATCCTGTACTTATAATGCAATCCTCCACTGGAGGCTAGTCTAAGACTTCCTTACTCCTAGTAACCCACTACTATTAAAAAGTAGATTTAAGACCTGATGAAGAGGGGCGCCTGGGTGGCTTAGTTGGTTAAGTGTCCAACTCTTGGTTTTGGCTCAGGTCAAGATCTTAGGGTCATGAGATTGAGCCCACAACAGCTCTATGCTCAGTGTGGAGTTGGCTTGAGATTATTTCCCCCTACTTCTGCTATCCCTCCCTTACCCCCGGTTATGTTCGCTTCTCTTAAATTAAAAAAAAAAAAAAAAAAAAAAAAGACTTTAGGAAGATTTTCTTATGGTCAGATATAAGAATTCATATTCTACAAGGATATGCTTCACACATAATATTTGCTCCACGGATAATAGGCAATTTTAACTGTATATCTTCATCATTGAAATCTGGTAATTTAAGTATTTTATAGTTTGAGATATTTTATAATTCAAAAGAGTAATGAAAACTTCAGAATAAAGGAACACATAAAGTTTAAGAGGTGATATACTAACAATTACCAACATTAATTGAGAATTTACTTGGACCAGACATTATGCTAAACAGATTAACATGAATTCTCTTCTTTAGCTTTTACAAGTTCTCTTTCTAAACAGGGAAACTGATATGTAGAAAACTTTAATAATAATTTGTTCAAGATTTGCAACTATTGGGGCAGCCCTGGTGGCGCAGCGGTTTGGCGCCGCCTGCAGCCCGGGGTGTGATCCTGGGGACCCAGGATCGAGTCCCACATCGGGCTTCCTGCATGGAGCCTGCTTCTCCCTCTGCCTGTGTTTCTGCCTCTCTCTCGCTCTCTCTGAATGAATAAATAAATAAATCTTTGGAAAAAAGAAAAAAAAAAGAAGATTTGCAACTATTAAGTTGCAGTAGGATCATAATTCTAGATTCCCATCACTTCCATCCATGTTTTCCCTCACCTTCCAAGTTCAAGTTCTAATGCTCTCCACCCCACCATTACACCTATCTCCACTGAGCTGATAAAAATCACCCCACTTATAAATGCCTAAGATGTAATCACAATGAAAAGTCAAAGTTTTGAACATTAAGTACACATAAGTTCTAAATATATGTAAACAGACTACTATCTAGTATTGAATTCATGATTTTTTTCAGGATCAAAGACTAACTAAAAGCAAATCTGAAAGTAACAGAACAATCATTTTTTTAACAAAAAAATTTTTAAGATTTTCTTTTTATTTATTTATTCATGAGAGACACAGAGAGAGGCAGAGACACAGGCAGAGGGAGAAGCAGCCTCCCTGTGGGGAGCCCGATGTGGGACTCGATCCCAGGACACTGGGATCACGCCCTGAGCCGGAGGCAGACAATCAACTGCTGAGCCACCCAGGCGTACCCAGAACCATCAATTTTATTTTTTTTTAAAGACTTTAGGGGGATCCCTGGGTGGCTCAGCAGTTTAGCGCCCGCCTTCGGCCCAGGGCGTGATTCTGGGATTCCGGGATCGAGTCCCACGTCGGGCTCCCTGCATGGGGCCTGCTTCTCCCTCTACCTGTGTCTCTGCCTCTCTCTCTGTGTCTCTCACAAATAAATAAATAAAATCTTAAAAAAAAAAAAAGACTTTATTTATTTATTTATGACAGACACACACACACACACACAGAGAGGCAGAGACACAGGCAGAGGGAGAAGCCTGCTCCCTTCAGGAAGCCTGATGTGGGACTGGATCCCGGGACTCCAGGATCACACTCCGGGCTGAAGGCGGCACTAAACCGCTGGGCCACAGGGGCTGCCCAGAACCATCATTTTAAACAAGTTCTTTACCTCCTTTCCTAATTTATCTAAATGTTACCTGGAACACGTGTTGAATAACTGTAGTAATTTGTATCTCCATCTTCAGGTTTCGTTGTATAGCCTTTATCTTGTTTGAATTTTCCATATTGGCCAAATCATCCTTCTGTTTGTTCTTTTCAGTCTGTATTTCTAACAGTTTATTTTCTGAAGCTTGTTTTAATTCTATTGGATTAAAAAAAAAGATACTATATATAACAACTCCTACAAACAAGAGTCTGGAAAAATAGTGAAGCAGAATAGCTCCTGACTGTTTCAGTCAACAGAAAATATTTAATAGGCATCATTTCAGGTTGCAGTTCCATTTTGTTTTTTTTTTTTTAATTTTTATTTATTTATGATAGTCACAGAGAGAGAGAAAGAGAGAGAGGCAGAGACACAGGCAGAGGGAGAAGCAGGCTCCATGCACCGGGAGCCCGACGTGGGACTCGATCCCGGGTCTCCAGGATCGCGCCCTGGGCCAAAGGCAGGCGCCAAACCGCTGCGCCACCCAGGGATCCCTGCAGTTCCATTTTGATCTGAAAATGACTTGCTTGGTGAAAAATACCAATATTTTGACTTTGACACTATACTTTATTATTTGATTTTTCCCCCTGAGAATATATTAATTTTGTGATTTAAAGTTCTAAAACAATAAAAATGAATTAAGCAAAATACATTTTATATACTATTTTTAAAGAGGCCATGTGCAAAATTTTAAGAAAATTTGAAAATTAAGAAATTTCTCAATGGCTGAGATAACTGGCCTTATCAATCTCTACAGTAAGTGAAAATGTTTTCTACAGAAAACAAAAACAAAACTGTTCTACATACCTAATCTCTTCTTTCTAACATCAAGCAGTTTTTCCTCCAAATCCCAAGATTCCTGAAAAAGTGAAGGCACATTACCTAAGAACAAACCTGTAACACTTACTCAATTTTATCTATTAATTCATGTTTTCCCAACCTCCAATTTTTAATCTCTTTATTTCCATACCAAAAAATAAAAAGGACAGTAGCTTAAATTACAAGTAGATCAATAGCCACAAACAACTGAGTTATGAAAAAGAGAAAACTTAAGAACAATAAATTCCAATTATACCAATAACTTTTGGGTAATCCCGTATAACTATATACAATATAGTTGCCAGCAACAGGTTACTAAAATCATGAGAATGCATAAGCAACCCAATGTGCAGTTACCTGGTGTGATTTCATTATTAATTTGTTTAGTTTTAATACATGTTTCATGTTATCCATGAGCACACTGAAAAGGAATAAAAAAATGATTTGTTAACTTTAATTAAAATTATAAAATTAAAAAAGTAAATATTATCATGAATGAACAAATCAATTATATATTTCCTTTCATGAAATTTATTACATACTTCAATAGAAAATTATCTTTTAACAAAATAAACCAAGAAAACTTTGATGTGAAGTAAATTTCTGTTTAAAATTAGAGATGCAGGGGCACCTGGGTGGCATAGTCAGTTAAGTGTCTGACTTGGTTTCAGCTTGGGTCATGATCTCAGGACCATGAGATCAAGTCCCATATTGAGCTCTACACTCAGCCCAGAATCTGCTTAAGATTCTCTCTCCCTCTGCCCCTCCCCACTGTGCTCGTGCTTTGCTTTCTCTCAAATAAATAAACAAATAAATATTTAAATTAGACACAAAAAATAATTTAACAAAAATAAAATTAGAGATGCAGTTCCCTAGAAAAATAAAAAATCTGAAATTCAGGCACGTATGAACCTTTTTAAAAATCTCCTAATAATAGACTTTATTTTTAAGAGCTATTTTAAGTTCACACCAAAACTAAATGGAAGGTAAGCCCATATGCCCCTGACCCCCACGACACACAGCCTCAGTTATCATCATCCTCCACCAGAAAGGTCCATTCATCACAAATGATGAATCTACATTTAACGTATTATTATCATCCAAATCCCATAATTTACAGTAGGGTTCACTCTTGGTGGTGTACATTCTATGGGTTTGACAAATGTATAAAGACATGTATTCACCATTATAGCACCACAGATAATAGTTTTACTGAATATTCAAGATGCTTTTTACCCTCGTGTCTTCAGCAAGTATTTCTGAGTACCTACTACATGCTAGACATATGCCAGGGACCAGGAACGTTAAACAAAGTAAAACACCAAGAGGAAAGAATCTGATGAAAGAGAAAAATAAGTCCACAATATGGCTTCATTATAACCAGTAATAAATATGAACCACTTAAAGAGTTGTGCACAGAGTAGAACAAGGGAAACCCTTGATCTTAAATACATGAAATAATTACCTGGATTGCCTACATCAACTAGTTTGGTATAACTGGAGCCAAAGAGTGTGAAATAAGACTGGGTAAGAACAATGGCTCTTATACTTCAAAGTGCCACCATCCCTTGGGAGGATGTTAAATGTGGATCACCAGGTGACCCTGACTATGCCCATTTGTCTTCAGAGACCGAGTCAGTAGGTTTGGGATGGGACCAGCAATGTGATCACCATGATAATACTAATCATTCTGGGGCAGCCCCGGTGGCACAGCGGTTTAGCGCTGCCTGCAGCCCAGGGCGTGATCCTGGAGACCTGGGATCGAGTCCCGCGTCGGGCTCCTACATGGAGCCTGGTTCTCCCTCCTCCTGTGTCTCTGCCTCTCTCTCTCTGTGTCTATAATAAATAAATAAATCTTTAAAAAAAAATACTAATCATTCCGATAATCAGCCAGGCATGAAACACTGCACAAGTTTATTGAGGAGGCTGAAAATGTGAATCTCTGCATAGACCTGGGAAAGCTAAACTCATTTTCTACTAGTTACAGCTATACTGGCTTGTAAACTTAAAAACTTGCTTAAAGGGGATCCCTGAGTGGGTCAGAGGCTTGGCACCTGCCTTCGGCCCAGGGCGTGATCCTGGAATCCTGGGATCGAGTCCCACGTCGGGCTCCCTGCATGGAGCCTGCTTCTCCCTCTGCCTATGTCTCTGCCTATGTCTCTCTCTCTCTCTCATGAATAAATGAATAAAATCTTAAAAAAAAAAAAACTTGCTTGAAGGCACTACCTCAGCCTTTTTGGCCTTTCTGTTCTCTTTGGGTGTCAATCCTGTACCTCTTTAATTCTAGATTGTTTATTTTTTAAAAGATTTTATTTACTGGGCAGCCCGGTGGCTCAGCGGTTTAGCACCCCCTTCAGCCCAGGGTGTGATCCTAGAGACCTGGGATTGAGTCCGGCATGGGGCCTGCTTCTCCCTCTGGCTGTGTCTCTGCCTCTCTCTCTCTCTCTGTGTCTCTAATAAATAAATAAAATCTTAAAAAAAAAAAAAGATTTTATTTACTTATTCATTAGAGAGAGAGAGAGAGAGAGAGAGAGGCAGAGACATAGGCAGAGGGAGACCAGGCTTTCCATGGGGAGCCTGATGTGAGACTTGATCCCAGGACCCTGGGATCATGACCTGAGCTAATGGCAGACATTCAACCATTGAGCTATCCCGGCGACCCTAACTCAAGATTGTTTAAAGCTCACCCTCTACGGAGGAGCAATTGTTAGAGGTCTCAAATTCAGATTTTAGGTTTTAAGTAATCCTGGAGTTAAATGGAATATAGGGAGAACGCATTATCAGCCTGAACTAAAATACTCAGGAAGGGGAAGTGTCCAGATGCATCTTAGCACTTTTACGATACTAATGGTAGGGAATCTTTTAATCACAAGATTTTTTTAGAACTTTGAGAAATAAGAGCACAGGTAAGGAGGTAGGGCCCCTGAGGCCAGACACAAAGGACTAGACTATAGAGAACGTTGACTGCCAGAGTTTTAATTTTATATTCCTTGGCAAATACTGTAACATATACAAGTTCATTTCTGCCAGTGAAAAATGAGGCATATACTTCTTGTCTCATTCCTCTCACTGGGTTATTGGATAAATGAGACAGCCCTATTCCTGTTTTACAGTAAATACTGAACAAAAGTTAACTTTCAAAATCTTCCTTCAAAATTTTCAAACTAGGGCAGCCCGGGTAGCTCAGCGGTTTAGCACTGCCTTCAGCCTAGGGCCTGATCCTGGACACCCGGGATCGAGTCCCACATCGGGCCCTCTGCATGGAGCCTGCTTCTCTCTCTGCCTGTGTCTCTGTCTCTCTCTCTGTCTCTGTGTCTCTAATGAATAAATAAAACTAAAAAAGTAAAAAAAAATTTTTTTTTCAAACTAGCTGGCTAAAAATCTCCATTGCTTCTTAGTGTTGCAATCCAAACAAAAGGTTAGTTAGCCAGACTGTAAAAATTATAATGCTGAATATGACCCACTAAAATTCTGTCAATTTTCTTATTCCCCAGAAAAAGGTTTTTAGCCTGACAGCAAATTAAAAAAATATCAGAAAACTCAAGTCATTATGCAAATCTCCCATCTTATTCTCAGCTTTAACAAATTCAGAAAAAAAGACAAAAGAGAAAAAAAAAAAAAACATACCTGGTCTTGGGGTCAATTTTCTCCAGGTTTTTTTGAAGTGCAATCGAGAGCTGCATCCTACAATGCAAGGAAAAAAGCTCGCATTATAAAACATGGATAACACTTGTGATTCATTGAAAAGAAAAAATGTAAACATGACAAGTTAAAGATTTATTTATTTATTTATTTATTTTTATTTAAAGATTTTATTTATTTATTCATGAGAGACACAGAGATAGAGTAAGGCAGAGACACAGGCAGAGGGAGAAACAGGCTCCATGCAGGAAGCCCGACGTGGGACTCAATCCGGGGACTCCAGGATCACGCCCTGGGCCGAAAGCAGGCGCTAAACCGCTGAGCCACCAGGGCCGCCCTTTTGATTTCTTTTTATTTTATTTTACTTATTTATTTTTTTAAAGATTTTATTTATTCATGAGAGACATAGAGAGAGAGAGGCAGAGACACAGGTAGAGGGAAAAACAGGCTCCATGCAGGGAGCCCGATGCGGGACTCGATCCTGGGTCTCCAGGATCCCGCCCTGGGCCGAAGGCAGCACTAAACCGCTGAACCACCAGGGCTGCCCCTTGATTTCTTTTTAAATGTAATGTGGGATCCCTGGGTGGCGCAGTGGTTTGTCGCCTGCCTTTGGCCCAGGGCGCGATCCTGGAGACCCGGGATCAAATCCCACGTCAGGCTCCCGGTGCATGGAGCCTGCTTCTTCCTCTGCCTGTGTCTCTGCCTCTCTCTCTCTATATGACTATCGTAAATAAATAAAAAAAAAAAATTAAAAAAAAATAAATGTAATGTAAAACGTAAGAAGGTTTTAAACACTACTGTATGGGAAATACTTTGATAAGTCACAGAAATGGAAAAATAACAAGATGTGGTTGTGCACGGCTAGGCTGAGGGACTGTTTAGTCTTGAAATCAGCTTGAGCTTTGCTCTCCAACCCATCCACCTTCGTGCAGGGCCAAGAGGAAGCATTAAGGCACCACAGAGATCAGCACAGGCCTGAAATGGAGTTGGGGAATACAAAGCCATACCTGAATGTAAACTTTAAAGGATACCTACATAAAAACAAACTGCATAAATTACTTTTAAATCCACATAGCTAATAAGTAATAATGAAAAGGTTAGAGTCACTTCTTCCTTTCTGTCACACACAAAAAATGAATTCATTAAAATGAGATTTCTTAATAGCTCTGAAGTCATCTTTAAAAATGTGATCTAGGGCACATGGCTGGCTCAGTCTCTACAGCATGCAACACTTGGTTTAGAGGTGGTGAGTTCAAGCCCCAGGTAGGGCACAGAGATTACTTAAAACAAATTCATGAAAAATACATATTATCTATACAATGAGCCAGCTTATGAGAAGAGGGAAAAATGTTCACTGCTAGAAGCAATCAAGGGGACTTTAACTAGTTTTCAATTAAATGTATAAGAAATTCATCTGGGAAGACCAGAAACACAAGGAAGTAATTTTAAGTCATTCACTTAATTGATATTAATTCAGATCACACATCTAAGAAATCACGTCTTATTAATGAATGTATACAAACACCTACCACAAAGCTTAAGGCATAGTAAGCACTGAAATATTTGTTGAATGAATTTTAAAATACAGATACAAAACCTGTATTAAAAATATATTAAGGGGTGCCTGGCTAGCTCCATCAGTAGAGCATGAGACTCTTGATCTTGGGGTTGTGAGTTCAAGCTCCATGTTGGGTGAAGAGAGGACTTAAAAATAAAATCTTCTAAAAAATTGGAAAATATATATATTTAAACTTGGTGACAATTCTTTTACTTGATTAATAGTTACTGTAATAATCGAATCCATATAATCCTTTGAAACACTGGATGAAATTTAAACTCACCCTTCTATTTCCTTGACTGATATTTTCTTATTAAGTCAACCTTATGTAACTACTTCAAATGAAGGTATTAATGAATGACAATACTTTTCTCTCAGGGCACAAAATTCGTTTACCCATTACCTAATGATCATTTCACTTGATGAGTCATTTAGACTAATTAAAATATTCCCTCCACCTCAAACATACCCATTTTGCATCCAGTTCACAATACTTATATCTAAAATGTAATAATTACCTGTCTAATGCAAGCTTTTTCATTTCAAAAGCAGTTTTCACTTCTTCAACTTCCTTTTCCAGGTCTTCAATTTTACTATCGAAGCATAAACAAAAAAATTTCAGCAATATCAAAAAAATTCCCTGTTAACATAACTATAGAAAGTAAACCTTTGAAAAAAGTAAAATGGCCTATTCCAGATAAAATTATTCTACAGGCTCCCCACCCTGATGCATTTATAGATTAGGTAAACAGATGCCTCTGAGATACTTAACTAGTCATCTTGTGAAGGGGAATGCCAGAAGCTAATGTGACCACTCAGATACATGTTAAGTCCATCCCCTGTATCAACTTCTCAGTATATGCATGAAAAATTACTTGGAAAAATAAAGACAAAAATAAAGAAAGGTAATGGTATAAGATGGATAATAATATCAAACGTTAGTAAAAAACAAAATTCAAAAATATGACATACGCTTCAATATGCTTATCTTGTAAGAGTTGTTCTGGAGTTTTTTCTTCATCTACAAAGAAATAATTTTTTGAAGTTAGTAAGAGTTTAAAAAAGTACTGTCCAAAAGATATATAACGTAAGCCACAGGGAGGGGGAAAAAAGTAAGCTACAAATGTAAACAAAACTTTAATTTTTAATTTCCATATTATCAAGCAAGTGAAAATATTTCAATGTAACTTATTTCATAAAACCAATAGATCTAAAATATGTTATTGGGATCCCTGGGTGGCGCAGCAGTTTGGCGCCTGCCTTTGGCCCAGGGCGCGATCCTGGAGACCCGGGATCGAATCCCACGTCGGGCTCCCGGTGCATGGAGCCTGCTTCTCTCTCTGCCTGTGTCTCTGCCTCTCTCTCTCTCTGTGACTATCATAAATAAAAAAAAAAAATTAAAAAAAAAATAAAATATGTTATTAGGGCAGCCCAGGTGGCTTAGCGGTTTAGCACCGCCTTCAGCCCAGGGCCTGATTTCTGGAGACCTGGAATCGAGTCCCACATTGGGTTCCCTGCATGGAGCTTGCTTTGCAAACTCTGCCTGTGTCTCTGTCTCTGTGTCTCTCCCTCATGAATAAATAAATAAAATCTTTATTTATGTAATTAATTTAAAATTACTAATGAAATATTTTATAATCTTTTCTTCTGTATTTTGCATTTACAGTCCTTTTCAAGGACTAACCACATTTCAAGTGTTCAAAGGTCACATGGAGCTAGTTGCTATATGGACAAGGTAGTTTCAGAATAATGGAAAATAGAAAAGAAGTAAAATATTAACATGAGCAATGTCAAAAAGATCACCTTATGTCTATATGTTAGAAACAATCGGAAATCAAAAGGTAAAATTACAATGCACAATTACTTTCAAAAATATGAAATATTTAAGGATATATTTTTAAAAATTTCTATATCTCTAAGACTTTTATTTTTTAAAATATTTTATTTATTCATGAGAGACTGTTCTGGAATTGGATAGTGGTAATAATTACCAATACTGTGAATATACTAAAACCTACTTAACTTGTACATTTTATGTTTTCTAATTTTTTTAAAGATTTACTTATTTTATTTATTTATGAGAGAGAGAGAGAGAGAGGCAGAGACACAGGAGGAGGGAGAAGCAGGCTCTATGCCAGGAGCCCGACGTGGGACTCGATCCCGGGACTCCAGCGTCCTGGGCCAAAGGCAGGCACTAAACCACTGAGGCACTCAGGGATCCCCTTAACTTGTACATTTTAAAATGAATTTTATATTATATGAATTAAATCTCTTATTAAAAGAAAGTTGTCAGATACACACACCACACACATAAATACATATCATACAATGCTATTTACATCAAATTCTGGAACAGGGTTGTCCAAGAGAAATTTCTGTGATGGTAGAAATGTTTAATATCTGTGCTGGCCAACAGGGTAGTCATTAGACACATGTGGCTATTGAGTGTTTGATATGTAACTAGAGTAACTAAAGAACTGAATTTAAAATATTAATTTTAATTAATTTAATTCTACAGTTAAAGGCCACATGTAACTAATGGCTACTGTACTGTACTGCACAACTCTAGAAAGCAAATCTATAATAACAGAAATTATAATGGTGGTTGCTGGGGGTAAGGGTAGGGACTGAATGTGAAGTCAAACAAGGGAGGTATAACAGAAATATTCTATATCTTGATTATGGAAATGGTTACATTGATATATACATTTGTCAAAATTCAACAAATTGTACTCTGAAAATGGATACACTTGCTGTAAAAAAAAATCCTTCAAGCAATAAAGTAACATATTCTTTTAAGGGTAAAGTAATTTTTTTTAAGCTTTATTTATTTATTCAGAGAGCGAGAGAGACAGAGGCAGAGACACAGGCAGAGGGAGAAGGAGTCCCATGTCAGGCTCCATGCAGTCACCTGACGTGGGACTCGATCCCGGGGGGTCTCCAGGATCACACCCCGGGCTGCAGGAGGCGCTAAACCTCTGCGCCACAGGGGCCGCCCAAACTTTTGATATCTTTTTCGAAGACTACAACCTCACTCCTTGCCCTGAAGCTATAATCTCCTTTAGTTGTAGAAACTCTACAGTGTGCGCTATAAAGCCTACTCAAGTTTTCAGATGTCATAATTCCTTTAAAAAGGGATGATATATAGATGGAAAACAAGGACTATATGAGAAGGTGGAGAATTTAACACTTGGATTTTACTCTCATGTCATCTCAAAGACACCATTGGTGATCAAAATATTTAAAGGAACCCCTCCTTGTCACACCATTACTTCCTTCATCACATTTACCACACTTAATAATGATCTTCCAAGGTTTCGTTCCTTACCTGTTTTGCTACATAGAACTTAAGCTCCACTAAGGCAAATTCTGGCTTATTCAACACTACATCTCCATGCCTAGTTAAGTGTCCCTAGCAAGGACATTATGAATACTTTAAAAATGATTTGAATGAATGCAGGAATATGTACAGAGACAATTTCTCAATGGTCCAAATTCTGAATACCTTTCCCCCTCTACCTTGTCCTCTAAGAAGATACTCTACCTGTTTTTATTATGTGAGCTCCCATGCCAGCAAAAGAATTTGGCCATATTCTACCTTTCATCTATGATGAAACATCATAGTTTAATACAAAAAGCATGGATTTTGGAAATGAAACCATTAATTCCTCCCGGTGAAGGCAGTGACCTGGTCATTTTTGATGAAAGCATTATTGATATATATAATGGAAGGTCATGGCTTTGGAGGCAGGAAGGCGGGGATCCCTGAGTGGCTCAGCAGTTTAGCGCCTGCCTTTGGCCCAGGGCGCAATCCTGGAGTCCTGGGATCGAGTCCCGCGTCGGGCTCCCTGCAGGAGCCTGCTTCTCCCTCTGCCTGTGTCTCTGCCTCTCTCTCTCTCTCAAATCAATCAATCAATCAATCAATCAATCAATCAATCAATCTTAAAAAAAAATGGAGGCAGGAAGGCCTAATTCATATGCCAGTTTCATAAATTACTAGTTATACTAGCAGAAAAGAGGCCAGGTGGCCCATTTCATAGTCCTGGTTTTTGTTGTTGTTTTGCATAAAAAAGACTAGAAAGCCTGGAATATCAAATGGACAACACACTAGAACTGCCTTTGGATCTATGGCCTTATAAAAGAATCTGAGCAGAGCCCAAAAAGTTCCTAAGTTAAACATGCATTCAGGTGAAGTGACTAAATCATCTATGTGGCCTCCTTGGGTTTTCTACAATTCTTGCTTCAACCTAATGTATTATTTGGATTTATTCTTTAAGTCTATTTCACAGAGAAAGAGTCAACAAAATCTCTTTGTGATCCAAGGGCTTACAAATTAGGTCACAATAATAGTTATTACTTTAGGAGCCTTAAACCATTATTTTACTACTCTCTTGCTCCCTAAGCTTCTGGATTTTAAAAGTTAAATATACATTTTTCCAGGGGTGGGGTGGCTCAGTCAGTTAAGAGTCTGCTTTCACCTCAGGTCACAATCCCAGTGTCTTGGGATAGAGCTCTGCATCAAACTCCCTGCTCAGTGGGGAGTCTGCGTATCCCTCTCTCTCTCCTCATACTTGTTCTTTCTTGGTCTCTCTAAAATAAATAAGTAAAAAAAAAATTTTTTTAAAGATTTTATTTATTTATGGGAGAGAGAGATTGAGAGAGAAAGAGAGATAGGCAGAGACACAGGCAGAGGGAGACGCAGGCTCCATGCAGGGAGCCTGACATGGGACTCGATCCCAGGACTCCAGGATCATGCCCTGGGCGGAAGGGAGGCGCTAAACCTCTGAGCCACCCAGGGATCCCAGTAAAAATTTTTTAAAAACTTAATTTTTTCAGTGTTTAAAATCAAAATTATCATTCATATCTTTAAGCTAATCTGCCTCTCATTCCTATCTTCCAGTGTTTCTCAAAGTATAGATCTTAAATCACTGGCTTAACAATCATTTGATCTAACTTAATCTCCAAGCTGTTCATAATCAAGTTCTAGGATTCCTTCCCACAGAAATTTCTCAATTCTCTGATTAACAGAACCTAATTGTCTTGCATTATTATTTAGGGTTTCTATTTCCTGAATTCCTAACAAGTTCCTAAGGGACAGGGCAAGCCTGTCTTTTGCTTCCTTCATAGTATAGTACAGCATTATGCTGACACTCCCATTCCCTAAATAAGTAACTTTTTGTAAAGTTGATTTTCTTTTCTCTAGAATACTGTTCATCACCACGCTCATAAAAACTTATTTGAAAATGAAAATACTTACTTGCATCAACCATTGATTTATATTCCAAGAGTTGTTGTTTTGTCTGTGCTCTTAGCCTGGAAAAGAGAAGAAAAGTCATATATATACATAAATATATATATGGTTTTTTTTTTTTTAAGATTTTATTTATTTATTCATGATAGACACACACACACAGAGGCAGAGAGAGAAGCAGGCTCCATGCAGGGAGCCTGATGCGGGATTCGATCCGGGGACTCCAGGATCATGCCCTGAACCAAAGGCAGATGCTTAACCACTGAGCCACCCGTGTATCTGTTTTTTTTTTTTTTTAAGTAAACTGTACCCCAAACATGGGGCTTGAACTCAAAACCCTGACACCAAGAGTTGCACGCTCTACTGACTAAACCAGTCAGATGCCCTAGAAAGTCATGTATTTATAGAGGTTTTACTATTTACTATATGATAAACCAACTCACCTTTTTCAGAAGTTCGTGTAATAAAATGAGTGTAAGTAAACTCAGCAATAAGTCTTCTAGTTTGACCTTATTTATTTATTTGTTTGTTTATTTTAAAAATTTTATTTATTCATGAGAGATACACAGAGAGGGAAGCAGAGACACAGGGGAGGGAGAAGCAGGCTCCACACAGGGAGCCCGACATGGGACTCGATCCTGGGTCTCCAGGATCAGGCCCTGGGCTGAAGGCAGTGCTAAACTGCTGAGCCACCCTGGCTGCCCGACCTAATTTATTTAAAGTTGGTATAAAGTGTTCCAGTTGAAGATGGTGATGTAGGAAAACTATGTCCCTCTCCACAGAACACACCAAATTACATCTATTAATTGCACAATTCCTCCTGAAGAACTAAGGGCTGACTGAACACTAATGAATAACCAAAGACAGAACAGAAAAACAGGGAGAGAGTTGGAAACATGCCATGTTTTGAAAGAGTAACTAACATATACAGCCACAGCTCTAGTCAGCCAGCAAAACTCACCAAACACACAGTCTGCACAGGGGATACCATACACAAGATGACTCCTTCAAGTTTAGGAGAAGTGCCTGTTTACCTACTCCATAGAAACAAACATAAAAACTCAAGCAAAATGGGGAGACAGAGGAATATGCTCCAAAAGAAAGAACAAGAAAACTCAGACAAAGAACTAAATGAAACAGAGGTAAACAGTAGTCTACAGCCATACCACCTTGAACATGCCCAATCTCGTCAGAGGTAAACAGTAAGCCTGAAAAAAAATTTAAAGTAATGATTTTATTTAAAAAAAAAAATTTTTTTTTTAATTTATTTACGATAGTCATACAGAGAGAGAGAGAGGCAGAGACACAGACAGAGGGAGAAGCAGGCTCCATGCACCGGGAGCCCGACGTGGGATTTGATCCCGGGTCTCCAGGATCGCGCCCTGGGCCAAAGGCAGGCGCCAAACCGCTGCGCCACCCAGGGATCCCTAAAGTAATGATTTTAAAGATACTCACTGGGCTGGAGAAAAGAGTGGAAGAACTCAGTGAGACCTTCAATAACAAGACAGAAAATATTAAAAGAAACCAATGAGAGTTGAAGAATGCAATAACTGAAAACACACACACATACATACACACACACACACGAAAGTCAACAGTAGATGAAAGGATCAGAAGAATCTATCAGTGATCTGGAAGACAGGGTAATGGACAGCATACAAGCAGAAGAACTCAAAAAGTTTCAAAAATGTAAATAGATTAAGAAATCTTTTGGACAATATCAAGCAAACATTTACATTAATGGGATCCAGAAAAAGAAGAGAGAGAAAGATGTAGAAAAGTTATGTAAAGGAATAATAGCTGAAAACTTCCCTAACCTAGGAGGAGAAATAGATATCCAAGTCCAAGAAGCACAGAGTTCCAAACCAGGTAAATCCAAGGAGTTCCAGACCATAGCACATAAAAATTGAAATGTCAAAGTTTAAAAATAAAGGGAGAATTTTTAAAGAAGCAAGAGAAAAAACAAAGTACCTAGAAGGGAAAACATGAAGATATCAGCTGATTTTTCAGCAGAAACTTTGCAGGCCAGAAAGGAGTGGCATGATAAATTCATAGTGCTGAAAGGAAAAAAAACTACAACCAAGTACCTGCAAGGTACTCAGATTTGAGGAGAGATTGAGTTTCCTAGACAAACACAAGATAAAGAAGTTATCACCACTAAATCAGTGTTGTAAGAAATGTTACAAGGGACTTCTTTAAGTGGAAAAGAAATGTCCAAATTAGACATAAAAAAAGATGAATAAGAAGATGTAAAATAAGACAACATATACATAAACTGTGGAGAAGGCAGTAAAAAGGGGAAAGAAGGGGGAAAAGAGATTTTTTTCCTTTTACTGTTTTTGCTTTTTTTAGGATGTGTTTGAACTTATGGATGACCACCAAATTAATATGGACTGCTATTTATTTGGATCTTATATATGAACCTCATGGTAACCACAATGATAGAAACACAAAAAATAAAGAGAAAGAAGCCAAACAAAACACTAGATTCATCAATCACAAAGAAAGAGAGCAAAAGACGAAGAAAAAGAACAAACAAAATCCAAAGTGAGAAGAAAGAAATAATACAGATCAGAGCAGAAGTAAATGACAGACTGAAAATAATAAAAAAAAAAAAAATCAATGAAACCAAAGAACTAGTTCTTTGAAAAGATAAACAAAATTGATAAGCCCTTAGCCAGGCTCATCAAGAAAAAAAGAGAAAGGATCCAAATAAATAAAATCAGAATCAAGAGAACTACCAACACCACAGAAATACAAAGGGTTATAAGAGCATACTATGAAAAATTATACGCCAAAATAATGGACAACCTAAAAGAAATAGCTAATTCCTCAAAACACACATCTTCCAAAACTGAACCAGGAAGAAATTAAAAATCCTTAATAGGTCAATTACAATATAAGAAAATTGAATTGGGGGCAGTCCCAGTGGCACAGCGGTTTAGCACCACCTGCAACCCAGCATGTGATCCTGGAGACCGGGGATCGAGTCCCATGTCGGGCTCATGTGTGGAGCCTGCTTCTCCCTCTGCCTGCGTCTCTGCCTCTCTTTCTGTGTCGCTCATGAATAAATAAAGAAAATCTTAAAAAAAAAAAAAGAAAAGAAAATTGAATTGGTAATCAAAAACTACCAAAAGGAGTGCCTGGCTTGTGTAGTCAGTTAAGTGTCCAACTCTTGGTTTTGGCTCCCGTCCTGATCTCAGGGTTGTGAGATCAAGCCCCACATCAGGCTCTCCACTCAGTGTGGAGTCAGCCTGAGATTCTCTCTCCTTCTGCCTTTGCCCCTCCCAATCATGCTCTCTTTCTCTCTCTCAAATACGTAAATAAATCTTTGAAGAAAAAAAAAAAAAACAAAAAATTTAGGACTACAGCGATTCAGGGATCCCTGGGTGGCGTAGTGGTTTGGTGCCTGCCTTTGGCCCAGGGCGCGATCCTGGAGACCCGGGATCGAGTCCCACGTCGGGCTCCTGGGGCATGGAGCCTGCTTCTCCCTCTGCCTGTGTTTCTGCCTCTCTCTCTCTGTGTGTGTGACTATCATAAAAAAAAAAAAAATTAAAAAAAAATTAAAAAAAAAAAAAAAGGACTACAGCGATTCACAGATGAATCCTACGAGACATTTAAAGAAGAGTTAATACCTATTCTCAAAGTATCCAAAAAAAAAAAAAGAAGAGAAAGGAAAACTTCCAAACACATTCTATGACATATTACCCAGATACCAAAACCAAAGACACCACAAAAAAAAGAAAATTACAATATAGCCCTGGTGAACAAAGATGCAAAAATCCTCAACAAAATATTAGCAAACCACATACAACACATTAAAAAAATCATTCACCATGATCAGGTGGGATTTATTCTACAAGAGTAATTCAATATTAGCCAATCAATCAATGTCATATATCACACCTACAAAATAAAGGACAAAAATCATATGATCATCTCAATAGAGCAGAAAAAGCACTTGACAATATTCAACATTCATTCATTAAAAAAAAAAAAAAAAAAAGCTCTCAACAAAATGGGGTTAGAGGAGGGAATATACCTCAACACAATAAAGGCCTTATATATGGGATCCCTGGGTGGCGCAGCGGTTTGGCGCCTGCCTTTGGCCCAGGGTGCGATCCTGGAGACCCGGGATCGAATCCCACATCGGGCTCCCGGTGCATGGAGCCTGCTTCTCCCTCTGCCTGTGTCTCTGCCTCTCTCTCTCTCACTGTGTGCCTATCATAAATAAAAAAAAAAAAAAAAAAAAATTAAAAAAAAAAAAAAACCCACAGCTAACATCACACTCAATGGTGAAAAACTGAGAGCTTTCCCTCTAAGGTCAGTAACAAGAGAAGGATGTCTGTTCTCACTACTTTTTTAAAAAAAGTAATGAATTAATTTGAGAGAGAGAGAACAAGCACAGGCTAGAGGGTGGATGGAGAGAGAGAGACAATCTCAAGCAGACGCCCTGCTCAGCTTAGAGCTTGACAGGACTTGATATGACCTGAGCCAAACCAAGAGTTGGATGCTTAACTCACTGACACACCTAGGCACCTCCACTCTCATCACTTTTATTCAACATAGTACTGGAAGTCCTCTCCACAGCAATCAGACAAGAAATAAGAGTCATCCATATTGGCAAAGAAGTTAAACTGTCACAATTTGCAGACAGCATGATACTATACACAGAAAATCCTAATGACTCAACCAAGAAATATACTAGAAGTAATAAATGAATTCAGTAAAGTGGCAGTGTACAAAATTCATACACAGAAATCAGTAGCATTTCTATCTATTAACAAGGTCACAGAAAGAGAAATTTTATAAACCACCACCATTACAATTGCACCAAAAAAATAAAAAATAAAATAAAATACCTAGGAATAAACTTGACCAAAGAGGTGAAAGACCTGTACTCTGAAAACTATAAAACACTGATGAAAGAAAATGAAGATGACACAAATGGGAAGATAGTCCCGGTTCATGTATTAAAATAATGCCAAAATATCCTTAGTACCCAAAGCAATTTACGGATTCAAAGTAATCCCTACCAAAATACCAATAGCACTTCCTACTAAACTACAACTAATATTCAACACTAATATTTGTATGCGGTGACAGGGTGGGGGTGGGGGTGCACCTGGGTGGTTCAGTCAGTTAAGCATCTGCCTTCAGCTCAGGTCATGATCAGAGTCCTGGGATTAAGCCCCAAGTTGGGCTCCCTGCACAGCAAGGAGTCTGCTTCTCCCCTTCCCCCTCATCCCCACTTGTGCTCTCTTGCACTCTCTCAAGGGAATAAACAAAATCTTATAAAACAAAATAAAATTTGTATGGAAACACAGAAGATACCAAATAGCCAAAGCAATCCTGACAATAAAGCATGAACTTGGAACTATCAAGATTCCATATTTCAAGATATACTATAAAGCAGGAGAGATCAAAACATTATGGTACAGGCACAAAAATAGACAAATGGATTAATGGAACAGAACAGAGACTCCAGAAATAAACCCACATTAATATGGTCAATTAATCTATGATAAAGGAAGTAAGAATATACAGTAGGGGGGATGCCTGGGTGGCTCAGTGATTGAGTGTCTGCCTTTGGCTTGGGTTGTGATCCTGGGGTCCTGGGATCGAGTCCCGCATCTTGCTTCCTACAGGGAGCCTGCCTCTCCCTCTGCCTGTGTCTCTGCCTCTTTCTCTGTCTCTCATGAATAAATACATAAAATCTTAAAATATATATATATATGTGTGTGTGTGTGTATGTGTGTGTGTGTCTTGAGACAAGGAAAATAAAAGCAAAAATAAACTGCTGGGACTACATCATAATAAAAAGTTTTAGCATAGCAATGGGAACCATGAACAAAACGAAAAGACGACCTACTGAATGGGAGAAGATATTTGCAACTGATTTATTTTATAAGAGGTTAATATCCAAAAAATATAAAGAACTTATCTAACTCAACATCAAAAAAAGTCTGATTTAGAAATGGGCAGATGACCTGAATAGACATTTTTTTCTTTTTTTTTTTTTTTAAGGATTTTATTGATTTATTCATGAGAGACACAGAGACAGAGAGAGGCAGAGACACAGGCAGAGGGAGAAGCAGGCTCCATGCGTGGAGCCCGACGCGGGACTGGATCCCCAGTCACCAGGATCACACCCCGAGCTGAAGGCGGTGCTAAACCGCTGGGCCACCGGGGCTGCCCTGAATAGACATTTTTCTAAAGAAAACATATGGATGACCAATAATACCTGAAAAGATACTGCTCAACATGACTAATGAACAGGGAAATGCTCATTATAACCACAATGGGATATCACTCACAGTTGTCGGAATGACTAAAATAAAAAGAAAAGAAACAAGTATTGGCAAGGACGCAGAGTAAAAAGGAGACCTCCTGCACTATTGGTGGGAATATAAATTAGTACAGCCACTCTGGAAAACAGTATGGAGGTTCCTTGAAAAAGTAAAAACAGGGACACCTGAGTGGTTCAGTGGTTGAGTATCTGCCTTTGGCTCAGAGTTTGATCCTGGGGCCCTGGGATCGAGTCCCGCGTTGGGCTCCCTGTGAGGAGCCTGCTTCTCCCTCTGCCTGTGTCTCTGCCTCTCTTTCTGTGTCTCTCATGAATAAATAAAATCTTTAACAAAAAAACAGAAAAGAAAAATTAAAAAGAGAACTACTCTATGATCCAGTAATTCCACTACTTGGCATTTACCAAGGAACACAAAAACAGTAACTTGAAAACATGTATGTACCTTAATGTTTACTGCATTATTTACAATAACCAAGTCATGGAAGCAACCTAAATACCCATCACGAGGGCAGGGCGAGGTCTCCCAGGCGGCTGGGCCCTCACGGGCGCCTCAGGACCGCGCGGCGCGCGTGGACGAGCAGAGCGGGGACTAGGCCGCAGGCTCGCCGCCGCGCAGCCCCGAGCCCCGCCCGGCCGTCCTGGGAAGCAAACCTCCGCCGCGAGGATGGAGCCGGCGCCCACGGAGCCTCGACGACGCAGGGACGCAGCCACGAAGCCACCGCGGCGGAATCCGACGGCCTCGGGCCCCGGGGGTGGGGGCAAAGGGCGCGCTCGGGGCCACGGCGGCCGCGGGAAGTACCTGAGCAGCAGGGTCAGGCGGGCCTCGGGACGCGCTGCCTGGGCGCCGGCGACCTGCGGGGGCTCGTCGTCCCCGCCTTCCCGGCCTCCCGCGCCGCAGTCCGCGGGCTCGCCAGCCGCCTGCTCTCCCGGCCGCCGCTCCATTCTGACGGGCGCCAAGAGAAACCGCCGGCCGACTCGAGTTTCCCGCCACCGAGGCGTGGCCCTGAAAGCCTTCCCGCCTCGCCCCGCCCCTTCCGGCCTCCGCCCCGCCCCTTCCGCCCCGGCCCTGGTCGCCGTGGTTACTCCTCCCATCCTGACGACCAGTGTTTAGACTTGAGGCTTTAAGCTTCGGCTGCAGCCGTTGGGGACGCATCGCGGCTCCCGGGAACCGCCTGGAGGGAAAACTCGGACAAATATGGTCGTTCGTGCCCGGCGCTGGGACCGGGCCCCTGCGGGACGGCGGGTGTTTTGAGCCATCTTTGGCGGCCTTGGGCCCCGGTGTGCCCGGCGGGTGGCCTGGAGCAGCCGCTGGAGCCGAGCTCGCAACGCCGACCCGGGATTGGCGAGGTTCGCACTCGCAGCCGAGCCCCAGGCGTCAGCTTGTCGACTGACTGTGTCCCAGTGAAGCTTTATTTTAGGTGAGTGGTGAGCGGGTCATAGAGAAAATGCAGGACGTGTAAATCCCCGATTGTAGGTTTTCATGAAGGGCCGTCGCTCCGGCTTCGCAGCCACCGCCCGGGAACTGGGAGCTCGGACCCGCGGAGCCGCCTCCCCCTTCAGGGCCGGCTTCCCGAGTTCTGCTCGGCCGCCTCGCGAGTGCGCGCCCCCCTTCCTCCCTCTTCGGGATCAGGGTAACCCGCTCCCTTCCAAAGACCGGGACGTAAATAAGGCGATAGGCTCGCCATTCCGATCCCCGAGCCCCTGCGGAAAAAATGGGGTTTCATTGTTTTGCACAAAAACGGCAATGCTAATTTTTAATTTTATCCTGGATGTCTTCCAATCTCTCACATCCATCTCATCCTTTTAAGCAGTTGCCGGTCAGGTGTCCAAGGCCAAATTTGGGACCCAGACAACGTAGTTCTCCATCTGGGCAGGAATCAGTCACTGGCTGGGCTGCTTAAAAGGGACTGCTGAGTGGCTGGGACTAAGAGCACGGTAATGTAGAGAACTGGCGGGTCACTGTTGGACGCCTGAAACTAATAGAACACTGTTAATTATCCTGGAGTTTAAAATGTTTATAAAAAAAAAAAAAGACTGATATACATGCCTCTCCCAAGTTTTGATTGTGATTTTTATTTGTAACAAAAGCCCAGGTGATGTTCATCCTGCTGTTTGGGGAAGACACTTGAGAACCACTGAGGTAATAGATTATAGTGATTCAAAATAAATAAATAAAAAATCCAGGGATGCCTGGGTGGGCTCAGGCGTTGAGTGTTTGCCTTCAGCCCAGGGCATCATCCTGGAATCCCGGGATCCAGTCCCGCATCCGGCTCTCTGCATGGAGCCTGCCTCTCTCTCATGAATAAATAAAATCTTTAAAAAAAAAAACCTCTAATGTGGATTATACCACATTGATAACCCTAATCACATCATAAGCTGAAAAAGTAAATGAATTTCCACAGCCTTGCCAATTAACAATTAACAGAAGTAGAAAAAGTCCTAAGATACAGACTACTTAAAGCCTAACAAAATTATTAAATGATAAGAACACTTAAGCAGGAACAATATGGGGTCTATTACGATTATGTTGAAGATTCTAATACAACTGAATACTGTAAACATTGGGAGGAAAATTCTTTAGACTTAAGGACTAGAAAAACTCCATTAAAAACAAATCCGGCTATTGTCAGCTGGATAAAAAAAACTACAACTAGCAATACAAACAGAAGTGGGAAATAGGTCCTATTCACAATAGTGACAAAACCCTCACAAACCCAGGAATAAACTTGACAAGAAAAGTTCAGCAATTATGAGATTATCAATGGGTAAATTTTAGAATTTCAGATGTTTACAGTTTTGGGATGAAGTTGACTTTAGGACTGATAATCCAAAAGTAATTACAGAAATAAAATAAGATTTGATCACACAAAAACTTTAAAGTGTCTGCATGGCAAAAGAGCAAATGACAAAATGGGGAAAACTTACATATTGGGAAGTAGTCAACAAAAATTTATTCAACTAGCCATCAGAATTATAAGTTACAACAGCCAACAAGATACATAATTTTTTTGCCAAATTCACAGAAATGGAGTATCATTACCTTCAGCTCTGGCAAGGACCCAGAGAAATCCAGCGCTTTTGTACATTGCTGAGGGCACTGAAAAGTCACCTGGCAGTACCAGCCAAAACTTAGAACACACAGAACCTGGAGAACCCAGGGTACAGAAAGGAAAGTATGTTATTTAATGAAAAATACTTCTGTCTGTAGGAGCAAAGAGGAAAAGCAATGTGAAGGTCACCAGCAGAATGGTGGAATACGCTGCAGCACATCCGTATGATGGAATGGAATGCCCAAGTCCAGGCAAGGCCTCTACATGTTAAAAGAAATTGCTTTTGTAGAGAATGATCCCATTTCTTAGAAATTCCTCTAATAATTTAGATGCATGTCTGTGTTTATAAAAGGCAAGAAGGATACATCCCAAACTGTTGGTACCTTCTGATGGATGAGATTGAGCTGTAGGAGTGGGGGATAAGGAATAAATTAACTTTATTAGATACTTCTGTATGTTTTGAGGATCCACTTTTATTTGATCAATAAAATGAAAAAGTAAAGTAGGATTAGAATATAAAGTTCTTATTTTTCCAAGTGAAAAAATTGGTACTAGCTACAATTGATAATTTAAGAAATAGTGGTAGAGGTAGAAGTAAAAACTACCTAAGAGTTATGGCTGCAACCCAGAAGAAACCGAAAACGGGGGTTTTAGGGGTTAAGTGGCAGACTTTTAAGCAGATGGAGGCTACATATTTTCCAAGGTGATTTGGCTTATGAGCAGTATGCCCTACAGAAGGGCTTTAAATGCCTTCATGACCATAGTAATCCATATTAAGAATGCAAAGCCAGATACATAAAACAGCAACCACACAAATAACAATTACGTATGTGAGTTGGGTCCCGACAAACTGAAAAGCACTTCTTATACCCCCCCATCAGACCTTTAACACAACTTTTAGGTTATCCTCAAGTAGAAAAGTAGCCACATTCAAATGAGTTAAGGTGTAAGAAGTTAAAAAGGACCACAAGCTTTATTAAAAGTAAGTAAAGGTAACATATAATATATACAGATGGCACATGGTGCCAATTTTATTTGCAGATATTACAATACTCCAATGCATGTTTACAAGTTACACCTTTGCCACAGCCTTGGCTAAATCTTGAACTAGTGCAGAATTTAGCTGTGCCAGAGTGCTGATCTTAGCATGCTTAGAGGCGGCATACTTGTTCTTGATAGTCTGGAAGATAAAAGCATAGTAATTAATGAAGTGAAAGAGGAAAACACTGTAAGATCCAATGGTGCAGATATTCACTGAAAACATCAACTACTTAAAAATAAGCTATGCCTTGGGGCCTCTGGGTGGCTCAGTTTAGGCCATGATCTCAGGGTTGTGAGACTGAGCCCTGCACTGGGGTACGTGCTGGGCATGAAGCTTGTTGAAGATTCTCTCTTCTATAAAATAAGATGAAATCAGAGAGGGAGACAAACCATGAGAAACTCCTAACTATAGGAAACAAATTGAGGTCTGCTGAAGGGGAGAGGGAGGAAGTAACTGGGTGATGGAAATAAAGCAAGGCACATGATATGATGTAACTGATGTTACATACAACTGATGAATCACTGATCTCTACCTCTGAATGTTAATTTAAGTAAAAATTTAAAAAATTCTGTCCCCCTGCAGCCACCCCCTCCCATTTCTCTCTCTCTAAAAGAAATTTGAAAAGAAAAATAAGCCTTGCTTTGCAGATATGAAGTCTTAAGTATTTTCACTCCCCACCACCTCCCACCTTCACCGCAACATCCTATGGTGCCCCCGACTTACCATGTGCTTTGTAAGCCCACGATTCACCATGACTATATTCTTAGCCAGGTGTTGCATAACGTTTAGAAGGGATTCTTCAGTGTAGGACAGATAATGCTGTAGAGTTGGTGTCTAGGGCAACAAAAGTTAATGTTAGAAATGCTCAACAATGTTTTTCATACAATTTCTGTATATTAAAAGTAGAGAGGGATCCCTGGGTGGCGCAGTGGTTTAGCGCCTGCCTTTGGTCCAGGACGCAATCCTGGAGACTCAGGATCGAATCCCACGTCGGGCTCCCGGTGCATGGAGCCTACTTCTCCCTCTGCCTATGTCTCTGCCTCTCTCTGTCTCTCTCTGTCTCTCTCTCTGTGACTATCATAAATAAATAAAAATAAAAAAATAAAATTAAAAAAATTAAAAAAAAATAAAAAAATAAAAAAATAAAAAAAATAAAAGTAGAGTTGGAAGAGATTCCATAGGACCGACTATAATTGAAATTTACGATAAACTTAAGATGCCTTCTTCCTCAGGTACTCTTTTTTTTCATGCTTCTCTAGGATCCTGTGCTTAAATCTATTCTACACATATGCTCAAATTCTTTGACGCCAACTTCCTCATGCATAGTTCCACTCCTAGAGCCTAGGATAGCACGGGGCACATAGGAGAAATACTTGGTGAATCAAGGATTATGAATAAACTTTTAGCATATCATTTGCACCAAGTGTCTTTATCTGTAGAGAAGGATAAAGTTAGGTGATAAAGTGGGAGTATCCTACAAACACACAGCAAACAAGATACAATTTTTAATCATTCTCTCAGTAGACGCCCTATTTTTAGAAGCCATTTGAATTGTCCTTTAATGAAAACAGTCTGGTATTCATGCAAACATCACTTACAATATAAAAGCTTAGGGTAACCAAGGTCTGTGGTACAGAGCTTACCCATTCACCATTATCGAGAATTTTCAGCGCTAAGCAAAAAGCTCCTGCTGCAATCTGAGAAGGAGGAAAGTGTACCATATCGTAGTCCAACATAGATAGCTCCATCAGGTATTTGGCCAAAGTATGTTGCTCAACATCAACCTGAAATAAAAGCCACAGCTCTCTGAACTGCTGCAGAGAATTCTGTAATTGGCAATAACCAATAATGCCCATTAACTGTAATTACAAATGTTTGTCTATAAACTCTCAAACACAACTGCCCATGGAAGGCCTTAATGAAAATATTAATATGTAGCCTGATTGGAAACAAACAATATCTTTGTCTACACATCTCATGCATTCTTTTTTAAGTCAGTTCAATGAGATCTGCTTGATTCGCAGTATTTCGTGATGTACCATACCAAAGGTTACCAAAGAAGTATGTACCTCTCCAATCTTAGACGCTCTCCGAAGGAAATGCAGGGGTAGAGGGCGGCCCAGACCAAAATTTAAAGATCTTAGAATCTTCATTTCCATCTGTCTGATTTGGTGTTTAGTGTAAGTATTGTCAGTCACAAAGGCAAAGTCACCAATTTCTGGAGGGTACATTTCCTCATACTTGCTTGCAATAAACATGGCAGTGACACCAACCAGCTGCAGCATCTTCTTGGGCACACAGTTATTCTGCAGTGGGAATTCCAACAGGATGAATAACTAATATGTACTCGAAAAAGGAGACAACAGAGCTATGAAGGGGACATGGAAAAACACTCTCACAGCACAATCTTAATTAATGACACTCTATCCAAGACAGATGTTAACTGAAAAGTCTGTTTCTTAGAATTCTGCTAGGACCCTGGAAGGGAGAACCCTCAATTACTGAATTATGCTCACCTGCATGAACCGATCAATAATGGAAACAGTCATGTACATGGTCTCCTGCAGTAACCTGAATTTCATCTGAACCTGTACTAGCCAGTCAATTAGGATGGCTCTCATGTTTCCAGTGACTTCACGACCCAGTAGGTATTTTGGTTTGACTGCTTGTTCTTCCTGCAAAAGAATGATTATCCTTTAGAAGTAAGACTTCATGTGACATTTCTGACCACAAATAGTAGTCACCACAGAATAGTAATTCAAGAGTTCAGAATCTCCAACAGTCCTCAACTTAATTACTCATATGGTCACTACAAATAGCTGTCACTGTGTTAGAAAGCAAACATTAAATATGACAGTTTGACTATGTTCAACCTACCATCACTGCTACCTGCCCACATTCCCACTTCATCACAAAGGTATCATGCTATCATTTCAGATCTTTTTACTTATGACTCAAACCCAAAATCTGAGCTGTATGAAGTAGAGAAAATGAACAGCAGCTACTTTCCAATCCATTGGAAATCCTGCTCTAGGAATTAAACCCCCAAAATGCCACAGAGAAAAAGACTGAACCAGCAAGGATCAGCACATATGTCTCCTAAGCCCATTCAGCCAAAGTTAGAATTCTAAAAAGAATGGAGAAAAAACCCAAAGTGGAAGGCTGGTCCTGGGCAAGGAAGATTCTAAAGGACAATCCTATAGAAAATGGATACCCAGAGAAGATGCCAAAAGAAGAAAAGGCATTACCAACAAACAACTGGGCAAATGTGGTAGTTCACAGCTTATGTGTCAGTGTACAGAATGCTTCCTTGTTTTGGGGTGGGGAACAAATGCCTGTAACAAAGTTTCAGAAGTGATATGAAAGAAAACCCGAAAGAAAACACTTTTTTTGAGTGTACTCCTCTTAGACACAAAGAACAACTTAATTTCCCTGGTATCACATGCACATCAGCCACAATGACCTGAAATGCCTTGTGTTGCTGGTGGTTATAATTTTTTTTAGCATATTCTCCATTACTATCTACCTCCTGCCTCTAATCTTCAAACTCAGAGCCTGGAACTTGCCCACTCCTGACTGAGGGACATAAACGGATCATTCAACGTACGGACATTCATTACAAGGAGTTATGGTAGTATCCACTGTCACACTGAACTTTCCCTGTTCAAAATGGCAGATAAGAGGGGCGACTGGGTGGCTCAGTAGGTTAAGTGTGTTGTGTGCCTTCAGCTCTGATCATGATCGTGGGGTCCTGGGATCAAGCCCCATGTCGGGCTCTCTGCTCAGCAGGAAGCCTGCTTCTCCCTCTCCTCCTTCTGCCCCTTGCCCTGCTTGAGCTCTCTAATAAATAAAATCTAAAAAAAAAAAAAAAAAAAGAGGCAGATTAAGGGACACCTGGGTAGCTCAGCAGTTGAGCATCTGCCTTTGGCTCAGGACGTGACCTCAGGGTCCTGGAATCGAGTCCCACATCAGGCTCCCTGCATGGAGCCTACTTCTCCCTATGCGTACATCTCTGCCTCTCTGTGTCTTTCACGAATACATAAATAAATCTAAGAACTGGTAAAACAAAAAAACAAACAACAGCCATAATGACAGATAAAGATATCCTTGGTTTGGTTACTGACTTTTGATGTTTGGTGCTCAGTGAATGGAATTTGGAAGTGGAATCTACTATTAAGAAATGCTGCTCACATCCTGCTTGAATCATTGCAGACTGTGAGTGGAAAGTGTCTTAAACAATGTCTTAAGAGGGCAGCCCTGGTGGCGCAGCAGTTTAGCGCCACCTGCAGTCCAGGGCGTGATCCTGGAGACCATGGATCGCGTCCCACCAGGCTCCCTGCATGAAGCCTGCTTCTCCCTCTGCCTGTGTCTCTGCCTCTCTCTCTCTGCATCTCTATGAATAAATAAATAAAAATCTTTTAAAAAAAAAAATATATATATATATAAAATGTCTTAAGAGTCAAATGCAGTTCAAAAAAAAAGATTCTAAAAATAATACCTCAAGTTGTCTCAGATAAGCATAAATATCTTTCACGTATTCACTACAAAGGTTTGGATCAGCTCCATCTTCTGCATCTACATCATTCACCGCAAGAATTACATCAGAGAAAGCCTGACACAGATATTCTTCTGCAGGAGCACATCCAGATGTTTCCATCGGGCTTGGAGAGGGAGTATCAACCTTAAAACAAAGAGATCTTTTGAAATAATAGCAAAGAGGAGCATACAATCCAGGAATGAAGGCCCAATTACTGGAACTAACTCAGAAGACCAACTGCTAAAAAGACATATTATCATTCATGATTCATTTCTTAAAGGAAACATATCTTCTTTTCACATGTATTCAATTTATCCTTAGTCATGATTAATACAAAAAACAAAAGCCAAAACAGACTGAGCCAATTTTAAGTGAGCAGAACCTAAACACTAATGAGTAAAACAGAGAAAAATCAAACAAAATCACATTCTAGACTTTCCTCTGAAGGGAATGACTAAATAATCTCTATCAGTGTCACACGAAGTCAATCCAAATGAATGACCGTCTTTAGTCTTTAATATCAAATCAAGGACTGTTTCTCGCTGCCCAGGAAAACACAAGTTCTGTCCTGACTACTAAGGATTAACTGAGTTCGTTCGTTGTTACTATTAGCTATTTCCTTCAAGCTCCAGTTATCTCTTTGCTCAAACATTTATCGAGCATTTTCTTCCAGTTAAGCTCTGTGCTAGGCACTGCCTTCATAGTGTTCTCAAAGGGGTTTAAATCTAGAAGAGAAAAGTAAATGAAGTGAGGAGATTGATTCTAGGAACAAGGGTGAGGGAAGTTAGGGAAAGTTTCAAGATTTCATGCTTGAGCCGCTTTGTCAGATGAAAAGGTACAAGACAAGAGAGCGAATAGCCTTTTTCAGCAAGTGGGAAAGCAAAGAAACAGTATGGGACTTTCAAGGAAACCTCACATAGAGTTTGGTATGGCCAATCAAAAGACTGTGCGTGCTACAGGTTTCATGTGCTATGTCCAGAATGTCAATACTAAAGCAATATCCTTGGGGATCCCTGGGTGGCTTAACGGTTTAGCACCTGCCTTTGGCCCAGGGCGAGATCCTGGAGTCCCGGGATTGAGTCCCACATCAGGCTCCCTGCATGGAGCCTGCTTCTCCCTCTGCCTATGTCTCTGTCTCTCTCTCTCTGTCTCTCATGAATAAATAATAAATAAAATCTTAGGGATGCCTGGGTGGCTCAGCGGTTGAGCATCTGCCTTTGGCTCAGGGAGTGATCCCATACTCCAGGGATCGAGTCCCACGTCGGGCTTCCTGCGAGGAGCCAGCTTCTCCCTCTATGTCTCTGCCTCTCTCTGTGTCTCTCATGAATAAATAAAATCTTTAAAAATAAATAAATAATAAATAAAATCTTAAAAAATAAATAAAAAATAAAGCAATATCCTCCAATCTCTGACTCTTAGATATAAGGAACTAGGCTGAATGACTTTTACAGATCATTTTCTCAACTGGCTTAAACTATTTAATTCTTAATTTAAAGATGTAGGGCAGCTCGGGTGGCTCAATGGTTTAGCACCACCTTCAGCCCAGGGTGTGATCCTGGAGACTCAGGATCGAGTCCCACATCGGGCTCCCTGCATGGAGCCTGCTTCTCCCTCTGCTTGTGTTTCTGCCTCTCTCTCTCTCTCTCTCTGTGTCATGAATAAATAAATAAAATCTTTAAATAAATAAATAAATAAATAGATAAATAAATAAATAAATAAATAAATAAAGATGTAATGGTCTTTATTAAGTGATTCATGAAGTGGGTATCATCCCACCTAGCATGTAGAGTTGCTGCTTAACTACATCTTAAAAATTAGAGTCTGGGTGGCTCAGGTCATGATCCTGGGGTCCAGATCTGGGTCCAGCCCCCACATAGGGCTTCCTGCTCAGTCTACTTTTCCCTCTGCCCCTCACCTTGCTCATGCTCACTTTCTCTCACTCTCTCAAATAAAATAAGGAAAAATAAAAACTAGAGCTTCATTAAATACAGTTCATTATAATTTCAGCAAAAGAACCCTTTCGATCCCTGGGTGACTCAGCGGTTTAGTGCTTGCCTTCGGCCCAGGGCCTGATCCTGGAGACCTGGGATTGAGTCCCACATTGGGCTCCCTGCATGGAGCCTGCTTCTCCCTCTGTCTCTGCCTCTTTCTCTCTCCCTGCGTCTCTCATGAATAAAGAAAAAAAAAAAAAAAAAAAGAGCCCCTTCTAGGTGCCCTGTTTCTCCTTCCCAGGATTGGACACATTTCCCTAACTGGTATTCAAGAAGTTCTTAGTTTTTGAGGCTGTTAACTCATCTACTCTCTGAAAAGCTACATCTTTTTTCCGCTTTACACCTTTATATATCCCAGTGTTACAGGCTTATTAATTCAGTGGCCACATTAGAGAGGGAAAGGATTCAAGATAATCTGTTTCAGTCAATAAATTCTAGTCAGATAGCTTGAACTAAAGACAGTCAAACTTTTGGTTCATGCACCTATCACTCAATACCATTAATAGCAGGAAGAGGGCAGTGTACAAAATGATGAAGAGCCTAGGTTCTGAAGCCAGATGGCCATCATGGGTGCCATAGATTAGACGTGTGACTCTTGAAAAGTTACATAAATACCTCTCTAAGCCATTATCTAAAAAGTAGAGGTAGTAATACAAGAGTCCATGTAAAGGTTATGTCAGTTAAAAGCACTTCCAGTGCAGAGCAGAGACTGCTGAGCACTCTATGCTACTAGCATCACCACCTGTTCAAATGTTACTCTATGTGCTGAGAGGACAACCAACCAACACATGGAGAAAGGCAAAGTAAGTTTACCAAAATAGGCTCAGGCGAAAGTTTTTCTTCTTTAACCGGCTCAGGTTCCAGCTCTGGTTCCGGCACAGGGACAGGGACAGGCTCAGGTGCTTTCTCCAGAGGCTTTGGTATTTTTTTAGCAATGACTTTTCCAGGAACCGCAGTTTTTGCTTCCTATGAGTGAAAGGGAGAAAATGAGAAAATGACATGTTTTTCCATCAAGGGTTCCGGCGGTAAGGTGGACCCTCACAGAGAGGCTGGGTCAGCAAGACAATTACCTTTTTCAGAGGCAGTTTGGCCTGTGGTTGTTCACTGACTTTGTTACCAATGTCTCCCAGAGCAGTTCTTGGCCTCAGGCCGGGCTTGGAGGCTGCAGCAGAGGCCAGAGGCACCCGCTTCGCCCCTGCCATACCGATCTTCGCCTTGTTTTCAACATTCACTTTTGTGTTCTGAAAGAAACAAAAACCCCTTTTTGAGAACTGGCCCAGCCAGGTTAGAGTTAAGTCAAGGGTTGGTTAGTTAAGGTGCGGGGGGGAGGGGGGGAACCCACTGACTCGGAGGAAAAGCTGGCGGTAAAAAATGGGTTCCCAAGGGAAACCAGGGCTCCAGGATCTATGCTTGGGCTGTGACAAGCTCCCTTGGTCACCTATCTATTTAAGGGGCTGCCTGTTGAGTCCCCGGGGAACCTAAAATATCGCCAATTTACATTTGAAAGGAAATCTGAAAAGCCTCCCAAGGCAGGCACCTTCTCTCCGGGAAGCAGGGTTAGGCGGCGGGTGGGTGGGGGCCCACTCGGGGGCGCGCTACCACTTTTTTTTTTTAATATATATTATTTATTGATCCATGAGAGAGGCAGAGACCCAGACAGGCGGGAAGCAGGCGCCCTGCGGGGAGCCCGACGCGGGACTCGATCCCGGGACCCGGGGCCACGCCCTGGGCCGAGGCGGACGCCTAACCGCTGAGCCCCCAGGTGACCCCTTTCTACCGCATTTTTACCAGAGGTTTCCCGTCGACCCTCCCCCGCCCTCCCCTCGCGCCAAGCCTGTATCCAGGCCGGCCCAGCCCAGCCCTCCGCTCCCGTCGCTCCCCACCGTGCCCGGACCCACCGAGGCCCCCAACCTCCTCCCCGAATCGCCGCCCTAGTGCACGGGGGGATGGGGGGGCTCGGGCAGGGCGGAGCAGGGCTGCGGCCGCCCGCAGCAGCTCACCCTGGTGACCCGGAGCGCCATGGCCGTGTCTTCACGGGGGGAGAGGAGAGAGCGGGAGCCGCCGACGAGCCGGGAGCCGGGAGCCGGGAGCCGGGAGCCGGGAGCCGGGAGCCGGGAGCCGGGAGCCGGGAGCCGGGAGCGAAGGCCCGCGGGTCAACAGCCGTTCCTCCGCAGCACGCCGGGAGGAGCCCGGCCGCCTCGGGTTTAAACCCCGCGCTGCTGCCCCCTCATTGGCCGGTTCGTGGCACTCGCTCGCTTCCCATTGGTCGCTGCCGGTTCCTCCGCGAACGCGTTTCCTGGGCGACCCCGCGGGGACGTTCGCGAGGGGGCGGGGCCTCGGCGGGGCGGGGCTTCGGTCGGGGCGGGGCCTCGGCGGGGCGGGGCTTCGGTCGGGGCGGGGCTAGGCCCGGGCGGCCGCGCGGCCACCTGGAGGGGCGCTGCAGGTGCACCTGCGCGGGTCTCGGCCGCCTGGGGCCCTCGCCGCTGGCTGCTGTCTGCGAAGGAGAGTGACGGCCGCGCGGCCGGACGTGGAGAACCTGAGGAGCAGTGCTACGTATTTTTTTTTAAAGAGTTTACTTATTTATTCATGAAAGGCATGGAGGGAGGCAGAGACCCCCGCAGGGAGCCGGACGCGGGACTCGATCCTGTGACCCCGGGGTCACGCCCTGGGCCGGAGGCAGCCGCTCCACCGCGGAGCCACCCAGGCACCCCCAGTGCTACGTATTGTTACACACTTTCCTCTTGTGCCTGGCATGTAGCAGGAAAGGCTGATTTAATGTACATTCAGCAGCAGCCCTCTGGGTGAGGGACCAGAGCTCAGGGCGCCTCTGAGTGACTTTCCCAGGGTCACAAATTAGTAACACGGGAAATGAACTTCAGTTGCTGTTTGGCTCCCTGATGTTTCCACAACACCAATGGCCTCTTAAGAATATTGTCAACTTCTTAACCTGACAGGTTACTTTAATCCAGTTGCTTCCCAAAGCCAATCTTTTGTTTTAGCTTTGTATTTGAAAATGATTTCAGACTTAGGGAATTTGCAAACAAAAATACTACGAATAACACACGTATGCCTTTTGCCTAGCTTCAAGTATGCTTGACACATTACCTCATTGGCTCCATCATTTACTTCTTTCTGTATATAAATATCTACATCTGTCTATAAACATTTTCTTCCTGGGGGCACCTGGGTGACTCAGTGGCTGACCATCTGCCTTCAGCTCAGGGTGTCACGCTAGGGTCCTGGGATCAAGTCCTGCATCCGGCTCCCCGCAGGGAAGCTGCTTCTCCCTCTGCCTGTGTTTCTGCCTCTCTCTGTGTCTCTCATGAGTAAATAAATAAAATCTTTTTAAAAAATTAAATCAAAATTAAAATTAATTTTTTTCCTGAAACATTGGAGGGTAAGTTAGATGTACTTATGGCCCTTTATCCTTAATTCTTTAGTGTGTACTGCCTATAAGAAAAGGATATATTCTCTTACATAACCACAATAGTTATTAACTTAATAAGTTTACGTTATTACAGTATTTCATGCAACTTAGTTTATACTGCAGTTTTGTCAGTTGATCTAATAAGATCTCTCATAATATTTTCCCTCCTCCAGGGCAGGATGCAGTCTAGGGCCAGATGTTACACTTAGCTTCCTTTAATCTGGAATGGTTCCCATGGCTCTTCCTACAATGCATCAGATAGCTCCCACCCTCCCAAGTAGACACAAATAATAACCCAACCCAAAATGTCGATAGTGTACAAGTGCCAAACTTGAGAAATCTTGCCAACTATGTACACATCTATAGACTCATTTCTATTTGGTATGATAGTTTTTGATGCTTAATTAGCCTAAGTACCATGATCATCCCCTTTCTTTATAACACTTAAAAACTAGGGATGCCTGGGTGGCTCAGCGGTTGAGCGTCTGTCCTCTGGCTCAGGGTGTGATCCTGGGGTCCCGGAATCGAGTCCCACATTGGGCTCCCCATAGGGAGCCTGCTTCTCCCTCTTCCTGTGTCTCTGCCTCTCTCTCTCTCTGTATGTGTCTCTCCTAATAAATAAATAAAATATTGAAAAAAAAACAACGTTGTGTGACTTTCTCCTCAATGAACTACTCAATGTGAAGTCAATAAACTCAATGTTCTCTCCTGTGGCCAATAGCGCTAACTACATACCAGGCCCTGTTCTAAGTGCTAGGAATATAGCTCTGAACAAAACAGGGATCCTCACTTTCACAAACCTTATATTTCAGTAGGAGAAAGAAGTGAGCAGAGTCGGGGAAAAAAGAAAGAAAAAAAAAAAAGCCAGATGCTAGTAAGGGTTAGACAGAGAATGAAGGGAGGGTTGTAGTCACTTGGTAGCTACCTTAGACTTGGTGGTTAGGACAGTCTGGGAAAGTGATGTAACTCCTCTTAACATGAGGCTTAAATGACAAAAAAGGGAACATTCCCAATAGAGGAAATAGCCTGTGAAAACCTAGCAGTAGGAATGGGTTTGTCGTGTTCAGCAAAGCCAGTAAGGCTAGAATATAGAGGACAGAGTAGAAGTGAGATTGAAGAAATTGGAAAAAATAAAATTCTACCACTCTCTGTAGACCAAGGTAAAGAGTCTGGGCTATGGAAGTGCCTTGGAAGCCTTTGGAGGGTTTCAAGCCAAGGTGTGGTGTAATCATCCTTCAATAGAATTACTTTAGGGTTTCTGTAGAGAGGATGTGTGTGGATTGGGGTCAGGGGGAGCAAGAGGAGCCCTGAAGAGTCTATCACAGCTGACTAGGCAATAGATGATGGCTTGGATGGGTACTAGTAGCACGAGACAGAAAGAGATGGATTCTGGATAAATATTGGAGGTAGATCTGTTGGGTCTTGGTGGCTTGCATACTTGGGAGCGATAACTCTCAGGTTTTGGCCTGAGTAACTGAAACAGAAAGACTGCCCACTTAAAGATGAGCAGCTTTTAATGGGTAGCAGGTTGTGGGTAGGAGATCAAGAATTGCGCTACATCTGGAATGTTTAAAGATATGCAAGAGGAGATGTCCACCAGGCCGACTCAGGGTGGGAGCTAACGTCTTCTTTGGCTGTAGATGGCATTTAAATTCCTACACAGAGGGAGGTCATCTAGAGAAGGAATGTAAAGAAGCCTACACACCAGGAGCAAGCCCTGGGGCCCTCCATGTGTAAAGATTGAAAAATAAGAGAAGCCAGTTAAGAAAATTGGGCAATAAGATCAGAGAGGTTAGGAGATCAAACAGTGGTGTCCCAGAAGAGAGAAGGCCAAGTTTCACGGAGGGAGCAGTGGGTACCATGACGGACTGAATGTACATGTTGGCTTGGTTTCTCCCCGAAGACAGTAAAGGGATTTAAGAAAAATGGGTAACTCGCAAGGATAGAGAAGGAGACACTAAAGGCAACATTTTGGAAGCAGAAAAGCAACTCAATAAAGGGTAATGGAAGTAGCAGACAGCCCGAGAAAGTTGAAATCTAAGATGGCAGTGGAAACCCAAGAAGCACACATTTCAGGAACTGGAGGTACCAGGAGCCTATGAAATTGGCGGTTGTAGGTGGAGCTGAAAACAGAATTAGTCACTTCTCTCCTGCACATCTGAGTGCAATGAGAGTGTGGCCTCTTTCTGGTCCCAGCTGACAACTGGAGGTTTATGTTCAGGGATGCTGAACTAAAGGAACTCTGGATTCAGACACCAGGCAAGATGAGGATGAAATAAAATTTTTCTTCTTTTAAGATTTTATTTATTTATTCATGAGAGACACACGGAAAGAAGCAGAGACACAGGCTCCATGCATGGAGCCCAATGTGGGACTTGATCCCAGGATGCTGGGATCATGCCCTGACCTGAAGGCAAACGCTCAACCACTGAGCCCCCCAGGAGCCCCTGAAATAAATTTTTTTTAAATGTGACAACAGCATTTCTTTCTTTATTTCTTTTAAGATTTTATTTATTTATTCATGATAGAAATAGAGAGAGAGAGAGGCAGAGACAGAAGCAGGCTCCATGCCAGGAGCCCGACATGGGACTTGATCCCGGGTCTCCATGGTTAACAACCTGGGCCAAAGGCAGGCGCCAAACCTCTGCGCCACCCAGGGATCCCCTGAAATAAAATTTTTTGATACCAAATGGTGAGTCCTTCAGTTTCTTTCTCCCACTCAGTCCCCTAAATGCAGGTAGCTAAGTCCTCCAAAATGAGGTAAGAGCGTGCTTCCCTGGGGAATGGACCAGCCCCACAAAAAAGTCGCAAAAATACTGATGGTTATGGTGTGCAAAGAGATGAAGAGATGGTTTGGTCACCCTGAAAACAACACTCACTACTTGACATGCTTGCACACTGACCCTGAGCTTCTGATCAACATTTTAGCATCTTACTCTTCACTCTTAATGGCCAGCCAGTGAGCACCAGACATTTGAGGAAACGGTCCAACTTGAAAGAGACCAAAACAACAACAAAAGAAACTCCGTGAACAAGCAATTCAAGGAGTAGAAAGCTAAAAAATAAAAATAACTTACAACCCATATCATCAGAAAAATAAAAATAATTCACCCATAAGCAAGTTTATAAAAGAGCCCTGGGAACTTAGAAATATGACAGCAAAAATTAAAAAGGCAGGGAGTTTGAAAGAAAAGAATGTTCCCAGAAAAAAAGATAAAAAGACAAAGAGACCATAGAAAAGTTAAGAAAATTAGAACTCATTCCACAATGTCTAACACACAACTAATAGTTCAAGAAAAATAGACCAGAGAAAATTCAGAGGATACTGTTAAATACATAATAACAGAAAACTTCCCAGAACCAAAGAACATTAGTTTCATGCATTCACGTCTGAGCTTTTCGCAAAATAAATGAACAAATGATAGATCCCATGACACACTGTGCTGTGCTGACATATAACATTAAGAATAAAGGAAAGAACCTAAAAGGAAACAAAGTCAGATTGCATATATGAAGGATCCAGAATCAGAATGGAATTGGATTTTCTTTTTTTTTTTTAAAGATTTTATTTATTTATTCATGAGAGACACAGACAGAGAGGCAGAGACACAGGCAGAGGGAGAAGCAGGCTCCATGCAGGGAGCCTGATGTGGGACTCAATCCCAGGACTCCAGGATCACACCCTGGGCCAAAGGCAGACGCTCAACCACTGAGCCACCCAGGTGCCCCTGGAATTGGATTTTCAATAGTAAGGTTGAAAGCTAGAAGATTCTA